AGTTACTGTATTTAATCTACTAGAATATTTTTAAGCAAACTAGGTGTCAATTTCATGGTATGGATACGTTTTTATGGATGTGAAAATCGCTCCAAATATTCTCTAAATTATGAAAAGGCAGAGTATGTATTAGAAACTTTTTCGGTGTCAATTTTGACGCTACAGTGTCTTGTACACGTAGCGATAAAACTGCTTTAAAAATTTCTATAATGAGCTCCATTTAATCAAATAAACTTAGAGCATCGATAAAAAGTGTTTTTACATTTGATAATGTATTATCTTTAAAAATAATAAATGAGGAGAAACATTGCCAAGCATTTTTGAATGACCCTGGTTTATAGATATATATTTACATTTCCAATGCCTTTGTCTGAGATAAAATTACAAATTGTAAATGTGCTTTATTTCCCTATCAATGTTTTGGCGCGGTTTAAAAAATCACGTGCAGGGCGGTACAAATTGCTAGACAGAAGCAGGGCTTGGAGCACGTGGATTGGCGGAATCAAAGCATGCAAATATAAGGAATAACTGTCAGATTTTTCAATTTCATGACGATGATCAATCGATTGGCTTGCGTTCTAATTGTATGCATAAACGCCTTCGGCGTTTATGCAAATTATCACGCAAGCCAACCGATTGTTCACATCATGAAATCAAAAAATAAGACAGTTATTCCTTAAATATTTATAATTCCTCAAGGTAATGAAAGAAAAACTGCTTAAAATGATGGATGTAAAAACCCTAAAATTTTAGCAATTTTCAATTTTGATTACTTATTTTTATGCATATTTTCGGTTCATTATGCAGCAAAACTCTGTTATAACAATTTCACTGAGACTTTTGAAATTACATGTACTTCACTATATCCGTAATTTGTTATATCCGTGTTCGTACTAAACGAGTTTTAATGTATTTGATATTAAATGTAACGCAAAATATTAAAGATATAGGCAAACTGACAATTACTTTTGGATTGACCATTGTGACTTTAACCATGTTTTTTGTTTTTAGTGACTTTCCTTCGACTAGGATCAATAAATTCACCAGAAAAAAAGAACAAATGTAATGAACCCTCCGCGACATCCTTCTAACTTTGAGCAGAAGACCTGCATGGGCATGTCTCCAGAAATATGTAATCTATAGTCACTCACTTCTTTTTTTTCCAGTTATCATTATTTCTTGATCAAATTACATTTTAATATTAATATCAATATCTTTATGAAACCCAATATCAGCATCAAAATCTAGATTCAATTTGCATATATGATTGCAATTTTTTAACATTTTATGAACTGATAGATAGAACTGATAGCAGATATATTTCATTTAGAGTCAGTCACTTATATCCAATATGCTATAGCAGTATATCCAATATGCTATAGCAGTATTTCATATTTAGGATGAAATAACATCGAAATCAGATTGGGAAATGTTACTTCTCGTGTCTGTGTTGATTAAAATATTCATTTAAATATTCAGATTATTTGCTTTCAGGTAGCAGCAAAATTAATCTTTTTTGTGATGTGGTATTCTTGTTTAATCTAGTCACTTTCTCATCAATCTGCATTAATCGGGTTCTTGTATGCTAACTCTAATAATTAAGGTCTTCCGTCTTCACGGAAGACCTTATAGTGATTCTATTGTTTCTTATTATTATTCTTTTTTTTTAGACAAAATTTTGTGCAGGCGATTTCTCGTAAACTATTCGGTGGAATTCAATGAAAATTTCAGGAATTATAGGTCACTATATGAATTTTATATAAAATTCCGTTTGTTGGAAAATTCGCTACCAGTGCCAAGTTATGGGCAATTTCCTGATTTTAAAATGCAATTTTGTCTTCGAATGTTCTCGAAAACGGCTCAAGATATTAACTGGAGACTTGTTACAGATGATAGAGCATGAGTTATAGATGTGCAATTTTGCCTTCGTTTGCGTCGTCAGTACTTCCGGTCGCTACAGGAAGTGAATTCAAAATATGCACTTTTTCAACTTTTTTTGTTTTTCAATATTTTTCTTTGATATATTTAATATTAATGGAGACCCTACTGGAAAGGCTTAATATATAGTTTATTTTAGAATTGATCTATCCACACACTAGATATTCGCATTTAAAAATCTGAAGCGTGTCCAAGATGGCGGCGCGTCTCCGTGAACTCCGCCATTAAGCAAGTCGGGTTCTAGAAGGTCAGCTGAGCGTTTAGATAAACGAAACTTCTACCAAAAAGATTAATGAAATGTAAAGGATTATTTAGATTGCTACATCGCAATTACGTTGCATTGAGTATAGTTTTAATGTGAGGTTTCCTCAAACGTCTATTGACATTGCTTTTGTCTGCATCTCAAAGTAGAATACAATATGACTACAAGTGGAAATACGATGACAACAATCTTTTGTTTTGCACCAGGGAAAACTTATCCTAAACCATGGTTATAAGTAATAGCTTTTGAAGAAACTTGCCTGACTTAATACTAGTATTCACTGTGTTTCTGAAGTATTACTTGACTTCTGTTTATTTTTCCACGCAGGCTTGTGACATATTAAATGAATGGAAAAGACAAAAATAAGAAAAACATTTTTTAAAATGATTGTTTATTAAAGGTTAAATATTCTTGAAATAAATGCAAGTTATTGAACATAAATAGTATCACATTCCTTGACCGTCGGAGGGCGAGTGATTTTTTTTCAGTGAAACATTCCAGTCTTTTCATGAACGTGTAACTCATCTCCACTTTGGGGGAAACAGGATACAAAATTAATGGAAAATCTTACCAAATTCACAGCTTTAGTGTTACTTGGCCGTATACGATATCATATTTGTATAATGTGATAAATATACTTTCTAACGCTCGAAATTCGAAGAACATACATTTCTAATTTTCATTGAAGCTATCAAATCCATCAAATAGATCAAATATTTCAAAGGAATAGCATTAAGAACTACTTGTGACATTTGGCACGAAATAATGTATCGTGACCCGACTTAAGAAGTAGACAAATGGTGACAATAGTGCGGAAATATATAACATCGGCATGCCTGTATATGGAGTTGCTTGGAATAAAAAGTTGAATGCATATCGAAAAAAGGAAAGAAAACGGTATCATCTGTTCATCACTAATAGATTATCTATCCTAAAAATTACTGTTAAAACTCAACTAACAAATTCCGATGTGATCATCTTGAGCAAAGTTTAGCAAGCTGGCTGTCATTTTACAATTCCAAAATGAATTTAAAAAAAAAATGTAATGTATGTTGGAATCAAAAAACCAATCTTGCAATATTCGAATGTTAAATTTGAAGCGGGTTCCAAAAGGCGTAATGGGTACCGCAGTGGATTTTCATGCTGGCGACCCGGGTTCGATCCCCCTTGTGTCCGATTTTTAAAATCTCTTTTTAAGTCTGATTTTACGTTGTTTTTCTCTGAATCGGACGGAAGACCTCTCGTTGCTCGCAACGAGTTTCGTTTCTAGTTTTAATTCTTATACTTATTTGAGTTGAGGATCTGTGCCTTTCGTCGATTTGGGATTACTTTGAAATCTGAAATTTCTTGTGTATATCTATTTACATTTCCAATGTCTTTGTCAGAGATAAAATTTACAAATTGTAAATGTATTTCTTTCCCCATCAATATATTGGTTCATCAATAGGCGCAGTGAAAAATTACTTGTAGGGCGGGACAAATAGCTAGACAGAAGCGCGGCTTGTAGCATGAGGATTGGCGAAATCAAGAGCATGTAAATATAGGAATAACTGTCAGATTTTTCAATTTCATGACGATGATCAATCGATTGGCTTGCGTGATAATTTTATGCACTTCGGCGTTTATGCAAATTATCACGCAAGCCAAACGATTGATCACATCATGAAATCGAAAAATATGACACTTATTCCTTGTCGTATTAAATTGCATTCTATTGCTATTTATGTTCACGTACATATTAGGTAAGACGCACGATAAAGTCGTGACAGTTCAACCATTAACACTGAGTCTGTACATTCGTTAGAGATAAGTGAACAAATCACCATTTCTGATAAATTTCATTTATGAAAGAAAACGCACATACTGTTTGAAGAGAGAAAACCCAATCTCTAACTATGTTTTATCTCTCCAGGCATTTGTGATGCGAGCATTGAATATCCTACTACACCTTTTTCAATTTTAATCAGGAAAGCATACATCTCCCCTGCCTTCCTATTCCTTTGTCATGTTAAATATAATTAGCTGAAAAGGTTACAAAGATCTCTATCTAGAGTAAGCATGGTAAGTAAAGCTGCAGTTTTGTACATTTAAAATATCAGCAGAGAATCCCGTCTCTAGCAACATCCTGCATTTCTTACCTTGTCGATCCTTTGTAATGATACTGAATTTAAAAAAAAAACGAAGTAAGTTACTGATCTCCACTTTCCAGTGTCACCAGCAATTAAGGCAGTCGATGAATTGTAATATTATACTTTCATGTAAATTACTTGAATTTGATTCGTCAAGAAACATTTGATAAAAAACACTACTACCCGCTGAATAATGAAGCCACGCCCTCCTGCGTAGCAACAGTCAACATTGCTTGACGACGGGTTGTATTCCAAAAAAATAGCGACTGCGCGGAATTTATGCGCGCACGGTTCACTGTAATATGTATCTGTATAAAACATTCAGTATAATATAATAAATATTGCATGTAGTTGAGTGTAACATTGAAAATTTTCACCCCTCGAAAACCATTGTCAACCTCGGCTGCGCCTCGGTTGACAATGGTTTTCTTGGGGTGAAAATGTTCAATGTTACACTCAACTACATGCAATATTTTTATAATGTTATCGTTGAGGATAGGTACATGTACCATCCATTATTTTTTTATTTGCATTACTGCCTTACTCGTATACTTAGAATTTGGTTTGATATACTAAAATCAGCTCAATCACTATTACTCAATAACATTCAGTCACTTAATGTATATCATTTGCAATTATTTAACCATGATTTATTCTTTGCATTATCTCAGAATAGATGCATTCATTGCTAAATTATTCATTTCAGATCATGCTTTTGTAACCCTTTCAATATTTTCACACAGACATACAGCAAAGTTTTTGAAGACAAGTAATGCTTCTTTTTTTATTTAATTAAAAATCCAGAAAAGGCAGACCTTCCGAATTCATTACTTTTAATTGCACCTTGACCTGGAGATGTGGAATGCGTGCGCATAAAAACAACGTCACCCTGGTTTACAGCTGCTACCACGTGACCGGTAACGGTGTTAAATCCGCAGTAGGCGTAAGTACTTCCCATGATTTTTGCATTTATAACGAGATCTGTAGTATGTGCAAGATGACATTCTACTCTTGTAGACCATGTAAAGGAATATAGTCCGCCCATGGGAGCAGTAAATACACCGGTATCTTTGTTGTATCCATTTCCATAATTCGTCTGCGTCACGTCGTAAACCAGAGTGTGATGACCTCGCGGATCCGGCTCGTCACTGGACATGTAGGCATAGAAACCAATTCCTTCTATAGCCGAACCTAATTGAAAAATAATAGAATTTTAATTTTAAAGACTTTTGAACACAATTTCTGAATTACGGAGACTTTTTTTTCGATTTTTCACACAAGCACATGCACATTATCGAGAAATTAAAAAAAATTGGAATCTGTATGACTGGATACCGGATAATTTATTATTACACCTCGGACATCGATTATGAGGTCAATTACACCACAATGGGAGTGTGTAGTGACAATGAAGTGACAGAGGGAAAAAGATAATGCACAATACCATATAGCAATAAATATAAAGATCACGTTAGTGCAACAAACCAACGCTGTGATAGCACAATTTAAGAGAGCTATAGTCAACATCAGCAGTGTACCATCATGCTATTGTCATCACAAAAACGATTGGCGATGGATTTTTCCGTTATTTCCCTATCATGACAAGTAGCATACGGCGGGTGTGATCGGTTGGTAGAGCATACTCACTTCTCCATGACACCTGATCCCACTTCTGATGTTTTGGTGGTCCGTTTTTGCTCTACTCCTATTTTGTTTGCTTCGTAGACTTTTCGTTTTAAATACTGTTCGTTAAACCCATATGTTTCACTTCTGTTCCCCCGTCAAACTTATTGACATATTTGGAAGACATATCTTCCAAATGTGCCGAAGCTTTATAAATATCAAAAATATTTTTTAAATGCTGTTTTTGACAAAACATAATGCTCACCGTGATGGATCAATCTCTTGTCCTTTCTGAAATCTTGATAAGAGTTCTTAAGCACAGGATTGTTAACTTTATATGATAATATTGCGTTTTCATTCTGCAAAACTGAAACAGCTTCTTTCAAGTACAAATTTTCAAGTTCATGCTTCTTGTCACTTTCTTCTAAACTTTTCAAGCGTGTTTCCAAATTGATTGGAGAGGAGAAACAAATGGATATCCACGATATAATAAGGAGAAAAGTCTTCATGATCAAAGTTCTCCTTATCAGCGATTGACAATTCCTTGGTAAAATGCTCAATATTATGTGCTAACTTAGATAGATAACATAATCAGTCGACAACTTATTTAGTAATCTATTAAATTTCTCTATCTTAAAGTGGTTATAAGAACCAAAAAAGAGCATGTTTTATTTTTAATAAAACTGATTTTTACATTTTAAAATTTTAAACGAAGTCCGCCTCTTAGAAAATAAAAATCTCATTGAAACTAGTGTCCATCTGATAAAAGTTGTTTTTTTTTTAATTGACACTTAAATTGCATTGACTTAAAGATTACCTGTATTTAACAATGAATTTTACGTCTTTTTCGGTCGCTTCTGATTCTTTTATACGTTTAATACAAAATAAGTTTATGAAGCAGGAATATTAGTAATCTAATCAATGGTCATAATTTCGAAAGATCTATGGTCGATACAATGACCTTGTCAGCAAATACATTCTATCATTAAGTCAAATGCTGACTGACTGTATTTGCACAATGAATTGTTCACGAATTACTCCGAAATTTCCCAAACACGACAAGGAGTATACGACGGATTTAACCGGTCGCCAAGGGATACTCATTCCTCGATGGTACCTGATCCCATCTCTGATATTTTGGAGGACGGTGTTTGCTCAGCTCCTATTTTGTAATGTCGGGTGGATTTTTGAGCTCAAATACTGTTCGTTATCTACATAAATTCCATTTTGTTTTCCTTACAACTACGCTAACCTTTAGTCGATGATAAGTTTGATAAAACTAATATGCATTATAGGTGGAATTAACATTGTAAGAATTTGTCTAAAATAAAATTTGTTTCATAAGATATGATATGCATAAAAAAATTGCTTACTCTTTCGATCTCTTTTTTCTAAATGCCATACGTACTTTATGTCAAAGGTTACAAAATGAAATGAACAAGTTTGACTATATTAGTTAAAACAAGCTTAAAACAATACATTACAATTACCATACCAAGCAAATTTAATCAACAGTCCAAATTTTACTTACCGAGCCTATATACCTTTAATGTTGCATCAGCAATTTTATTTATGAAGCTCCTTATAAAATTAAATTTCTCTGAAGGTTTTTTTTTTACAGTTATTTTTCTTTTTCCATAACTTTTTACGTCTTTTCGTAATTATAAGTGACGTGGATTGAGTATTTTTTTTTATAAATCAGATTAAATAACGGTATAAAACATAGTAGTCAGAGAAACTTTTTTTCATATTTATAAAAAAAATGAGCTTATTTTGAATTATTGAGTCATTATAACAACATTATTACACTATTTCTGAACTATACTTTGTAGAAGGATATAGAGAGAACGAACAGTATTCAATATCAAAGTCCATAAAACAATACAAAATAGGAGCAGAGCAAACACAGACTTCTGAAACATCAGAGGTGGGATCAGGTGCCATGGAGGAGTGAGCATCTCCTGCTAACCAGTCACACCCGCCGTGTGCTCCTTGTCATAATCGGGAAATAACGGGAAACTCCGTAGTCAATTCAGTGTTTAAATAATCGACTAACAATTAGTATGAAAAACGTCAGTCAGCATTTGACTCAATGATAAATTGTATTTGCTGACAAGATCATTGTATCGACCATAGAACTTACGAAATGATGACTTTAAACGAGACTGCTGATGTTCTTGTTTCATCAATTTGCTGGCAATAATTATAATTTACCTCGTTTTAGAAATTGTTCATACGTAGAGCATGCTCTTGCTTATCGAATTAGCTGCATTGTAGTATGTAAAATTAAATATCGTCAGAAAGTACATATATGTTTAACTTTACATCCATTTATTGCTCAAGTACAACTGGTTTTTTTTTGTCACAAGTCATACGCATATTGACGTCATTATTCACATTGGAATTTCATTAAAATGAAGCAAAACATTGCTTCACGTTTGTTGTGTATACAACATGCTAATGAATTTTGTCTATATAGGAGGGTTGTGCAAAAAGTTCGTGGACTTCTGTCATATCTTTTTTTTTTTTTGATGTCATATGTTATACAAATTTGGTAGAAATATTTTAACATTAAATCCAAATGATTTGTATTTTTTTCAAAAATATCAAGATTTCTTCAAAACTTATGCAGATTTTAAAAATGCAGAAATTGCATTGCAGATCAGGTCAAAATTTAGTAAGATACGAACAATACACTGATAATGTCTGTAGTCATGTTCTCTGTGAAATAGGGCAAAAACAAAAAAAAAACCCTAGAAAATTGAATTGAAGAATTGTAACATCGATTAGCATTCCACATAATGGCTTAATACTTTACTTTGTTGAAGAGAAATCAACCTGAGAAGATAAGTAGTCCTAATTGAAAACAACAGAAACAATGACATTTTAGCAGCAGATAACGATGCAGTTTTGTGTTCTACTTCGGAAATATCCTAATAAAAGAAATTTAAACTTTAACGAAGGAAATTATACATAGTGAGAAATTCTTTTTAAAAAATTGAATGTCAAATGTAAGAAAAAGAATTTAATAAGTAAGTAATGGCATTGGATAATACTGTGTGAAATGTTTAGGGATAGCATTTTTTTTTTAGAAATTCTTGAGGTTACATTGACATTAAGTGTGCTCAGCAAGTCCAAAACATGTTGATTTCAAAATGAAGTTAACACAACACATATTTTTGCAAAATATTTTATGCTTATTTTGCATTTTAGGGAGAAATATAACGAAGATAGACATTATCCATGAACTTTTCGAACAACCTTGTATTTATGTCAAATTTGATTTTGATTTGAATTGCAGTTTTCTAAATATAGACATAATTCGGGAACTTTTTGATCACCTATCAGTCTATGGATATCTCGGAACAAGGAGTCCGTCGTTGAAAACATTAATGTAATCTTTAGAGACAAGGTCTTTCAACAAATTATTCGAACTCCGATGGACACTATATATGATCCATTACGAGCTGATCCCTTCTTCTAGTCCTCTGAAGCAGAATTTGCTAAAAATATCTTCTGTATATGAGAAAAAAAAACTGCTGTGACTTACAATTTACCAATGAAATAAATCGATGACGTTTAATCACATAACAATACGTACCTACATTCAATCAATTATGTATTAACAATTTGTTTTAAAAAACGACGTGATTCCAGATTTCCCATTGTCAGTTTACCTTATTTATGTCGTGATATTCCACCATCATCTGCATGTGATATCAACATCGAATAAAATTATATAATATGCAATGACATTTTTAGAGAGCAATTAATTTTGTAATCAGCAGAATGATACTGAGATATACGTTCATGTTACAGGAACAACCCGTTTAAAGATTTTATTTCATACATTCTATTTTCTTAGGCTCTTCTAGGCACCTTGCCCTACCTCTGGTATTTTCACTGGACCCTTTTTTATGCCTTGCTCAAAGATAATAAATTTAGATAGGTCATGTTCTCATCAATGTGATATATGTTTGACTCTATCACTTTTGCATACACAATAACTAGAAAAATTAAAACTATTTTCCATTCTAATCGGATCCTGCAGATAACTCACCATTATTGAGTCAATTTTTTAAAGAAAATTTATAGGATGTGAAATTCTTTATAAATAAAAATATCCTTTTAAACTATTGATTATTTGTGAAATTAATGACATATATTTTTGTCAGAAAAAATATCAAAGGTCATATTCTTTGTTTGGTTTTCAATTATGAAGAGCACTAATACATTCTTGTGTCATTATTTTAATACTGGAAAGATTTAATTAAACATTCATTCAATAAGGAACCCGGAGAATGAGGATCGTCCATGCTTGCTGCTTCTTATCATTCCTTTTCCTGAAAGAGCATGTACAAATACAACATCACCTTCAAAAAGCTTTACAATAGCATTCCGTTACAGTATTCAAACCACAATATGCATACGTGCTGCCCACGACATTTTTGTTGACGTGAAGTTCGCTTGTGTACGCTTTGTTGCACTCGACACGTGTCATCCAAGTAAATGAATATAACCCCTTTCTTGGAGCAGTGAAAACGCAAGTGTTTTTGTTATTCCCTTCTTTAAAATTCGCCTTCACAACATCATACACTATAGTGTGGCCATCCCCAGGGTTCGCATGATCACGTTCCACGTATGCATAGAATCCACGGCCAGATCTATCTACATATGAAATTATAATTAAAAGATCACTTATTGATGTGTCATATTTGAAAAAAAAATGAGAAACCAAAAATGACCAAAAAATTAGAATAACCTTTATTTTCAATTCAGGAATAATCACTCAAGAAGACAGCTTTAATGATATGTCCTTAACAAAAATATATTTCTAGTTTATTTCTATCTCATAGCTACCGACACTTTTCTTTGTTATTTGCATGTTTCTCTTGTTTAAATTCTAAATCAAAGCATAAAGTAAGCATTGCAACCCCCCTGAATTTTAACACTGCCTAAATAAGTTATTCATTTAAAGAAATGAAGTTTCTTTTTTTTAAAAAATTGAATTTTACTTCTCAATTATTTAATGAAATTTCTTCTTGTTCACCTTTGGTAAGGTTATTTGTGCTATCCTTTTTCTTCTCCAGTGTAGAAAGTCTATCTTGTAGGATTTATTTTATATTTTTCGCAATCTTGAAGCGAGCGATCGTTTCCTTAAGCAGCTGATCCAAAACGTTTCTCTGTAAATGTTCTTTTCCAGATCCTTTATCAGATAAAATACTCCCAATCGTTAATTATCAAGGTGTTCCCTTTGACTACAGCAATCACTGAGTAACAAGAAATAAAGTACATAAGTCTCATTTTTTATGATCCAGTATCTACGAATTATGTTTTATACAAATAAGGAATTCTTGAAGCACCTTTCACTTATCCTTCTTGTCCGGTTTGATTTTGTGTTTTTGAAAGGCTTCATCTATGTACTATTGAAAGTTTGAAATATATTGTCGCCATAAAATGGAGAGAGCAACAGGTTTGACAAAACGACACTAAAAGGATTCTTCAGTATAAATGTGAATTCACGTGTTTAAAACAATTGTTTATTTTTCAATTACAGACTATGTATGCACCATAATAATTCATTTCCCAAAACTATATAAAACTCTCATGTACACCTGTTGTGAAGATTGAATCATCATTTTTCTTTAATTTATGCTCCCTGTTCGATTCAAACTTTCTCAGGTTTACAAGAAAAAATCAACTTTGTTTTGCTGTCAAAAATGTTCAGGAAATGTCACGAGACCAGTGGAAGATAGGTATAGGTGTAGATTCATCAATGTACGGAAGAGAAATATACGGAACCAACGAACAGTATTCAAGCCCAAAAGTCCATAAAACAATACAAAATAGTAGCAGACTGAGAGCAAACACAGACCTCGAAAACATTAGTAATGGGATCAGGTGCCATGGAGGAGTGAACATCCCCCGCCGATCGGTCTCATCCGCCGTGTGCTCCTTGTCATAATTGGGAAATAATGGAAAAATCTGTCATCAATTATGTATGAAAATAATGGACTAACAATAAGTATGAAAAACACCAGTCAGCATTTGACTCAATGATAAATTGCATTTGCTGAAAAGGTCATTGTATCGACCATAGAACTAACGAAATGCTGCTGCTGATATTCTTGTTTCATGAACATGTTTGTCAATAATTTACCTCGTTGTAGAAATTGTACGTACTTGTATAGAGCATGCTCTTGAGTATGTGGAGAAAATATCTTTACCTACCCTCGATTGAACTTAAGGTTGATAAAAGTATTGACAATGAAATGGTGTGAACATTGTAAGGTTGGTCTATAATACGTCATAAATCAGTTTATATTCCAGTATCAAGCATAAAAATTTGTGGTCACTCTTCATGCTCTTTTCATCTCTTTCTCTCTATTTTTTATGATACAAGTGCTTACTATGAAACAATTCAAAATATCGATTACTGTATAAGTTCAACAAGTTTCAAATCAATGCCTGAGAATTTAATCTGTTTGACCACGATTCGTTGATTAGCTTAAAACATAACACACGGAACCTTACAAGCACCAATATAATTGTAATATACACAAAGTTACCTAAGGCGAACATGGATGCTGAATAAGCAAATTAATTTTTTTCTATTCTAATATATTTTGATATCCCTTGTTGTATAAAGATTTGAGTATAAATTGAAGTTCGTAAATAATATGGTTTAAAAACATATAAACATAAAACATAAAAGGTTTAATACATTGTATATCAAATAATTTTCTTCCTAGCAAAAGCAGTTTTACGTGTTATTTGAATTCACAGGTCATTTCAAGAATTATTACAAGATTTTCTGAATTTTAACTGCAAATATTTGTCGTATTAAAAAAAACCCTGCGTAATTTCATCACATCACAAATTTTCGTTTCATTAACATATAAATAGTCAGATCAGATTGTTGCTTTGTAAAGAAATTGTGCAAATTCACTAGGTGTTTTTAATTTGTTATAAATTATTATATTGATTCTGAAGTAAGATATAAAAGGAACGTTTTATCAGTCAAAGAAATTAGGTCACCTGGAAGGATCGTGCGTCCTTATTTGTGAAACCATGTTTAAAATACGCAGACAATCTCCGATACCCCAACTGAAAGAACCACTTCTCATTCTCGTTACAAAGGATATCACAACAGTTTACAACTAAAAGCATCAACGGGTAAATGTTCTGTCTGTGTCCAATTTAGATACCTTATCAATGACAAGGTGTGGAAAATCACATGTTAAATGTATTTGAAAGGTCAATTGGGTAATAGTTATCATATTGCCGTCTACATTTATATCCAGTTCTAAAAAGCATACTAAAGGTGTTACTCGTATATTTAAATTGTGAATTCAAGATTCCATTTGGAGATGAATTTATTTAATCAAAAAGTTGCTATTTCAACGCCAGTATCCTTTTCTGCCCTGAAATAGTCGGTAATTTCCTTGCAATAATAACCAATCATTTGTCAAGGCATCAAACGTCATTTCCCGCAGATTATCCCGTTGAGATAATCAATCAAACACTCTACAATCTGTTGAGGGATTTTATCTGACTGGCCATATTGAACTTCAGGCATGAGTCTATCACTATTCTCCACATTTTATAAATGACTGGAAATAATGCGATCCATTTGGTGATAATACTGATGATATATTGTATCTGTGTGATATGTAGATAAAAATAAATTTATATGATATCCATTGTGATTGAAGATTTCACTTAATCAAGCTAGCTATTGCATATACATGTATCAGATCGACCGTATTTTGAGTTCCTGGCATTCAGTTGCATACTCCTTTGAATGTTTGTTTAAGATATTTATGTTTTATACCGTCTATATGTAGGAGGGAAACATTAAAAATCATTTGCTGAGAATACTTTTTTAATACCATTTTATACAGTTTATTTTTCATTTAATGTAAATTAAAATGTATCGAATAAAAAGCATATTTTCTTGTTTTGGTTAAGTATATCTGCATTCTGTATTTCATATCTGCTAAGGTTTGCCATATCATAAGTCTAACTGTCTTGAGGGTAACAATTTAGATGCAGCTATAGATTAATTGGACAAAAATTTATATTTACATTTGCAAATATCTTACTTAGATGAACCTATTGAAAAGAAAATACGTTCAATTCTGTGTGAATTTCATATGGGGGTCAGAGGTCATAGCGCGACCGGATCACAGAGCGATGTGATATTTTGACCAAACGACTTCTAGGTCATTGCGCGTCACTACATAGCAATACGTTGGCGCGTTCGTGTAATAAATATAATTTAACTCGAAATGTATTCGTTTCAAATGTAAATATAAGTAATAAACCACAATGTTAAAAAGTTCACTGAGATATGAACTTTTAGTTGGTACGTGATCAAATCTACTGAGAAGCCCAGGATTTGATCACGTGGCCAACTAAAAGTTCATTTCCCAGAGAACTTTTTAACATTGTTGTTTATTTCTTAAATAAACATTGCATTGTATCCATTAAACCATCATTGATAGGTCTTATCGAAACAAAAATCTCGATGGGTTTTAAAAATGTCAAAAAAGTACTGACATGGGACGCCTACATGATTTTTTGTCAATTATAATTTTTGACTTTTGCTAATTCTTTGTGTCAATGGTAAAAATATTAATGGTCAAATTAAGTTCAAGATTTACCCTTTTACTTTAAAGATGCATTGACACAGATTTGAAGTTAAACATTTCAATAACTTTTAGTTAAAATAATGACATTTTGAAGAAAATTTAAGAAAATATTAACTTCAGATCTGTGTCTATGTACCTTTAAAATACATTGAAAATAAAATTATAAATTTTTAAATAAAAAGAATAAATTTGAGTACCAAGAAATATTTTTCTTTTAAATAACAAAATGAAAAGGCAAACTGGATTGTTTTACACATGCATTAAATCAAAATGCCATAATTAAAATATGTATTACCCGCAAACTCTCAACAATTACTCAATATTTAGCGCATTGAGATTTTTAAATAATCTGAAAATTTTCAAATATTTTGATATTATATCACTAATACATTAATATTTCTTTTTCTTCAGGTACATAGTGTCCTTATTTATTGTCTAGGATGATTTTAAGATTTTCGATATCTAAAGAAAATTACTAATTATTTTTTTTAACCATTAAATTCCATGTGAATATCTTTAATCCTTACTCTTTTGTTATCTCCATTTTAGTTGCTATTGATAAATGATAAATATAGAATCAACGAGAGCTAAATTTGTCATTCCGACGTCGAAATAACATAGAGAAAAACCATTGCAAACATGAACGTTTAATAACATAAGATACAACAATAATTCAACATATTAATTGTTATATATTCATCATATAAACATAATCAGACATTAATTTCTTTAGAATAGAAAACACTTTTTTCCTGTTTTATTTGAGACGTTAATTTTGATTTAATTCTAGAAAATCCTTGTCTAGCTGTCTCTGAGAAGGCATTGTATTTTAAAAGCAAATCTGTTTGCACAAGCACAATCAACAACATTTGTCACAAATAGCAACCAAACATGAAAACGTACATATCTAAAATTAACAACCTCATAATTTAAATAAAGTCAATTGATTATTCCATGTGCATATCGATTTATAAGCTTGTAGATTTAACATTATTTATTTCCATTTGATTTTTTTTTAATCTTGGAAGTTAAACAAGATCATTAACTGTTTATCTTGGGTGACTCCGGTCTGAGAAGGCAGGAAGCTGATTCAACAAATCAAGCATTACGTAACAAGAAAGAAGGTGCTGTGTTGGAATTAACAGATGCTATGAATGAAAAAAATATATATACATTCCGACTTTTTGACGATTTTTCAGAAATGTAGAAATGTACGTCTCTAGATATAGAACTGTTCAAGATACATGTATGTCTTTAATCATAAGTTATCAACTTGGCAGAAATGACATCATTTTTTTAGTTTGACTTTGTCTTGTATAGTGTAAAAGACAATAAACTTATGAAAGCTATTACCATATTGTTCATATCGAGAATATTTTTAAATGTCATTGCTTTGGTCAAATTAGTTTTGTAATAACAACAATTAATATCATATTTACACAACATTTTGAAAAAAATAGACCAGGTTAGTAAATAATATTGAGAAATCTGACAGAATGAGGAATAAAACCTCATTAAATCAAATGCTGAGAGATGTTTCCTTACTTATTTTTATAGACCACTATTTACACACTGAATTATCGACGGATTTTTTCTGTATTTTCCAATCATAACTAGAAGTACACACTGGGTGTGAACGGTCGGCAGGGGATGTTCAATTACATCTGATCCAAGCTTTGATGTTTTGGGGGTCCTTGTTTGCTCCACTCCTATTGTGTAAGCTTTAAAGCTGGAATACTGTTTGTTATCTCCATATGTTTTATATATTAATTAAATCATTGCCAATCAAGAAAATAATAATTTGAATCTGGCTTAATGTGATATAAATGTTTGGTGTTATATAGGAATATTTCAAATATATGCCTCGAACGAATGTAATATTTACACAATGTATAAAAAGTGACGATAAAAAACAATAAACGATTTTAAAAAAAATTAAAGAACACAAATATGTGAAGAGGACACGGAAATCCAGAGATGGGATCAGGTGCCTAGGAAGAGTAAGCATCCCTTGTTGACCGGTCATTCCTGTTGTGAGCTTTCTATGTATTTATCAGGAACTTTCTTATGTCAGTTCAGAAAAAAACAAAAGCCTAACAATTGACATATTTCAAAGATCAATATGCATATTTTTTTTTCATTTACCAACATGCTTATAATATGTTATTATTTTTGTATAATTTTTTAAAAAGAAATTTCGGTATTAAGTGTTTTTTAAAGTGATTAAGGTTTTAAATCCTTTGTATTCTGTATTTTGGTATAATGCAAAATAATGGATAAGACGCCTTCAATATTGATTTTCCAAATTTGCTGGGATTTCAGTGTTGTAATATTTGTATGGAATGTCTTGGAAAAATGTCAAATGTTAAAAAATGAGCAGATCATGTCAATTCACATACGTCACCTCCGCGATTGTTGACAAACCGGCAAAGAGAAAAAAGATGTACACAATGATGACATATCGCTGTTCTCACTTTGACAGCTGGTTTCGACATACGAGCACTGGAATGTCAGCATGGTGAATCAGGTAATCGCTAACGCTGCCTAGAAGTGTTCTCCGGATTTTTCCATGACCCCTACTTCCAGTAACTATCATAGTGGCGTTTAATTCCTTTCCTATGTTGATTATTCCCTCACCAGGCTTCGACGCATGCGTACTTCTGACACTTCCGTTTACCTGAAATTACATCAATTATTGATCAAAACCGAGAGCATTCTATCAAACAGCAAAGGTGTTATGCATTACATGCACATGAAATCTTAGTATATGTACGAGGGGAGATCAAAAAGTTCGCGAACTAATTGAATAACTTCCATAATAGAAACAATATTTGGTTTCAGTGTTGATTATATTTTAAATCAGTCCCCTCCGATTATTTTAATGCACATCTGTCACCGTTCTGCTCATGCGCGAATCACGTGATATAGGCGGTCACGTGACCCTCTCCGCAGCGTTCTGTTAAAAAAGCTGAAAGATTTTTCTGAGTTTAATACTTCTTTCAATGTAAGTTAATTTCTACGCCAAGAACAGTTCAATTGTCAGAAATGGTAAAATCTCGGCAACAGAATGGATGAATAAGAATATCCTTTCCAAAAATAAGCATGGCGACCACCAAAGTCCAAATCTCCTGTCTCGGGAGAGATGTTTATTCAGGGTGGATAGAGAATGGGTGCCTCCTTTTTATCATATCTAATTTGTTTACAATCTAGAGTAAACGATATCTTAGGTATTTAATAATTATATTATTGTTGAAATATTCAACTAATTTTCAAAGTGTTAACTGGAGGTCCTTGATAGCAAAAAGCTTAACTAAAAAAACACATCTCTTTTTAAACTTGCTTTCACTGGGCAACATAACAAGTATCACATTTAACCATCTACCTTCCTTCACTAAAGCGATCAATCCAATCATTGATTGAATTTATAGGTAGTCATTTGTATTAATAAACCGTGTACAAATTATTATACGCTTCTTCAAAGGGATTTCTAGGATATACCATGAATTTTACAGTCAGTTGTTGAACGAGTTCGACTGAGACAACCATTTTTCGTCACAAGTGTCCTGCATAGTGACGACGTCACAAACAAGGAGCAAAACTTTTTTCAGCATATGCTATTTTTAGTACTTGTGTATGGATATGTGTATACCAATTTTTTTTTCCTAATCTGAATTGTGGTTATGTAGATATAGAGATAGTTCGCGAACTTTTTGATCACCCCTCGTATATTAGGATTATTTAGAAGTAACTTGTTTGTTACTTTGCATTGTCATTTAAAAATTTCTATATAATTAACGTTGAATACTTAAAGGATGTCCAAGGACTTAAACTCATTAAACTCTGATTTTAGGGTTTAAAAAAAACGCTCACTCCAAGCTGTCTTAAAATGTTTGCGAAAGTCTGAAGCTTCCTCTGTATCTTCTCTATTTCATGTTTAAATATTGTCTGGAAAGCATCCACATCTTCTCTGTTCGGTGCTGAAAGTTAGAAATTTATCTCTTTTACTTTAGTGTTTGTTTTTTATCACATTCATATTTCATAAAAAGAAATTAACTATTTAATTATAATTATGAAGTTTGGGTCTCAAAGTTGATGTGTCTAGTACATGTACATTGTACAGGTATATTATTTTAAAGTTCAATCATATTTATAAATGAGCTTTTTTTTACTTTGAAAGTACTCGAAAGAAATTTTAAAAGAAGTTAAACAACATTGTTTCAATATGACCAGTCAGAAAGCTTTTTAAAAAAAAATCAATAAATACTTTATCTATACGTATACACATATATCGTTAAATTGGCAAGCATGTGTATACATTGCCAATTTCAGATCCATTTTTTTTAAACATATAATTTCTGATTTACTGCTACGTTAAATATTACAAATGAGATGTAAAATCAGTTTTCTATTCTATGGTGAATTGGCAATTTCCTAGCAATGATAACCAATCATTTGTCATTTCATCCAATGTCGTTCCCAGATAATTATCCCGTAGAGATTCGCGCCATCAATCAAATACTTTACAAGCTGTTGAGGGATTTTATCTGACTGGCCATATTGAACTTCTATCATGATCTTATCATCATTTTCCTCATTCCATAAATGAATAGTAACACGCCGATCAGACTCGTGATAATACTAATGATAGAGTGGATTTAGATTTATAGAACGTTGATGTATATACTGGATAGTTCTCACTTTGAAGCCACTGCGCCGAGGTGAAGATTTCACTCATCTCTACCGCATACACAAGAACTACAATGTCCTGAGGTCGGTGACATTTTGCTGCGTACCCTGTTCAATAAAATTTACACAATATCATGTAACGATTGCCAAGAAAAATAAAAAAAAATGTTGTTTTATTTATATTTTTAAAAAGACATGGGTATGAATATAATGAGGTTCTTTTAATATGACATTTCTATGGAAGCATTCCAGCATAGGCTTTAAGCTATTTGGTTTATGCAACTGTCTCTTTTTTAATCAAAGCTTCTTTTTATCTTGATTGATTTTACCTCACGTGTAATTTAACTGTAAAAAATGAAATAAAACGTGTTTTTTTTTTTCTATTGCTAGCAGAGATCTGACATTTGGTTACATGTAGAAGTAGACATTTGTATTTAAATCAAATATTGGGGTACATCGAAAACATGATAAAATTTTTGAATTTACACAATGTCATGTAACGATTGCTCAGAATTATAAAGATGCGGTTAAAAATATACAGGTATTTTAATAAATATGTTGGTATAAATATAATGAGGTTCTTTTATACGATATGTAACAACATTGTCTTTGTTTGTAAGGTTCATTATATAAAATGTATTTTAGAGCAGCTTGGATTTAATTCTACAAGTGGTAATCCTACTTACACCCATAGCTTTCTTTCTAAGGAGAAAAAGGTTCAAAATCATATGTCAGTTTTGAATATTTTTATTATTCCAAACAACCAAAATGAATTTGAGCTACCACATCTATATTTTCTTCAGAAACTTCAAAAACATTCTAACAAAGAAAGACACATAACGGGTCCCAGTAAATGTTCTACCAAGCCTCTCTCTTTACACCTCACTAAAATATTTCCAGTAGTGACGGAGAAACTTTTAAAGCACTGTGTCACAATATATTTGATTAGTGGTATAAATCAGATGTTAAAACTTAAAAATTCCAGGGAACTTCTCGAAATTTAAAGTCACAAAGTTTTACTAAAATCAACAGCATTAAAGTGTACGACTTTTCAACTTTATATACAACCATTCCTCTCCATAAATTTAAGTCCAGGTTTTTTGATATCATTGACAGCAGTTTTTTCAATAAAAATGTAACTCGTAAATTGTCTCACCATTTCATTGGTCATTTGCAAAATTATTTTGCAATAAATTCATTCTGATTGTACACACAAGTACTCTGAAGTTGATATGAAAAAGATGCTCGAGTTTCTGATTGAAAGTATTTTTCTATTTTTTTGAAACAAATTTTTCTATCAGTGTATTAGAATTCCGATTGGTACCAATTGCTTCCCGTTATCAGCAGACATACTTTTGTATTCATATGAGGCATAATTCTCAAAACTCTTATATGTGAAAAGAAGAAAACTCTTGCTGTTGCCTTCAACTCGACATTTAGACATGTCGACGAGGCATTGTCAACTATAACTGGTTATTTCCATTCTTATATCGATATGATATATTCCGGGGACCTTGAAATAAAATATACAACAGAGCCAGACACATCTGTTTCACATTTGGATATTTTCCTTGAAATGGACGTTAATGCTAATCTAACAACCAACTTACTTTTTTGACAAACAAGATGGCTTTAACTTTTCAATTGTCAGCTTCCCTCAATTATGCGGCAATATACCTTCATCATCTACATACAGGGTTTATATCTCTCAGTTTATCTTATACGTAAGTGCATGATCTACTTATGTACACTATTTGAAACGATGTAAGTTATTGAAAAACAAGTTGATGAAACAAGAATATCAGCAGTTTCATTTCAAGTCATCTTTTCGTAAGTTCTATTGTCAATGCAATGGCCTTATCAGCTTATCAATTTATCATTGAGTCAAATGATGACTGACGTTTTAAATACTCATTAGTAGACTATTATTTAGACGCTAAATTATCGACAGATTTCACCATTACTTCTTAAATCATAAGAAGGAGCACACGGCGGTTCTGACCGGTCGGTAGGGAATGCTCACTCCTCCATGGCACCTGACCCCACCTATGATGCTTGAAGGTCTGTGTTAGCTCTGTTCCTATTTTGTATCATTTAATGGAATTTTGAGCTCAAATTCTTTTCATTATCTCCATATTTTTCATTCTATGGAAGCATTCTTACATAGACTTTGAGCTCTCTGGCTTTTTGTTTGGCTTCTGTAAAGAATTTAGTTTGCAACTTCCTTTTTTTTTTGTAAACGATAATTCTTTAATCGTGATTGATTTTACCTCAAGTGTGATTTGACTGTCTTAAATGAAATAACACTTGTGTTACCTGTATGCGCTGTGTACATGTATAACTAATAGAGATCTTATATTTGTAGAAGTCGACTTCAATATTTTTAACAAAGAAGTCAAGATCAAATCTTAAGGTCAATGGTTAACATGATGACATATTTGATTTTTTTTAAAGGCTTTAGTATATCTGAAAGTCTCTAATATTTTTTTAATGTTTAAAAAAAATCAATAATTCTATATATCATTTTAACTATATTTTTATGAAATGTGTCAGCATTTTCTAGTGAGGGATCTGTTTTATGTTTATATACTCATAGATTCAATTCATAAGAATATGTACTACATGTAACATACAGTGTATATGCATTACGGTGAATAAAAAAACCTCAATGAACATACTGCCTTTCATATATTCTATAAATAGAATAGTTTTCCAGCTTACTAGTCATGATTATATATAAAGTCTCCTTTTTTAGTTAATACTTTTGTGTCCTACTTTCTCGTAGGTGAAGCTGCCTATCAGTTTTAATTGATGCACTGTACATCTTAATATCTCGGAATTATTAGACTGATCCTGATGGCGATCAATATTACAGGAATACGAAACACTATCTCTGAACCCATCATTGTGAACCATAACCGCAGAAAATAATGGGTCTTAGACGTGTCAATAAAACAAGTCATAAGTTGAGATTTGGCTCACCAATGTTAATATGCTTTACTCTTGTTCTTGGTCCCCATGGTTACTTTTTGGCATTATACAACGTGAGGAGATAGGAAAAATTAGAAGAAAAAAAAGAAAGAAAGATGAAAAATGTTGGAGGAACCATTTGAATAGCCTAAATTAAAGCCACATTCTTTCCTTTGTATAATGAAATCACGGGATAAATACCATTCATATTCATGATTAAATTTCCATTATTCCTCAAAACAGCTCAAGAATTAGACAAAGATAGAGTTGCCTTTGAAATTTACCGTATTAATTTATTGTATAAGCAGAATATACAGCGATGTATCTATATTGGCATTTTTAGTGAGAATTGTGAGATTTCTAAAATTGAATATCGCTAGTAATTTATTCTGTATAAATTGTTAAAAATAGATCACTTGCCAAAATCAAGTTGTCAGAATTACTTAAATTACTTAATAAGCTAAAACTTAAACAAAATAGAAACAGGGCAAACACGGACCTCCAAAACATCAGAGATGGGATCAGGTGCCATGGACGAATTAGCATCCTCTGCCGACCGGTCACACCCTCCAAGTGCTTCTTGTCATGATCGGGAAATAACGACAAAATCCGTCGTTAATTAAGTGTAGAAAAAATGGACTAACAATTAGTATGAAAAAAGTCAGTCAGCATTTGACTCAATGATAAATTGTTTTTGCTGACAAGGTCATTGTTTCGATCATAGAACTTACAAAATAGTGAATTTAAAAAAGACTGCTGATATTCTTGTTTCATCTACTTGTTTGTCAATAAATGTCCCCGTTTTAGAAATTATTCATACGTAGAATAATATTATAAGGAATTACTGTCAGATTGTTCGGTTTCATGACTATGATCAATCGATTGGCTTGTGGGATAATTTTATGCAAATATCACGCACACCACTTCATTGATCACATCATGAAACCAAAAAAATATGTCTATCCAGATGTCTGTTAGTTTAAAGCAGGTTTAAAAACAAATCAAATGTAAAAATATTTATTTTAGTTACTTTCATCCATGTGTCGACTAGATATATCCCAGTGGGCTTGAAATAAAGATACCATTGAATCTGACAGTGATTGGATTGCAATTCTGACGTTTCTACAGAATTGTTACATTCGAAACCTGTCTCGCATTCTACATTTCTCTTCAATTTTTGAACGGTAAAATAAACAAGACAAATGGATTTATTTAGCTGCATCTGAGTTTCATTTGTAATATAGTTAAACTGATATTTCTGGTCTGTGTGGCATGATGTTACACGAAATCCATTCCCAGGAATTACAATGTTATAGCAATCTAGCAGTAAATTTTCAAAATTTCAAGTAGAAAGCACTCTTATCATTGGAATTAAGAAATAATATAGTGCAATATTATACATTATACAAGAAAACAATTGCATCAAAGGAAATACTAGCAGTTTATCATTATTATATAAAATGCATGAGGATAACATAGACATGTAGTTCATAATCATGATCACATAGAAAAATCATTACTTATAAAATCTTAAACAATAGTTGGTTATTTAAAATTAATCTTCTAACCTTCGTATTACCGTCATTGCAGTACTATTGCGTTTGTTACGATGGAGAAAATTACTATATAGACATTTTTGTCATTTTTTAATGTCTATGCTGGCCATGGATTTTATGATTACAAAACTTAAAGCTAAGGATCCCAAGAGAAAAATAGAAATCGTTAGTCGTTTAACAGATTGGCGACCCCTACGACTCTAGCTACATGCAAGAACCCAAGGCATTTGTGAGAATGATCTCGGGAATTCAGTAATAACAAAATGGCAATGCAAACATGTAATTGTTCAAAACAGACTCAACCACAACAAACATGACAAACGCGTGATCATTCAGCATAGTCAGCTATATTGTATATCAGTTACCATCGTCGGGTATCAGGGAAAAAATATAAATATAGATAAAGTAGTAATAAATCAATCAGAAAATCAAAGTTTTTTTACCTTAATATATTACAGGGATCGGCTTTTCAAGGAAAATATTTATTTTTGTTTATGAGATTGTAACTAATTTTTACGTTCCCAGCACTTAATAATTTTTTTTGTTAGTATGTTGTACATATAAGCAAAATTTTGTAACAAATTAATTACTGTGAAGAAGAGATTTGTATACTTTGATATTAAGAATTTATTCTACCACTCCGATATGTTTGGAATAAAGATACTCACATTTTAATGCATCTATAGCTATATCACTACCGTCCATTGCGAATATTATTATATTCCCCCTGGTGGTGCGTGACATTTTGTTTTCCCCCACCTTTTCACTAGAGATGTCCGATGTCACATCTTTAGGAGCACATTCAGCCATTCTAACGACGACTCTCCGCCTTAAGTTGACGACACAAACGATTTCCTAGGGATTATATGTTTACTTTATCAAATTGTCCTGTTAGATTTTCGCAGTCATGCGCTGCCAGTAAGTCAGATGCCGAAGCGGATGGAAGCATTGATCCAATATTTGATTCGCCAGACTATCGTGTTTTATTTAGATCAACACGTTTCATCCGTAAGGTTTCTTTCTGCGTGCGCTCCAACCCTCCTCCTTGCGTGAGTTTATTGAGACGAAAATTAAAATCACGATGTTTAATTAATGCTTACGTCATTGGGTTCCTTGCTCGTCTTCGGATTTAGCTATCTTTTTTCAGCCTTGCACTGATTAGTCCATAAAATCTCGTGTTTTGCATGTGACATCGATGTCGTAAATCTTCCCAGGAAATGAGAACGATTTCAGTTCAATTTGACTGACCATTACTGAGATAACTTAGCTTAAGGAAAGTAATCACAGTTCTTCAATTTTCTTTATGCTTGACATTAGAATTAACATGATTAATGACAAAGAGGATATAAGAAATTGCTGATAAATCCCATTCTGCTCCTAAAGTCAGGGAAATTAATCAGTATCAATATGTGAATTAACTACCCATTACCCATCAGTAGTAAATGTCTCCTGTCTCTGTTTTATTTAGTTATAGCGACATAACTGCACGGAGAATACCGAACAAAAAATACGTGAGATTAGACAACCCTACTAATGTGTTCGGGACCTTTTATTTTTCAGTGTTCTGCAAATTATAAAATCCGATGAGTTCAAAGTACCTCTGGCAGTGGCTCTAGCGGGAGTTAGCGAGACTACAGCGAGATAAGGTAAATTATTCATGGAAATGTGGCTAGGAAGTGATAAGCACGTGGAGACATGGTAAACAGAAAAGTTATGTTGCGTTTTAGTTTTCACCACCCTATAATATAATTCTGTAGAAATGTACTTCAATCGATTTCTCTTGAATTTAAAAGTATTCTCCATGATACAATTTTGTGCTGTCATGAATCAAAATTTCTTTTTGGACAAATATTTTGCATGGGAACCTGAACTATATTTTTGGCGTCAGATTAGCAAATGAGGCACCAATGTGACTTTAGCTGACAAATCAGGTGAATGAGAATTGCATTATAGGTTACTACGAATACTACAGGAATTTTACGTTTGATAAATTCCTTTATTGTACTATCGGTGAATACAATTGTCATGTGGATTCCCTGGCCAACACACCTGATCACAAGTAAAGTAATGTACAATTGGCACCCATTGGAATTCTAATAGATTATTGGAAGACATGGTTTCCAAAATCTATACAAAGATATCCTTAATAATAAACTCAAGCAAATTTACGAGTTTCAATTTTATTGAAAAAGCATCTGTCAATGATATAAAAAAGCATGGCCTTCATTTTATCTTGGGAAATGGTTACATGTGAAGTTGAAAAATGTTTTATGGTGTTGATTTTAAAAAATTTTGTAATACCAAATTTTCCCAAAGTTCCCTTGAATTTTTGAGTAACCACTTTAACTCACACCACTTATCGAAGATAATGTTGCAGAGTACTCCTGAAAGTCCGCCTTCACTACTATTCATATTTGAGTGAGGAGTAAAAAAAAAAAAGAGGCTTGGTAGACCATTTACTGGAACCCGCTATATATACTCGTATATATTTGTTTGAAGAGATTTCATGAAGTTCTGGAATCCAATACAGATATGGCAATTCAAACTCATTCTGACCGCTGGAAATATAAAAAAAAATATTCAAAACGGTTATGTAAAGTTACTTTTTTCTGTAATAACAGACCCCCGGTAATTATTTCGTCTTTCCGTCCCCCGTGCCTCGTCCTTACTGCAAGCATAGTTACAACGATTCCAAAATAACTTTAATGGGTTAATTTATAATAAACAAGATGTTTTTTTTTTTGAAATATTTATTTGATAAACGTTAATGTGGCCACATGTAGTTGAACAAATAAAAAGGAAGTTTACAGGGTAGGAAACAGTTTTTGCTGAATTGAGATCAATGTGAGCAAAATTTGGGGTAGGAGTGCAGGGGTGTTTCATTATTACTATAACATCGACAGGTAATTTTTGAAAACTACATTATATTTATGAGGTCATTCAAAAATAAAATACGTAGACAATGTTCCTCATTATTGTATTATTTTTACAAAGTTGAAAATAAACATACATGTATTTTTATATGTAAGAACATTTATTTTATCAATGTGTGAAGTTTCATTCCATTTGATTAAAAAAGGAAGTCAAATTAGTCAATTCTAAAAGAAAAGTGTTTTATTGCCACGGAGTACAGTTAATAACTTTGTAAGAGAGTCGCCCAGTGCCTGTATTGGACCTTGCCTTTAATGACAAGAGAGAGAGAGAGAGAGAGAGAGAGAGTCCCAATCCCTGCATTGGCCCTTTGATAGTCGTACATTGGTCAACAACCTACAAATTGCCTTGAGAAATCATCATGAAATTCTTGCATTGGCTGAATAATAATAGTCGGCACTGCATTACAAGTTTACTCACTTTCCTAGGTTTTAAATACATTTCGTATTCCTTTACCGCCAAATTGCCATTTAGCGCAATATCGACTGCGTACAAGAATGATATGAAGATAACGAAGAGTATTCAATATCAAAGTCCATAAAACAATACAAATAGGAGCAGAGCGAACACGGATCAGAATGAGAAAAATCATGTCATTGTTTCCATGAATACTTATATTCTATGATTTTGGTTGTAATATGACGTTAAATAAAAAAAAATATGACAAAAGTCAACGAACTTTTTGAATGACTTTCGTTTACTCGTGTACACCAAACATGAAGTTAATTTGAATGACATTTTCATGATCAGAAATAAAAAAAAATCTCGAAATTTAATTAATGTCACAGTTATTTTTTTATTGGAGGAAGATGAATGAGAACACAGACCGTCCTTCAAAGAAGTATCAAAGGATGTTTGTGATTACTAGTAGTTGCATGACGGCATCAATGCTTCAGAAAAATATCTAAAATATACAGATCTAAAATTTCCTTTTATTAATAACATATATGTACCGCGTGTTTTTTCTCTAGATATAGATAAATAAATTAAATCTGAAAATTACAAAAATTATTTAAAAACGAAAAAAAAATCCCTTGGATAAACTGTATTTTAAATGTCCTTACTACATATCCCCACATAACCTTGATAATCCTTACACTTCCGTTAATTTAAATGTCTTCGACAATTTCATTCAACATTTTCAGTGAGATCAATATTGACTGTAAACAACTAGGTTGCTATTTAATACCTAGCATGGCGATTCCAAATGTTGTAGCATCAATCATCATATAAAAATCAGGGGCTTATGGTCATCTTTCAATTGGGCAAGCATGTACAGAGCTTACCTGAACAAAATTAAAGAAAATGGTTCTTTTGCGAGGTAAGATGTATATATTCTTTGCGTGTGTAAAGCATAAACCGACTGTCTACATTGATTACGGACCAGGAAATCATAAAGGTCAAGCATGTCTTTCACTGTCTTATTGCGAAATTAACATGGTACATTCCATTAATTTTACAAAATGGCTTTTAAAAGTACGGAAGCTGAACTTATTTTATCGAAATACTAAGTCTTTCTGTACACAATTATAATAATTGTTTCAGTTTGAACCTATGAACATAATATTTAATAACAACAAGATTTAACTGTATATTCTATAAAATGAATTCCAGCAATTTTACATGCTAAGTTTTAGTTTAAGTGTTTCACTAAAGTCATATCTTGGATCCGCCCATGTATCCTTGATTTTATAAGGCATGCTATAAGTTATGGCTTATACTAAATGGTGAGACTGGATGTCATGGGTTTAATAAAGCATATTGACCTCGTAAAAATATTTACATCTGGCCCTTTTAACAAAACAAATCTTACGACTATAAATGCAAGACTTTGGTAACCAACTACAGCTTATATAGATACTTGTTAAGGAAAAGGAAAAAATAGTCTTTGTCGTAAGTTTTTTTGTGAAAAGAGTCACTGAACTGTAAAGTATTCAGCAGTTAAAATGCCTTTAGGTGAACAATGATTTCAAAACTTTTATCTTTTTTAGGAATCAAAATTATAAATCATCACCATCGGCAAATTCGATGAATGGTAATTCCAAGAATATTCAAGTTCCAAAGGAAGACAAACAAATAACAGCATCTCAAAATGCCAATGGAAAGCAGGGAAATGAAAGCAATATTAAGATACCTACGGATCAACAAAGAAAATCGACTGCTCCCTCAAATCAAAACCGACCAACAGAGAAAGATAATGAGATATCAATTCCCATAAGACGCGGTCAGATCACTCAGGACATGTTTATACGAGGGACTAAACTTGACTCATTAACGGACTTTAAAGTCAGCATATCACTTACCATGTCTGGAATTCGGAAAAATTACTCTAAATTAGCTAATGTTGTTAGCGGAGATCTGAGTCAAGAATACTTATCTACAGCAAAGATTGTTCGCATCTTCACTAGTAGTACATTTACAGGTAAACACAGACTGTTATAGATAAGTTTAACTTGATAAAGTCTAAACTTTTAATGTAACACATGTACAAGTAAACACTTAGTAGTACATTTACAGGTAAACACTTATTAGTACATTTACAGGTAAACACTTATTAGTACATTTACAGGTAAACACTTAGTAATACAATTACAAGTAAAACATAAGTAGTACATTTACAAGTAAAAGACTAGTAGTACGATTACAAGTAAACACTAATTGGTACATTTACAGGTAAACAGACACAACACTAGTAAAACATTTCAGGTACAGCATTGGTAGTAAATTTACAGGTAATATACAAGTACACACCTCATGAAATAAAGGGGGGAATCAAATGGCCATTAGCACTACATCACAATTTTGAGTTCTTTGACTAAAATTTTCTAATTGCCTTTGAACAAAAAAAAACCCGGAAAGCATTGTTCAACCACTATTGAAATAACGACCACTATTGAAATAATTATTTCAATAGGGGTTGAGAATGCATTTCAATAACAAACATAGTATGCAACCACTATTGAAATATGATCACTATTGAAATAATTATTTCAATAGTGGTTGAGAGTGCATTTCAATAACAAACATAGTATGCAGTCACCATTGAAATATGACCACTATTGGAATAATTTTTTCAATAGTTGTTGAGAGTGCATTTAAATACCAAACAGAGGTTGCAACCACTATTGAAATACAACCACGATTGAAATAATTATTTCAATAGTGGATTGGAGTGCATTTCAATACCAAATATAGGCTGCTAACACTATTGAAATAATGTTCCCATTTGAAAGTAGTTTTCAATAGGATTGAAGTGTCCGTGTATTAATTGAAATTTCTGCAAAAAAAAATGTTAGAAAACAAAATGTGCAATCCATCCTTATATTTATTTTAATATTTGTGATACTTCTATAGAGTTTGCAATGTGTTTTTTTTGTTAATAAAATCATTGTCAGCAACTGTGTGTTTTTGAAATCAATATTTTAAAATCTATTTTAATTGCTATTGAATATTTATTTCAAAAGGGAAAATTATTTCAACAGTGGTTGAAACCATTATTTTAAAATCAAATTAGAAATTCGTTCGGACGAATTAGATATTTGTTCTGACATATTAAATATCAATGTTAAATAAGTTAGCACCGAATTAGTTATTTGTTGACAAATAGAATATTTCAATCACCGATTTGCACCAAGACGTTTCATTCTATATTTTGATTCTTTGCAAAATAACTTTAATTGTAAAAAAAATATTTATTTCAAAAGTGAAAATTCTTTCGAACAGTGGTTGAAACCTGTGTCAGACAAATTTGAATTTCGGACGAATTAGCTATTTGCTCGGACGAATTAGATATTTGTTCGGACAAATTCCACCGGACTATTCGTTCGGACAAATTAGAAATTTGTTCGGACGAATTAGAAATTTGTTCGGACAAATAAGTTATTTGTTTGAAATAATTATTTTCAGAAAGTGGTTAAATAAGTTATTTGTTCGGACAAATATTGGTTGAAAACTTTGTTATTTGTTGAAAATGTGTGCAACTGTCAGGACACCACTATTGAAATAATTATTTCAATAGTGGTGAAGGGCCAGGTAAAAAAAATATTTTTATTTCAATTAGTTATTTGTTGCATACTCGGACAAAAATTTTTTTTGAAATGCGTTCGGACGAATTAGTTATTTGCTCGGACTATTGAAATAATTATGTTCAATAGTGGTCGTTATTTTTCGGACAAATTAGATATTTGTTCTGACATATTAAATATTTGTTCGGACAAATTAGAAATTCGTTCGGACGAATTAGTTATTTGTTGGGACGAATTAATAGCATAATTATTTTAACAAATATTTCAGCTACTTGTTCTTGCTTATTCAGATACAAAGTTTCATTCTATATGTTGAGCAAAATAACTTTAATGAAATATTTTGAAGATAAGTCGTTTTAATGTTGATCTCTTTCTTATATTTTTTATGTACATATTCACTACCGTGCATTTATTAATCATGACATGTAAATGATTTTTTAAATACATTTCTGATACACATGTCGCCGATTTGTGGCTGCAATATTTCCGATGCGGCGTAAAACATTCAATCAATAAATCTGGTACATATGCGGTGTCCATTGATTTACAGAGCATAGTTATATCCCCCTCCCCTTATTGGAGAGGTACATGTAGTCGAACAAACTATTTAATTTCACTTTCAGCATTTCTTAATTTTGTTTATACCCTTTTACAGTTGAATACCAGTGCGAAGGTTTAATAGGCCAATGACTCACTAGAAAGGGGAATGATAAAACAAACCCCTTTTATGGGGAAATAAATCATGAATGAATGAATGAATCTCAAAATATTTTCAAGTAACAACCCCCCCCCCTCCTCTATTTAAAAAAACGATCGATTGTCTTAATCATTGAGAAGCTTAACTTGCATTAAATTATGATGTGTTTTTAAATTTTACTGCGCTTTCTAGGAACGTACATGTATTCATCTATTTTTTTTATCCTTTTCCCGGAAAGGGACGTGTGTTTAATTTGGTCAATATTATACCTGCATGTTTTAATTCATGCACTTTTCTGATATTTAAATATAAAATAAAATTTACATAGATACTTAATAATAGTTTTTAACGATCTAAGTCCATCTCCATTGGAGATGGACTTATGAGATTCCCTCTTTTTGTTCCTTTATCAGAAAATACTTAGATGTGGAAACATCGGTATAGAAGCAAAACTACAAATGTTCTAGCTAGTAAGCCCCACCTTAAAAAAATTAAGACCCATCGAATGAGAGGCTTCATATTTTGAATCCGAAGTTTATTTAATATAATACAATACAGCCACGTAGCAGCGTTTTTGAAAGTAACTGAGAAAAAAATACACCTGAAAAGTTGACAAGCAAAAAAAAAAGGGACACAGGAAAAGTTCAAAGTTGACACACTTTGATTTTTAATAATAAAACCTTATATCATGCATGGAGTGCCTAACACCACCAGCAAAATCAGATGGTGTTTATTTATGACAAATCATAGTGTGTCAGGGATGGGAGTGAAAAGATGTTTGATAAGAAGTAACTGATGAATTTACTAGTGGGCTCTCAGATAATATACTTTCAGAATGGCAGACTTTAGGCCTATAATATATACCGGTATAGAAATTAACGAATATTTACAATCAACATACGACTTTAATTGCACATGTCTAGTTGCAACGTGTGTATGTCAAGGTCCAAAGAGCTATTTATGTATTAAAAGGGATGAATCCTCCTGAATAGAAATCAAAAATCCAAACAAATATCTATTCCGTGCGAACAAATAACTAATTTGTCCGAACGAATAAGTCATTTTAGTATATATTAATTTATTCACTTTAATTCGTAACTTATTTGTTAACTAACTTTTCTTCATTTCTAGAATATCGTCGAATTTCTAATCCGAACAAATATCTAATTTGTCCGAACAAATAACTTATTTGTCACAAATACGGTTACACCTCATTGCCAAGGGAAATAAATGCAGATGAATTTGAAATTATCGTGAATGGAACGGACAATCAAAATGATAGAGAGCTTTTAAGAAAGTAAGCATGTAAAGTTACTATTACTTACGAGTAATTTTGTGAACCAAAAATTGAATCAATGACATCAGATCTGGGGGCCATATAAATATATGTGTTGTCCTCTAAGGAATCAAAATGAAATTCAGCTTGGTGAAAGTAAAGTCTTAAAATTAATAACGACAACTTTACAAGAAAGGAAATCAAAATAATCATTCATTTTACTATACATGTATATCTATTTATTCATTTTCTAATTAACTAACTTTTTTCCACTATTAATTCCTTTGGGAAAAGTGAATGGAACGGATAATCAAAATGATAAAGAGCTTTTAAGAAAGTAAGCATGTAAAGTGTAATTTTGTGCTGTAATTGAATCAATAACATAAGTTTCATGGTCCCCAGGCGAGGAGATCATAAATTTTGTCTATTCCTTTAAGTTGTAGTGCACATTAAAATATAATGGTACATTTATGATTTTAGATGGTACAAGAGAGATGACAACGCTTTACCTTCTGTCTGCGTGCTCCAAACGATTAGTAAACTACTTCCGGATTACTTGTCACATGATCAAGAAAAGAAAAAAGCCGCCAAAAATGTATGGTGGAATGAAAGCGATGCTCTGCAGAAAATTCTGATAGATATATCTCAGAAAGAGTTAGGAGAAGAGAAAGCTATGAAATATATCATATCAAGTAAAATATAAACATATACAAGGTGCTTTTTAATAAAATCTTTTTGTATTCGCATTGATAAGCCCAAAAATTTAAATATTTGAAATAGAATGGAGCAGCAGATAATGTCAAACCCTCTTTCTTTTTTTCTACAGTTACACATCTAGAAGTCCTCAAAGGGATTCTGGAGTGTAGCAACGCAAGCAACCGATGTCTTTGGTTCAAACGAACTATAAAGGATATAGAAAACGTGGAACCGAGCTGGCAACTGTCCAGATATATAGGTGCGTTCCTATAGTTTTAAATATTTTATCTTTTATTTGTCAATCTATAAATAAATCAAGCATTAACAGGCATCTGTAATAATTTTTTAAACCCACACAAAAGATTATAAATTCATACCACTATGGGTTAAAAAAATAACAGAAAGAAGCATGCATTTTTTCAAACAAATAAAAAACAAATGATCAAAACTATCCAGTGTGTACATCTTTTTGATTACAAGGACTGCTCAGTAAGCTACATATTGAAATGAGGAAATGGGTGAAAACATTTCTATACTTACAGAATGTTTGGGTCAGGAAGAAAAATGGCAGAACTCTCGAAGACTTTTAAACAACCTTAAACAAAAAATGGTGGATTCGTTGCCCTCTGACAACATCCATGAATACGTCATTCCGTGGACAGAGAAAGGTGAGAGTTTAAAGTTAGCTAATGAAATACATGGAGATAATGCAACATATTCAAGCTCAAACAGCCTTTACTATTGTCAAAATTTACCAAGTCTGTTATCATGAACATTTCTATGAAACATATATTTTTATTTTTCTTGTTATTTCCTCGAAGGATTTTGAGTAAATATTGATTTTTTGTTTGCATATGTCTCTCTGCAGGAAACTTTGAAAGATGGAAACATTTCTAGAACTGTAATTTTTTTAGAGGCAGATGTTTTATATATGATTGGCCTCTCTTGTTTCAATTTGAAGTTGTATTATTTGTCTGTTTGGTCTTTAAATACATTTTCATATGATTTGAGGACTGAAGACTTACAATTGTTAAATTTACTAAAAGTTATTTAACATCTGAAGGTTTATTCCTGTCATTTGAACATGTTGAACTTTTCATATTTTTTAAGTATATTTAACTATAATTTACCAAAAAAAATGATTTCTTTATATATATATATATATATATATATATATATATATATATATATATATATATATATATATATATAAAGTTTTCACAGTAAAGATTCATATAATATAGGAATGTCATATATTTCTTCAGCTTTTTGAAATGAACATGAATTAGTATATACCAAATAAGAATTGTATTAATTGTATAGTATAAATTACAAGGGAGAACTGAAAGCATGTATTGAATGTAAACAAATATATTGTACAGTCTGTAAATGTGAAAGCAAAAATAAAATTTATGAATTAAAACAATTTTGATTTACAGGATCTAATATCATATAATTCTTGTTTTATACATCAAAGTACATTACGAGATATTTATATATTTTTGTATAATTAAATAGGCGTTGATCCTTCTCTTCCTGAACATAAGCAATACCTACAACAAATAAATGAGGATTTTGAACATCTCATGCTGACCATGATTGACAAAGCTATTGTGGAACGTGAAAAAGAGTTCAAACGAGAACCAATGTTAGAGGAGTGTCTTCAGCACCTCGAGTTTTGTCGGAAAAAATCCCGAGCGTTTGGGCGTGATCAAGACTTGCAGGTTATATTTTCATATATATGTGCAGTTATAGGCTCGTAGTTCGCCTTGGATATGATCCTTTTTCTGAGAGTAGTTGTTAGGTCGTTTTAAAAATTGTTTTATTTCAAAAAGGTTTCCTACAACCAACTATGAATAAAATTTCAAGGGACTGATGCTTATGTTGATAAATATTGATTTTCTTTTAAATAAATTTAGGTCTGACATATGAATCACAGTAAATGTATAATCGAAATGAAAATGAAGTGTAAGTTCAATGAATTGAGAAAGTTAATCAAAAAGCAACTTTTAGCTGATCAAAAGTAAAGTATTGTCTGTGTACATTTTAGAAAATCAAAAGCTACTTACAAGGAACAAGCAGATGTCCATTCGTTGATCATGCAACTTCTGGATCCGGGAAAACAACACTCATGGCGATGGCGGCTTCACGGACAAAATCCTGGCTAACAGAAAACGTATCAGTAATCATGAGGTAAATACATGGATAATTGTATTTTTGATAGAATCACAAGCATTCACAGAGTTTTAAGATGAGTCCAACAAGTATCATTGTTACAGATCTTTAGGAAAGTTTCTTTCAAGTTACGTGTCATTCTTTTTAATTGTTTTCTCTTTGTTTTAAGTATATAATGCCCAGTATTTATCTACGAGAAGTGGATACTTACATATATTAATAAATATCTTAAAAGTTTATCCTGATCTTACCAATACTTAATAAAGATTTGTTGGGACCACATCTGAGAGCACGGACATCATCCCTTTCCTTCAGTACTTAGCACAACAAATTAAAGAAGCAAAGGGAAAATACGCCTTTAAGGCAGAGGTAAAGCCAACAGAAACTTTTCTATAATTAATTAACTCATATATATATTTAACTAACTAATATCTATGAAATATATGGAGATAACGAAAAGTATATTTAAGCTCAAAGGTCCATTAAACAATACAACATAGGAGCAGAACAAACACGGACCTCCGAAACATAAGGGGTGGGATCGGAGGTATGGAAGAGTAAGCATCTCCTGCCGACCGGTCACACCCGCCGTGTACTCTTTGTCTGACAAATTGTACTTAGTATTTGCTGACAAGGTCATATATCCATTAATGTGTTTCCCCTTTATTACTCATAAAAAGTGACACCGGTAAGCGGAGTAGTAGATGTTCATTTATCAATAAACATAATCAATTTTAATTTTAATCAATGTATCCATTAAAGTCCCACGACAGAATTCACCCACTGGTTGAATAGTTAATTCAGATTTTAATATTAGAATAAATGATTTTTATTTTGCATTTATGAACGGTTGAAAAAATGCAGAGCACGTTTACTAAGCATGAATACCTGGTACTCCATCTGAAATATTGCAATTTTTTATTCCCGAATTATAGTAGCTCAATTTTTCTTCAATAATTATACTTTTTATATTTTCACAGGGTGACTTTAAGCACATATTGTCTGATTTTCAATCAAGTCTTATAGACGTTTCGAAGGACAAACCGATCGTATTGTTTATTGACGCGTTAGATCAATTCAGTGCCTCAAATGGTGCCAGGGAGTTGCTTTGGTTGCCGAAACATCTTCCAGACAACGTCAAATTGGTTGTTTCCACACTAGAAGACGCAAAATATGAGTGTTTCCGAAAGTTAAAGGTGAGCAAAGACCTTGCTTTTCTCTTCAAAAACCAAAAACTTACAGAAGCTTTCTCAAAGTAAATTAAACAGGGGAATAACTTGCAGTACATTTTAAATTAAAAAGATGAAGTTCTGTTTCAGGTTGTCGTGAAAGAGGACACAAATTTTTTACAACTCAGGCCATTCACTAAAGAGGATATCCATCAAATAATAAACGGCTGGCTAGGAAATGACAACCGAACATTGACCCCTGAGCAGCGATTCGTCTTGATTTCAGCTTTCAATGAAACCCCATTGGCACTGTTCTTGAAACTCTCCTACGACACTGCAAGTACTTGGACATCATACTATTCGGTGGACCAAAACAGCTTAGAGAAAACCGTGCGTGCTAGCATCAATAGATTATTCCAAAGATTGGAGGTTCTACACGGAGAGTTACTGACGTCCAGGGCTTTTGGATATCTAACTGCTGGTATGTGATGAATTCGAAGCCAAAGGTAGTAATAAAATGAAAAGTTAGGAAATAATATGGTTTTGTAGAGCTTTCTCAATGTAATTGATGCCCTGATATATTATTCATATCCATTATAGTTGTAAAGATATACAGAGGTTTGCGAGAAAGGGTGATATGATGAGGTGTGTTAAGAAAGGGGTCTAGGCAGGTTTTTTTTACAGTGTGTAGAAAATCAATTAGAATAAATGAACCTACAGTATTTATTTTTGTCTGAGACAAAAATATTTCTTTGCTGGCATAAAAGCCTTGTTTAATTATAGATGCATTGTCGACGTATGATAATACATTCAAGATTTGATTTTGATTCATACAGTGTTATTTTTTTTTAATTTATAAATGATGCTTAAAGCTGATTTACATTTAAATATTAATTAAGGTATTATTATTTAATTCATCTTTATTATTTTATTTTTAATTAAGCAAAGATTGGACTATCAGAAGCAGAATTAGAAGACATTTTGTCATGTGATGATGACGTATTAAATGACGTGTATATGTACTGGACGCCCCCTGTACGTCGTTTACCGCCATTGCTTCTTGTCAGATTAAAGGCTTCTTTGGAAGACAAACATTACATAGGTTATACACTTAGACATGTCTAAAGTAAATTCTTATATAAATTACAATTTGTAATATCTACATTATAATGGCTAAACATTTTCGTACGTCTGAAAAAGAAAGCATATCAGCATTCTTGGTATGTTAGTATATATCAACAAGAATTAAAGTAAATATTCAAAATCAAAAGGTCTTTGCTCAAGTAATGTAATGTTAGTGAATGTTTTTTGAAACAAACCTTTGGCTTTGTTTTTGAAGTTGAGAGGGGAGTGGACGGTATACTGGTGATGTACTGGTACCACCGACAGTTCTCTGAGGCTGCCTATGACCGTTACTGTGCGGATACAGACGCCCGCCAAAACCTTCATGCTGGGTTGGCGGACTTTTTCAGTGGAGCTTGGGCTGAAGGTATTAAAGCATTTGTTAGTATCGGTCACAATAACCTTTTTTCACATTTGGTAATTTTGTAAAGCATATTTTCAAATGTGATTTTGATTTATTTAAAAAAAAAGAATAAAAGTCATGTTGTCTCATTCGTAGGTAAAATGAAGCCCTACACAGATCGACAGGGTAATACTGATTCAGCGGATAGACAGGCTGCAGAGCAGCCATTCCAAAATGGCGACCACTATAACACCCGGAAACTAAATAACTTGGCATATCATAGAATTATGTCTTTGGATTTGCAGAAAAGCAAACAAGAGTGCCTTTTTAACTTTAATTTCCTGATAAAAAGGCTTAAGGGCACCTCTGTCAGGCAAGTACAGATTTATTATAAAACCTTTTCTAGAGAAAGTTTGGATGAATATTGATTTTATCCTGTTCCTTTCGTCTGACTGTCGGGCTGTCTAATTCTTCCTTCTTTAAATTAATTAAAAGAATTAAGCCCTGTCCCTTTCGTCTGACTGTCGAGCTCTCTTATTCTTCCATCTTTAAATTAATTAAAAGAAATAAGCAGTAACCAATTCAACTTTTAGGATCTGATAGGTGATGTTCTGCGTATTAAAGACTTTAAAAAAAGTGTTGATTGTTTAGATAAAGAAATACCTTGAGTGTGAACACATTTCATATATCATGGTTTATCTGCTTTCAGGCAGCTTTTGGAGGACTTTGAAACTGCTACTGATGTTTTTCCATCCGACAAAGCAATTGACCAAATACTCCAAACATTGAAACTTTCCGAAAGTGTCCTGATGAATGAAAGGGATTCCTTGGTGTCTCAGATGTTGGGTCGTCTTCCGTGTACTGAGGTACATAATTACATTAAATAATTAATGCCGATATCTGCTCTGGATACAAAGGTACTTAAAAGTAGAATAGACATTTGTGCACTTTTCGATCATGTGTTCTCATCACAGAATAGATTGTTCCTGAAATGTGGTGATTGATCAATGTTCTACTAGACTCCAAAGTTAAATATTCTAATTTTTCCCAACTACAATCTAGAATGGATTAAGATTTCGAAAAAACAATTAATTATAAAATTCTTAACATACATTTTAAAACATTAATTCTACGGCAAAGTAAATATGATGCACTGTTTTTCTTACTCAGGAAACAGAAGATTTTCTTCAGCAGTGTAGAGATTCGGGCGTAACGTATATACAGACTAACAGGTCCGTACTGAGGCGGCCGGGTGGACAGCTGAAGCACGCCCTACACGGGGATGATGAAGATGTCATGTACCTAGACATGTCACGTGATGGCAAAACAGTAGTCACAAGTAAATATTCAAATGATCAGTTCTTGCGAAATTAATTCAAAGACCACTGCCTTAGACCATGTCCTTCTAGCAACGTTTAAGGAGTATTGTAAAACTTCGATGGTTTTCCATTAGAAAGGGAGGAAAATAATGTTTTTTTCATTTATAATTTTAAAATCTTTTTAAAATTATGTCTTGCCTCAAAGTGCGTGAATGGCGTTTAAATGATTTCAGTCCAAACCAAAATTTTGGAGACACCATGTGCCTTCAGATCGCTTAAATCGACTGCAGAAATTAATAAAGCGATTTCAAGGTTTTTGAGTTAAATTTTTTATAAAGTACGTTAAAACTAAATGTAATGAATGTACATCTTTTTTGTCTATATTGAAAAGAAACATCAAGATACAAGAATTGATTTTAAATTTAGAAAAAAATGAGTTGTATGATTGGTAAACATTTACCAACTCACAAGATGAACAATTGTGAAAGATAGAAGCCTTTATGCAATATGTTAAATACGTTCAGCAGAAACATTACTACATCGAATTTCACGTCCTAACAGGTGCGTTAAGTAATATAGTGAAGCTCTGGGACGTCCAAAGAGGAAAACTTATAAGAAGTATAGAGGACCTTGATAAGCTGGTCAGAAATGTTAATTTTATTAACAACGACACGGGCATTCTAGTCCGAACATCAGACAAACTGCTGGCTCTTACCCTTTACGGCGATATTCAGTGGACTATTCCTCTGGAACATCTTTATTCACTGTACTGCATTGGAGGGCCGGAGAAGACTATCTTGTGTCTGTATAGAGATGATCGCCTCCAGTTTTATGATCTTTGTGATGGAAATCTGACACATTCTACAACAACACAAGGAACGATTCTTACGGATCCTAATGGATACAACAAGAACGGTATGTCTCTATGTTAAAGTCAATTGGTTTTTAAAGTAGAGAATACCATATTTTTAAAGTTATCCATTTCACATAATAATGCAAAAAAAAATTTCAATGACATGTGCGTTAAAGCATTCTTTCCTCAAGCTACGATTCAAGTCCGTCCTCTCTCAACAAATATATCGCTCTATCTGTTCAAGAAGTTTGGATGTCAATTCCGAAAACACATAGAAAATGTATGAAGAACTGAAGTCTTCCAGCAAGATCATTTTTTTACTTAAGAAATACGATGGGTCAACACCAGGGATTTACTATACTATTTTTTCCTAAATTAACCCAAGGGATTTAAGTTTGTATATAAAGCGTCTCTTGCAAAAAGAATTTCCCTCTCTTTTTATTTTACGTGATATATCTTTTTAAAACTCTTTCTTGACTGGTCTCCTTCATGTATAGGGGATTTGGCTCCTTTCGATGTTGTTTAAATGTTGTTTTTTTTTCATGACATTGTTCTAGCTGTAGCAGACATTCCATTCAAATAGCAATTTATCATAAAGATTATATATATTGGGTTTTGCTTTGTATTCAGATTATATGCGTTTTTGCTTGTATTTTTCATTTTAAAAGAGTACGGCATTTATATGTATACGTATATATGCTATACTCAGTATATGTTATATGTACATAATTTATTTTTCAGATAATATGTACAGTTATAGAATGGAAGTCAGCTACGGTAAGATTTATGGAGATTTACAGATTCGTAACAAATAACGTCTTCTGAAACGACGTATCCTCTTTTGATAGGTACTTTATGGACTAGGAAAAAATAATACACGTTTACAGCATTAATCTGTATTCTCTTCTTGAATATTTTATTTTTCAAATAAATTATAAATAAATGCTATTTTATGTGTGTTCAGATGAGTCCATCCTGTCTAAAGACTCAGAAACTACTTTCAAATGCAAGAGAAATTACTAGTACATGTAGATATTTATCTCAATTCTCTATGGCATTTTTCTGATGTTTTGATAATCCCTTCAAAAAATTTCACAATAATTATTGATACACTATGAATCCCTTTGTATTTCATATTTGAAACACCGCAATTTTGTTATTATAGGGACGGACACGTTCATGGCTCTGGTAGACAATAGTAAAAAGTTATTCACTATGGTGGATCTCGAGTCTAAAACAACATCGAAGTTTTGTCGCGTATTTCAGGACATTGAGCATGAAATTGACGTGACTGATAATTTAGAAATAGACGCCATTGCAATCACAAAGGATAACAAACACGTTATTGTTGCTTCAATGATGCAAAATGATCTCATTCTCTTTGATGCAAGGACGTTGGAAAAAATACAGTGTATTCCAGGTATTTCAATGAATGTATCTATTTTAGTGAAATATTCTCAACTGGGACTCAACTTTTCACACAATCAATGAATTAATAAAAGAATGCGTTTTTCAGTCTGCTAAAAAGTATCAGTATTAACAAAACGTAAATAAAAACAATGCTGACAGTACAGGAAACATTTTGCTTAATTGGCAGGGAACTCCAAACTGGTTTCTGAGAAGTTTAAGATATCCAATGACGGTCGTTTCCTTTATTCTCCCTGTAATTCTTATGTCCTTCTCTACGACCTGGAGACTTGGGAGAGGACCGCAATATTCCGCCATTCACACTCGATTCACGATGTTCAATCCGTGGATGCAAAGACTTTTGTCACAATATGTGGCGATTTTGGTATCTGGATTTGGGACAAAGACGGTGAAGAAGCAAAGGGTCAGATGGACGGATTCATTGGAACATCCGTCAGGTGTAGTAAAAAATATATATTATTGTGCTCCTTTGTTATCTTTTTAAATTAATTTTCATGCAGCATAATTTGTTCAACAAAAAGCTTACAAGAAAAACAAATTGTTGCTGTGGCGATAAACTTGGCATTAAGATCTATCGACAATATGCATCATCTGTAAGCATAGTTTCTCTATCTCCAGTGTGGATATTGATGTTTTAACTGATTAAGGCTTTGATTAGGATTAAATTATAGCTTTTGACACATTTTTATCCCAAAACAGCGACTTGATGCAGATACCTAATAGCTACTACGTGGTCACATTAACAAGTCACAAAGATGACCATTATATACAGGTTCATCATGCAGTGAAGAAAATCAAAGTTCGACAATCCAAATTATACAAAGACCAGAAGGTTGGTATAGACTAAAATAGATTATTTCAAACCTCTCTACATAATAGAATATTTATAGAATTACTGTTTCAAGCTTTTTAGTCTTCCAACATTTAGTTTGTATTCAAAATTCTTAACGTTCTCACAATTTTTCAATATATTTGTCATGTCACGTTTTGATCGTGACTTTCTTACATTGTATGTGTATATATATTTTCTATACTTATTTTGTATTATTTTTATTATGTCTTTTAATGAAGAATATCAACAATCTTTATGCCATTTTTATAACTATGGGTAAACAAATATTTCCATTATATGCATTATTTAATTCCTAACAAATCATTACAATGCAGTATGGATCTGATTTCCGTCCAAGGATAAAGGGTCTTATTTCGGATAAAACGATTTTGATGCGAAGTCACTCAAGACAACTGAAAAACGTGAGCTTGGAAACATTGAAACCAACGGTCACATACCAAGGTCGAACTGCCAAATATGCACCGGTAGCCATATTTTCTGAAAGACAAGGTATAAGCAATATTGAATCCAGTAAAATTCTCCCAGATTCCGTTTTTCTGACAATTAAGGTGATTGCTTATGATTTTGAGTTTGTTGGAACTGTATTTTGTGTATGTCCTCATAATCATTATTTGTGGCAAATATCATTTAAGGAATCACTGCCCAGTTAGTAGAGTATATCAGGGATTCAACAATACTAGTAGTTGGAAACGTAGAGTAATTTGCATAAATTATCCCACGTTTACAACTATCGTTGTTCTCCCTTGCTTACTCTACTGACTAGACAGTGATTCCTTGTATTTCCATTTCATGTTGAAATAAAGAAGATGGGTGGATAAGGCGGACGAAGTGCCTATAGTGCGACAAATGTGAAGTGAAAAACTAAATCTCAATTATATTTAATTTTTCCTTGATATTTTTCATCTGACATTAAGCATACTCAACGTAAAAATCTCTACAATGTACAAAAATCTCACAAAGACTGAATTGTTTGCGTATGAAAAAGCCAAAACACACTAAAGAGAATAAAAAGATAATTTTCTCATACTTAAACATTTTTTTTTCAATATGAGTGGGTTTTTGAATAACGAAAACATGCAGCAAAGACCCACCATACCTTACTATGCAACAATCATAAGCCATGTAGCGTAGTGGTTAATGCGTTAGTCTCAAAGCAATATGATACTTCGGATTTTTATTGCTAGAGTTCAAATCCCTCAAATACTATCTTAAATTTTATTTAAAGAATAATTTTTTCCGAGATTTTTTCTCTCCCGGAAATGGTATTTTTCTCATAATTTCATAAATTTTAATAATGAGAAAGTAATTTAGATACTCATTTCACAAACTGAATATGATTTCTTGATATCTAAAGCTATAGGCATTCTCCACGCCTCGCTTGTTCCCGTATCTTCTTGTAAATTAAAATGTTGAAAATGAAGACTAATGGCTTTAAATAACATAGTTCAGTAGCTCAAAAGTCCATTAAATCCCCTTCATTAAAGTTCGAAGCATTTGAAAGAAGGAATTTTGTTATCTTTCAAAGATAACCTGTATTATACAATTCATTGTCAGAAATAGCCACAACAACAAGAGGGGGTTCTCACATCAAGATACAGTGTTCCCAGACTGGTCGTACAAAGTGTGTCATAAGAATACCCCAAAGCATCTCCAAGAAAATAGAAATGTTCGAAGTATGTATATGCCGTGAAATGACTTTTCATTTATAAAATCATAGAATAAACATTTCACTGTTAAATGGTTTTTCCACCCTCTTGAAGAATGAAAAAAAATTAATCTCTTCTTTAATGAATTATTTTAAGTGTTTGTGACAGGGATCAGTTTTAGCTCCAATGGTGGGTCTTTTTGTCGCACACGTGGTGAAATAAGCATATTTGTTTAATTGTTTTTGTTTTCACAAAGCAACAAAGCAAAATATTTCTATTAAGATACGTTCCAAGGAGGCATATTGTTGTTGCACTAAAAATTGTCCAATACTTGATAATTAATTGATCTCCAATAAAATTTCAAAAAAAAGTTAAGGTACGTGTTTGAATAAATTTCCTGCTTGTATCTTTTAGTCTGGTTTCCGGGGGAGCCTATTATTGGTGTTTTACCAGGAATCCCCGAGAGTCTCTGTTATAGACATCGCCAGTCGTCAGGAACGGTATATCATAGACATGTACTCTGAGCTTGGCTTCAGTACTCATACATTGCTTGAGCTAAAGATCGCCCCAGATGACTCGTTTATCTTGTTTACGGAAAGGAAGACACCAAAAGGATACAAACCCGGATCTAAGAGAGTGTACATTTCAGTCGTCTACGATGTACAATCTCGTACGGTTTTTATCTACATAGAAATTTAACCCCCATTTTAATTACTCGTTTTAAATATAATATTATTGTTGAATTTTAATTTTATTAAAAGAAATTAAGTTTTTAAAAATATCTAACACATTTTAACTTTTCCACCATTCATCTACAGTAAATCAATTCTAAACCCAAAATTAAAAATTTAACCGAACGCATCTTTCACTATCATTGTTCAGTAAAAACATTTACTCTGTACCAGAGATGAAAACAGCCGAGTTTTTCTCCAGCGGAAAAATTTATTAAGGAAAATAGTTTCTAATGATTTTGTTATTCAGCTGTTATACTTGTTCCTTCGCAGAATACGGTATTTTGATGGAGTAGCTGCCTGTACATTGTTTAATAACGTACATGTTATTTTTATGGTTACAAAATCAATTGTTTTAGGGACTCTGTTCTATTGATGATTTAACCTTTATATTTTTTTCAAAGGAAACACAATCGAACTTTTTGATCGCTACCAGGATGCAGAAAACACAATTTTAAGAGGAACCAGCAAAATCTCCATTTTTGGCGCTGATATTCTAGACGACAATAATATCGTGACATCGCACGAAGACGGAAGCATGAGAGTATGGAATAGCAAAACAGGTTACTGATATATAAATGATAGGTATTGTATTATTAAAGAATGTAGTTAAAGTAACAAAAAAAGTAATAAACTATATTAATGACAATAAAAAGTAAGAATTTAATTAAGAAGGAAAACTTGTTTTGTACACAGGTCAGTATCTTGTTGGATTTTTATCTAGGTTTTGAACATTCGATGGATAACTTAAAAAAAACAGATTATACATATCACAGTTCACTCTCTAGTGATAAAATGTCCATTGTTTAATATTTTTAAACATTCTAGTCAACCAATGTCCCTGTGAGGTCGACCTACTCCTCCTGAACTGGATTCCTAAACTTCATGAGAATCCTAATAAGATATACTGCCGAGTCCAGCAAATCCTCTACCATGTCGTTTTCTTTTCCTTTTACAAATGTCAGTTGAGAAAATTAAGAATCGGAATTTATCGCGGTAAATTACAAACTAACCTCTTTTGTAATAGAAAAAAAAATCTATATTGTGATTGGTCCTCAACAAAATTACTTCTTCAAAAATTAGGGATGTCAAAATATTAATTTTCCTTAGTCGAACATTCGATAGCATTATTCAAATGATAGTCGGCTATTCGGAGCATTTATTATTTTTTGTAGCACACTTTTTTGAAAGCTTATTAATTAAAATAAAATGGAAAATTTGAAATAAATTGGAAATGGGGAATTGTAAATACACACTATCCACACCGACGATGAAAATGTTAAATACTGTTTTTTAATTAATGATTGCCTATGCTATATATCAAAATATCTTTTATGTAAGATTGTTGTTTTAATAATTATCGAACTTTAAAACTTCACGGCTATGCAAATATTGTGTGTTCCTAAGCATTTGAAATTCCTAGAGTTTATAAATATAACTGGTACAAGTCAATTAAATAATTTTATAGTCCAGTATAGTGTTGCATAATTTAATACGTACAATAACAAAAAAAAGTCAGTGACTGAGAAATAATAATCGCCGTATGTAATTACTGTATTTTCCATATGGACAATGTGGAAAATTATTTATACATGTATACTGTGACTCTTGTTCGTCTGAAAACATACACTATTCAACTGTATAGTTTAAGGAAGGACCCTTTTTCAATTTTGAGATGAAAATTTCATTATCACCCCATTTTCTTGCATTTATTTAATATTCGAATGTTGTTTCCTTATTCGATCGTCGGTCCATTCGACTGACAGTCGAATAGTCGACTATTCGTTGACATCCCTATCAAAAATTACTCTAATTCTACACAAAAGTACTCTGAAGTTACATGGCGGGTGTGAGTGTTTAACAGGGATTGCCTACTCCTCTTAAGCACCTGATCCCACCTGTGGAATTTCCACGGGACCATGTTTATACCCTGCTTACAGATTTTTATTGTTCTTAACTTTTATGAGATCGATCTATTTTCGTTACCTTTAGCCTTTTTCATTACTTGGTATTATTCTGCTTTAACCTGCATATAGCTTTTACATCTCCAAACGATTTCAATACCCAAGAGCATGCACTAAGTACATGAGTGAGGCAATTTTTGTAAACGAATTAGACTGTTCGTAGATAAGTTGCAAAAAGATGTCAACAGTATAGTTTAAAGTCAGAATTTATAAATCTGTGGTCGTTTTATGATGTGACCGATTGAACGAGGATGCTTATTCCTCCTAGGCAATTGACACCATCTCTTTTTTTTTTTTTTTTTTTTTTTAATGCCCTGCTCACATAATTGTAGGATTCTTAGATTGTTTTCGTTTTCTCTCCTTACTTTTTTGATTTTTTAAACCAAAAATCCAATTGATCTAAGGATTAAGATGTGCCATTATTACCTGCATAATATATTCAATACCCAGAGCAAGTTCTACGTACAAACAAATCTTGATCGAGGCAGGCTGTTGACAAATGAGTTGAAGATACACGAACATCTGACAAAAGCCTTTTGTTAAATCTCTGTTTGACCTTGTTAGCCTTGTTTAGGGGCCGGTGTTTTCAATGCTCTTAATCCAATTGTTTACATTTTAATCAATTAATTTTCTGATTATAATTTCGGTCAAACCGCATCTTTACTAGAGACAATTATCTTTCTGTAAGGTATGATATATTAACTAATTTGGCAATGTATTTTAGGTGAAGTATTAAAAAGACTTGGCGAACAAACGTCATCCCCTGATTTAATCTCTTCTCCGGGAAACCCTTACTTTTTATCCAACGGTGAAAGCGATACTGGAAGAACCTTTCGAGTTTGGAGTAAGGACACATTTCAAAGCGTCTCATCATTCAAACTTGATAAAAAAGTTAGTATACTATCCTAGTAAAATTGAGTATAAGTAAAAAGAGTATGTATATGTGTCTGAGCGTGAGTACTTGTATGTATGTGTTCACTTACTTCATTAAGATGACTTAATTTAAATTCAATATTTTCCTACTTTAACGTTCAAACTGTATTTTATTCAAATGGAAATTTTAAATATTGGTACGTACTGTTTCAGATATCAAGGGTGCTATTTTTGGACGGTAATAGAGGCTTTGTTTCTTGTGAATCTAACCCTGCCAGACTTATACATTGGACAGTAGAAGGAACTTCTGATGCACGTGAGGAAGCCATTCACGATCAGGTCTCTTTTACCGGTCAAGGTGAGAAGCTCAAGGAGATTTAACAATTGCAGTGGTCACAGTATTGATGTCAATGGAAATCGTTTGCTGGTTGGTAAATTAAGATAAAATGTCAGTCAATTTCCCATTGATGGGTAAGGAACAAAGTTTAGAAATAATAGATATACCTGAAAATGTCCTATATTTTTATGACGATTGTTTCAATCAATGTTACGAGCTATTGCTTCAGTGAGAACATAACAGTAGGTTTTTAAAAAGTAATTTATACTCAGCTATAATAACTTAAATCATAAATAAAAACCTTTCAGATATATTTTTAAATGATTCAGCTTTAATATTTTAAATACTGTTTTCTATATAGTTCTGAACTTGGAAACAAACTTGGTAGATGAATGTGACATAGATAATGATGATGATAAACTGGATGATGATGAAGATGAAATATCAGATGAAGAATCAGATGATGGATGAAGCAGTCCAAATTTGGCAATCAGTCATTGAGATCCTTGATCACGACGCGTACATTTTATCTTTTCAACAAAAGTTGTCCATGTAAAATGTGAATGTTTTCATTTATTTTCACTTACCCAATAAAATTCGGAATTAAAGTGTTCGTTTAGGAATATGTTTTAGAATATAACTACATTAATCTGACAAATTATTCAATGATTGTGCTGCTTATCTTTAGAAGTTTTAAAATTTGTTTGATGATGATATTTGATTTCATTTTCAATTGGTAACAGAGTTACTAGTTTCGCACATACGACATGTCTACATAACTAATATTTTTAAAAGTGATAATTTGCCGTGAACCAACCACAAATAATTCAGACCATTTAAATTTAGATTTCATATGCGTATAAAATTACATAACAATACTAATAATTTCATATATATGAAAATACAATGTATGTATCAAATCCCAATAATGGTGCAATCCTTGAATATCACTTGTCCCGGTTGACGTCATCATTTCGTAAGTTCTGTGGTCGATACAATGATCTAGTCAGCAAAACCAATTCATCATTAAGTCAAATGCTGACTGACGTAATCCATACTGATCATTAGACTAATATATATATACAAACTGAATTGGCGACGGATTTTACCGTTACTTTCCGGCCATGAGAAGGAGCACACGGCGGGTGTGACCAGTGGGCAGGGATTCTCACTCCTCCATGGCACCTGATCCCACCTGTGATGTTTTGGATGTTTGCTCTGCTCCTATTTTGTAATGTTTTATGGACTTTCGAGCTTTAATACTGTTTGTTATCTCTATATATTTTGTGCAATTGAATCTTAAAAAGAAATAAAATTTCAATCTACAGAACTTTTTATAAAAATGTGAAGGTGAAATAATTAATAAGCTGAATCTTGAGGGGGAAATTAGGCTTTTGGCATTCTGTTTATATGGACCGGAGTTTGCTCTTTAATCAATATACTAATGCACTGAACCTTTCATCATGCCAACGCATTTGTGCAATTAAATGATCATGGAATATACTGGTCAGTGTATTTATATTATTAGGGAACATATCAACAGTAACATTGGGGGGTTGATTGGAGAAACTAACATGATATCATCGATGTCAATAAATGAAAAAAAAGGTCACAATAAATTTCACTGATCTTTCATTTGTGCTTTATTGCCCAAAAGAAATTAAAAATATTTTCTCAAACAATTATGCGTTTTATGGATTTTATCCGTCTCATTGTTTCATTACAATGAAATGTAAATGCAGTTTACATGAGTCTGGCTGTACAAAAACTTTGTGGACAAAGCATGTATAAATGCTTTTGATTTAATGAATGGACAGATCAGTGGACAGACATTAGCAGCGTATCACAACAAACGCCAGATTAATTCATCAAGAAAAATCGTATTTCTCTCTTGATTAATCAATACGCACAATTATGGTAAATGTTAAACCTTTCATATATTCATAAAACTCTTCTTTTTTTTATTATTTTCAAAATAACAATAAACACAACTAGAGCAAGGCTCGTTGCAAAGCAACGAGTAGGTCTTATTTGACCGGAAGTAACTTTTATTTTTTTTATAAGAAGAGAAATGACGTCTCTAATGATTTAAATCTTCCAAATCTATGTTGAAAATTGCAAAAGTAAGCCATTTTTTGCTACTTCCTGTTTGACCGGAAGTGACGTCGACGGACGGAAAATTAAGTTTTATGCTTCCAGTGACAAATATTTCCCAAAAACATGTCAAAAATATGCAGTTTCGGACTACTTCCGGTTTGGCCGGAAGTGACGTCACATGACGTATTTTTGTGACATCAGTATATTTTACTAAAGATTTTCAACAACTTTGCTTCTTTGATGTATAACAAATTCTCAATACTTTTGGAGTTATTTGGAAAAAAAACTTTCGGCCCCTCTAGATCCCTTAATTTAGGGGTCAGTCCTTTTTCCGAGATATCATTTGAAAGATCTTGTTATTCTGCACAAATAATATTCTATATGTTTTAACAAAATATTTTTAGTTTAGAAGATAAAAAGCAAAATATGAGTAATTTTTTACTCTTTTAGGTGTTCCAGTTTTTGACCCCTATATAGCATTTTGAATAGAGAAATCGAAAAACAAAAACCAAGGTGCACAACTTCAATCTTTCTATTATCTAAAATCAGTAGAATTTCTGCTCCAGCTTAAGCCGTCTCTGAGCCTTTGTCTAGAAACGAAAGCCTATAAATTTTCGTTTAAAGGGAAATAACTCAAAACCGGAAGTGACTTTTTGAAATTTTAGACAGCATTCTGATAGAGTTTAGTAACTTCTAGTACCTCTGAAAATTTGAGCGAAATCAATTGAGAAATGAGTGAGATATGAGGCTTCAAAGTTGGCGTCTAGGAAGTAGAAGAAAAAAAAAGAATAATAGTCTTTACCAACAGAATCAGTAGAAGGTCTTCCGTTGGAAACGGAAGACCTTAAAAATGCAATCTTAAAAAAAACACGCACAGTACATCAGCTAATAATCTCATTGAAATCTAAAGTATAAAAAAATTATCATTAGGATGATAATCCTAATTACATTTTGATTACATTTTCTTAAATCTTAAAGAGTGAAAATATCAAATATGTTACAAGAGAAACAATGTTCATCACTATAACAGAAATACAAAATATTTTGTCTAGTGTTCTACTAGATATATGTGAAAACGGTCTTTTCTGCTTCAGCTCATTCTTGCTAGGGGTAGAATTCTCACAATTCACCACCACATTGCCTCTAGTCATTGGTATATCTTCAGATTCATGATGCTCATGTAGAACAACAGCCTCAAGAATGACAACAATACCACTCACTGTTAGCTGTGTAAACAAGTAGATGAGGAAATACGAAACGTCTTCAGACGTCTGTGGCATAAAATCCTTCATCACCGTGAAGAACACTGCAAAGGTTAAGAAAATAGCCATGCAGGTACTCATTTTCTCTCCGGATTTGGCGGGAATCAGGAAACAGACGACATTCAAAGCTGATAAAATCCAGACCGGAAGTAGCCAGGTTTGAGCAGATGGCAAAGAACGGTTTCCTGGTAAGCTCAATGATAAGTAATGCCTGTTTGTTTCCCTGTCCAACATCAAGGATGTCTTTCAGATCTGCAGAAACATCTGAAAGTGACTATTCTATGTGTTCGGTTTCAGTAAGACAAAACAACGGCGTTCTGTTCAAGTTGCAACCGCAAATTTAAAACAAAATGGAAGCGATTTACGTACACCACGGTGCAAATCTGCTTATCAAAAGGGTAATATTTCAGACTTATCTTACATGACACAGAAACCTCAGAAATGTCAGTAGTACCCAGCTAACACAAAAACATTTTTAAAATGTTTTTAAAACATTTTCAAAATGTTGCGAAAACATTTTTAAAAATGTTTTAATCACGTGATTTTGTATGGTTTTTTAAACGTTTTTAAAACATTTTTGTGAAATATTTTAGCAAAATGTTGTAATAACATTTTCTTAAAATGTTGCAAAAACATTTTAAATAATGTTTTAATCACGTGAATTTGTATGGTTTTTTAAACGTTTTTAAAACATTTTAGTGAAATATTTCAACAAATGTTTCCGGAACATTTTCTTAAAATGTTACAAAAACATTTTTCAACAATGTTTTAATCACGTGATTTTGTATGGTTTTTTAAACGTTTTTAAAACATTTTACATAATATTTCATCAAATGTTATCATAACCTTGTTTTTAAATTTAACAGAAACATTTTCAAAAATGTTTTATTCACGTTTAATTTGTTTGGTTTTTAAAACGTTTTCACAACATTCAAGTCGAGGTTACAAAAGTATTTTTCCTTAAATTTTACTTTTTTTTCATTCAATCATGATATATTTATATTTTAAAAGAAATAAACACAAATTATATTTAATTTTTGAACCTTTAATACAAACCCATATTCAATATGTTAATCACATTTAAATTCCATTCTCGGTACAAGTTTTAATTTATTTTATTTCAAGTCACCGGGTTTTTAAAGGGTGAAAACGGTGTCTAATCCATTCACTGAATTTTTAAAGAACAAAATCACAGAAATACTATGTTCACTGATTAGGTCGAACAGAGCGGCGGATCTATAAGACTTAGTTAGAATCACATACACTGAAAAGGCTGATAAGGAATCTGTCCCTCGGAAAGAATAGCACAACCTGTAAAGATAAGGAAAATTGAGTTTGTATCAGCGTTCTACATCTAATGTATCTTAAGATGACAATGAAAATATACAAAAAAATTTTTTTTTATAATTATATCAAATTTAAATTCTTTCCTCATTTGCATTGAAAAAAGCAGAAAAATAATTACTATGACAATGTTATTGAAGAGTAATAGTATTTACGTACACCTTTGCCTTCACCAAAGGCGGGTCTTTTGAATGTGGGAATTTGAAAATACGGATGATGCAACCAACACCATGCTGTAAAGAAATTTCATTTTTAAATCAACATATTGTTTGATGATTAACATTTCACAAAGACCTTGAATACTTGAATCAAGGATATAATTGTGTTGCCTTAAGAATGGAATATTCAAATCAAATACATGTATATAACCTTAACGCTTTGTCATTGCTACATACATTTGTACAAAGTTAATGATCATGCACTGGTAGTATAAAAGTCATCTTTAAATGATCTTTTAAAGTCTATGATAAAGGAATAATTCTTACCATTCAAAATTAATAAATCCCGAGGTTATTATTGTGGTTTTATGGTGCAAAGTCTTCTCATTCAAACCGGCACGGAGTAAGCGCGCACATCTTGTTTACCAGAATTCAAAATTTGTCCTAGATAAGCAGCAAACCACTACACTGTAACGCGCTGCCCAGCAGGAAAATTGCATAACAGGTTATCATGACACTGAAACTGACCAGTGTGCCAATCCCTATCTAATGCCTCAGAGTAAAATTCTGGGAGTGGATCACAGATTTGATGAAGAACATTTAAAAAAAAAAGACATTAAGAGTTTTATTAAATGCTTATGATTTTATTCATTTATTTATATTTTAAATTTTTTTGTTTGCCTATCCTTTCATTTATTGATTTTTTGATTTGTTTTAATCAAAGGACTTTATATATGTCTGTTTAATCAATAAGCCAACACTAGAAAATACCGGAAAAAAATCTTTCAATGAAAAAATTACTACAACTCCTCATTTCAACACTATTCTTTCTATATATTCTATTTTTTCTTCATAAACTAAATTTTAGGAAAATCACAATCATACATTATTTGAATGTTTTAAAAACATTTTGAAAATAACATTTAAAAATGTTGCAGCAATGAAAAATGAAGTCTTTAAAAAAAGAAAACACATTAAATTGAATGTTCTAAAATCATTCTCACAACATATACTCTTAAAGTTACTAAATGAATTTAATTGTGCCGCAATTACATAAATGTTTCAGAAACATTTTGAAAATGTTTCCAAAAAATGTTTAAAAAACTATAATTAAAATGTTTCAATTGTAGTGAAAATAATTATTTTAGTTAATGTTTTAGATAAACATTTTCACTGCCTAGGCCGAAAAATATCCGGAATTGAATGTTTATAACTAACAGCGATATTAAGAATGTTTTAAAAATATTTTTAAAATGTTCCTTACAAATGCTTCAGAAACGTATATGCAAATGCCAATGTTTCCGATTTACAGAAAAAGAATGTTTCATTTCATGTTTTTAGAACGTTTTTAAAACGCTTTATAAGATCTTTATTATTTGGAAGCTATACATACCGTTAGAATAATTTTAAGAAAAATGTTCCTTTAATCAATTGAGAATGTTTAAAAAACATTTTGACAACGTTCCTTCCAAATGTTTCAGAAAGGTATTCATGCAATGTTTCAGATTTATGGAAAAGGAATGTTTCATTTCATGTTTTTAGAACGTTTTTAAAACGTAATATAAAAATCTTTGATATCTGAAAGCTAAACATACCTTTTGAAACATTTTTAAAACGTTTCAAAAATATTTTAGAAAAATGTTCCAAAAGGATTTAATCATAAGCTTTTTGAAAACATTTTGATAATGTTTTTAAAATGTTATAATGAGAAGAGGAAATGTTTTAAAAACATTTTTAAAATGTTTAGTCTGAAATGTTTCGAAAAAACCTTTTTACAACACCAATAAAATGTTTTGAAAATGTTTTGTGCTACCTGGGTAGAAGTCTGCCCATCGGAAGTAATATACGACAGTGAATCTTCAGATAAACACTGGTTAGATAAAACTGTGTTATGAATACAAATCGTTCTAGGAAACCATATCTTGTTCGAAGGTAGAACAGCTTTTGAGATATCGTTAAATTGAGAAGCATTCCATGTGAGACGTTTGTCCATCCACCACATGATTGTTCCAATCGTCATGGAGATTACCTGGGTTTTCTCATCCACTTTATTCACAGAAAATAAAAAGAACAGCATTGAAATATTCAATTCATCACTGTCAGAATCCAGAGGGAGAACCATTGGATCCGCCTGTCTCTTAACGTATTTGTATAAATCCGATCGAGTAAAGCCATTTGTTTCTTGAAGCATTGAGAAGAATGCAAGGAACATTAACCAAAAGTAAATGTAAAATTCCATGTTTCACTGTTTTACATTTCACCCATAAAGTTAGGGAGGGGTTTCATGATTTGGTCATTGGTTTACTGCTATTCGTTTTCATTTTGAACAATAGACACAAGGTCTCTCTCTGGTGGTGTCGAGGTTCGTGTTTGCTCTGCTCCTGATTAGTATTGTTTGAATGAACTTTTGGACTTCAATATTGTTCGATATCTCCAAATGTCATTGATTTAAATGAGTGCTGGTTTTAAAATTTAGATAGAAATTGTACAAATGATTATCAACCTTTTTTGTTTATCATCGATTTTGCATCACTTACTTTTGATGCATGATAAATTAAGCACTACAATTTTTATCTTTGTCATTAATCAGAATCATTCTAAAACGCTTCACTGAAATTATTTAGACTTCGATGAAAAGGGCGAACCTAACAAACAGTGAGAGATCTTTTTAAAAATCTATAAGCAAGAGAATCGGGTGCCTAGCAGGAGTAAACATCCCTTATAATTGGTCTTTCAATAATTAAAGAAAGAGTGCATTTTCATTTGGCATCAAATTTTTATGACAATAAAATCAAGCTCTCTAGAGCTTTTAACATGATAAGAAATAAAATATAAAATATATACATAATTATATAGATGAACGATTGTAAAAAAAAAAAATACATTTTAGATATTCAAAATTCTGTCAATGAGAATACCAAATATATGATAAGAGAAGTCAGGTTTATCAAAATCACAGATATGCCAAATATTTTGTCCAATGTTCGACTAGATATTCTACGAGGCTTCCTTTTCAGCTTCATGTCCTTATTGGTGGAGAAATATTTCTCTAACTTCATCGACAGCTCGCTACCAATCAGCTCCGAATCCTCGTGCTGATGATGAACGTGTAACACTATGGCTTCTAACACCACAACAAGACCACTGACTATTAACTGTGTAAACACATAGACGAGAAAGTACGAGACTTCATCGGAAGTCTGCGGCATGGAATCTTTCATTCCTGTTAAAAACACTGCAAATGATAGGAAAATTATGATGCATGTGTTCATTTTCTCTCCCGATTTGACGGGTACTAGGAAGCAAACAATGTTTAATACCGACAAAATCCAAATTGGTAGGAGGTTTGAGCATATTGCAAAAAACGGTTTTCTTTGTAGTTTAATATTTATTATTAAATTGTTGTCTTCAGGTACGTTACTAAGAACATCTTTTACTTCTGCTGAAGCATCTGTAAGCGTCCATTCTGTATGTTCCGCAAAGTAAGACATTTCTTCTTTATTTAACTTCCGAAGTTTAAATCGCAACTTTTCAACATGTGGGATGCGATTTGTGTACAAAGCCACACATGTCTGTTTATCAAACGGGAAATATTTCAAACCCATTTTGCAGGAAATTGATATTTCCAAAACTTCAATAAGAGATGTAGTCCCATCAGCACTGATCAAAGCTGTCGAGTCTTCAGGAAAGCACTTATTGACCCCTACCTCATTTTGAACACAAACCGATCTGGGGAACCAGACCAACTTTGCAGGAAGACTAATGATGGCGACATCGCTATAGTGAGAAGCATTCCAAGTCACGTGTTTGTTATTCCAGATTACTCCTATTCCCATTGTAAAAGATAGGACCTGGGCCTTGTCGTCCACTCTATTTATAGAAAATAAAGACATATGGAAAGAGATATCCAGAGCATCTTTGTCTCCATCCATTGGTGGTACCAAAGGTTCCGATTTCTCCTGCACGTGTTTGTATAGATCTGATCTGGAGAGTCCTATCACTCCTTGAAGCAAACATTCCAAAGCCAGAACCATAAACAAAAACTTATGCTTTGTTTTCATTTTGCTGTGAACAAGTTGCGTAGATCAAGTTATCGAATATTGGCACCCTTGTGGAAAAAATGTTGACAAGAGATAAACCTATTGCCAAATACTAAACAATACCTTTAAATGTATTCCTTTTAATTTGAGACAGACTGGTCTTTCATATTTTAGAATGCACTGAACTGATTAATTCTTAAGAGAATTAAACAGGGATTTAACTAATACAACTATTGTCTAGTTCACACTGAGATATTCTACAAAACATGCAAAATAAGAATGAAAATAACGATAAAATAATGTTAATGATAATCTGTCTCTCAAATTTTGTAAACACAAAAGTCAATCACAGTTCAATCCATATACTAACTAGTATATCAATAACTAGAATAGAATATTCAAAACAAACTGTTTTGTTTGGGAATGAACATGATGGATAGAATACTGAATTAATGTTCTTAATAATCTTTGATTCTGTCCCTCTTGAAAGCTGGCTCAGTGATCAATCTTAACAGTACTGTAGGCTACTCTTGCCACTCTTCTCCTGTACTCACAGATGCACCAAAAATATACAAAATTGTCATTTTCCATTTCTTTTTGTTTTCCCTGTGATTACTTTTTGAAAGTTAGGTGAGTGATGTAAATTTCGCCAAGTGAAAGATTAGGAGTTAAGGGAGCCTAACATGCTTGTAAATTTCGTGCTTCTGTCTTTGTGTCTGAAGTCGGTGGGTGGGGACTATTGAAATTGACAAGGGGGTCCTCGTGTAATTTAAATGTATAATTAGACAACATTTTAAAATCTAAATTTACAATTTTATTTCACAATAGAAATGGAAGTATAAGGAATCACTGTCTAGTTTGCTGAGGTATGCCTGGTGAGAGACCTCAACGATAGTAGGAAATGTGGGATAATTTATACATAACGGGCTTCGCCCGTTATGCAAATTGTCCCACCTTTCCAACTATTGTGATGCACTGGCATTTCCAATAAACTAGACAGTGATTCCTTAAATCATCTCGATAGTTCTGATGTTATTTTTTTTTTCAATTAGATGATCTAGATGCAGGTATGTTTCTATCTTCCATGTTATGATATTTTGCTGCGCTGTAAAAGAAAGTCATCTGCGCAAATACGACCGTCTAGCAGTTAATTGGGAACCGCCATGTCTTTTGATGAATAAAACTGGTACACAGTATAATTAAGGAATCACTGTCTAGTTTTGAGAGTATGCCAGGGCATCAACAAAATTTAGAAATGGAAATATTGTTTGATTCAAATCCAATTCATCAATGCTTTGCTACATTTTCTGCCTTTGTTTCAAGCATTAATATTTATCATATTACAGTCCTTAATCGAGTTCATCGTTAAAATATGCCTTCTTTTCAACTTCTTCAATCTTTAATTTGTACATTTCTTTGGAATGCATAATTATGTAATACAAGTTGGGTCTACGCAGTGCGTTTTTTGGTAGATATATTTTAAAGATTATCCAGTGATCTTTTAAGTAGTTTTATGTAATTGTATTTAAATAAAATCAAAGATGCTTTCTATGGTTTTTAGTACGAGAATGTTTCAGAAAAATATGCAAAACCCGCGTCCGCTGCAACGTTAATTCTCGAGCTAACAAAGAAAGACATTTTATTGTTTATACACATGTACATATATCTGTACAAGTAATAATTTTAAGTATATTTAGCAGATTAAAAAACTTATTATTGAAATATACATCACTGCATGTTTCATGGATGGAAGAGATGCTGCTCAAGAAATATTATATTGTATAGGGGGCTTGCTTAGCGACGTTTAACTGATTAACCATGGTTTTCGAAAGAAATAAATGTGATACAATTTTCAGTGGATGTAAATATTTCTCGATTTTTTTCCTTAATCAATGATGCAGGATTCCTTTCTAGATTAAACTTAGTACAATTCTCAGTTAAGCTTGGACTTTCAGTAAGGCGTGGCATTCACGACCTTACATAATTAGCTTCTGAAATTTACACAGCTTTCCTTCACTATTGAAATATACATGGGATAGATATTCAGGCAAATGCTTACGAGTGTATCGAATAACAAAAAATTGTTTCGTCTGGTAAAGAGGTAGAGCTTAAGGTATCCGATTCATAATAGCCTCAGATTCAATGAATCTGAATACATAGCAGATATACCGGTATATTGGCTGAATATAGGAGACAGAATATTCATGTTTTAGTCTCAATATGTAAGAGTGGAATGTGTCCTAATTTTTTCATCTTTAACCTTTGACACTATAATTTTGTCCATTCTCATTTTCACTTCATTTATCATATATATTCATACTGATTTTTTTTTTTTGGGGGGGGGGGGGGGGGACTATATATTGCAGTACTGAGAAGTAAAGGTTTTAAACAGATAATACAAATGTGTTTTCAAGTATCTTTTATAATTTATTTCTCAAAGAATAGATAAATAAATCACAGATGGTTTTTCAATTCCATGATAAATTAAAGAAATACAGAATATAAACAGAGTGGATAAAAAAAGTATGACAGAATGGATTTGTGTTGAAGGAAATGGTATTCAAAATTCATTAAAATTCATTATATTATTAATCCTCAAACTAGAAAAATAAATCTCAGCTAATGGCCTGAACACACTCCATAGATGTCTTATATCATCAATATTAAATCATCAATTTCAAAAAATAAATCACCGGCAATAAAATAGAAAGATATAAAGAAACGAAATATATATTAATTACGTATTGAAAAAGGTCTCTTTTCTTGTACATAGATTTCATTAGGCTTGAGGACTTTTTATTTGATTATGCTACATAATCATGTATCTGAAATTCTATATAATGGAAAATAAATAATACGTATAAATAACAATGCAACTTGAACCTAAACTCAATGTAACAAATGTATAAAGTCATTTAGCTGGTAATAAGAAAACAAAATTATTTAGTAATAATATCAGAATCACATTATGTGTAACCACAAAAGCACAAAATGTATACTTGCAATAGACCTTGCAGAAGGAAGCACATATGGTACAGCATTATACTCAATTAACAATATGTTAATGAACCTTTAAGATTGAATTCCAATACGGAAAAAATGTACATATCAGGACTATTAAAAACTTTTTTTTACAAGATCCTGGGGTCTTAATATAGATCACTTTAATTTGACTATGAATAATATAACACTTCAATTCATGAACAAGTATTGTAACAGTTCAAATTGCATTTCCCATTCATTATACAAACCTTTATCTATTTTATGATAAAACGATGAGATCATTAACAAAAAAAGAACTATTTCAGAGGAGAATAGGTCAATGTAATTTATTTTCCAAATATTTGAAACTGTTGGCAAGTGTTTGACTTTACAAGGTGGAATCTAATTATGTTAACTATTCATTAATTTTTTGTTTCAATTCGAGTTTTCATGACATGAATTTACTATACACAGGTGTATAACAACAATGCCCTGCCATAGGTCAAACATCTACATAACAAGGGCTAATATAGCCTTGTCATAAACTACAGAAATATGACCCTTGTAAATCCATGGTCAAAACATTTGATCATACTCAAGGTACATAACAATCTCCCTAATTTTGCACACTATAATAAAAAACATCATTAAGATACCATTCGTAAAAAAAAATGGTGTCATGGAAGGTCGAGTAAAGCAATAACAAGGTTATGTCCCTCATGAAGTCAAGGAAGTCCTATCATGTCTAGCAATAGGTTGACCTTGACATTTAGCCAAGCGGTCTGTTTCTTTCTTAGTCCATGAACCCAGTGTTTTGGAAGGCGAGAGAATCCGACCTTTGACCCCAAGATGGCCCCAGCTACACAGCAATTGCTGTTGGAATCTCCTGCAGCCAGGATAAGCCTCATCATGCAATCTCTGTTGAAAATAATGTACATATCAAATTACTGGCTACTTGTACCTGTTTGGACTGTGCTGCTAATTCCTTTTAAATTTTATACCCAGCTATACATTTTTATTTTTAGACTTTTGGAAATCCCTACCATAAAGCATAGCATTAGAACCATTTCACACTTAGTTTGGACTTTCAATAAGGCATGGCATTCTCAATGTTACATAATTAGCTTCTGAAATTTACACAGCTTTCCTTCACTTTTGAAATATACATGGGATAGATATTCGGGCAAATGCCAGTTAGTGGTTCAAATAACCAATTACAATGTTTCATCCTGCACAGAGGTGGAGCTTAAGTCGTCTTATCATTGTCAACAACAATTTAAAGTTCCTGATGATATTAATTTCTTAACCAATGAGAATCTATTCGCCATTTAGCAGGCATTAAACATGTAGCGCCGAGGATGCCACGCCTTTCTGAAAGTCCAAACTAAGAGTGAAATGGTTCTATAACAAAAGCATGATTTTTGAAAAATCACAGGTGAGATCATGTTAGAGTGGGCTCCCTTAGACAAAACAGACCTTTAAAGAATTTTGTATCAATAGATGTATAAATGTAAAATTATGAAAATCATTTTAAAAATATAGATATACTTTGAATTTCATATCTGTTAAGAGTTCACAAAGAGTAAGGTTGAACTTACTTGAAGGATTCCCTGGACCTCAGACATATAAGAGCAGCCCCCAGGGGCTTCATACAATAGGACATCTTACCATACTCATTCACATCCAACCTGAATAATACAAAGTAAACACTAAACATATGTGTAAAAATCATTGCATAGATTTATATGAATATCAAGATTTTCTGTTTGTATCAAAAAAGTGAAGATAACAAAAAATGATCAATCTCAAACATCTTTACAACAAACAAACTATTTACAGAGAGTAGCATATGAACCCATGGATATTTCAGAGTAGGATTACTCGCGTAGGAGGAATAAGCACCCCCTGTTGAATGGTCTTACTTACTGTGATTTTCACCTATTGATCACGTAGTGGGAGTAGTATGAAGGAATCAAGAGTACTACAGAGGAGGTTTTAGCTCTTGTACACTTGTACTCAAAATCCCTTTAACCTGCTTAGGTCCTGTAAACTACAGTAGTGCTCAAAGTCATATTTACCTCTTTAGCTCATGTAAAATAAAGTACAGTGTAAGCATTGTTTGTGAGGGTCCAAGATTTTGTGGTTCACACTTATCCACTAATTTCCATCTCACTCAAACAATTATTTTGTCAATATATCTATTCATTGAATTGTCTGAGTATACAAGTTACCTATGAAATAACATACACTTGAACCAACAAAATTTTATACTTACCCAAGAATGTTGACCCAAAAAAATTCAAACTAATGCAATTCACACCTAAACCTGTGTAGGTCCTAAAAACTGAAATGTATTACTTGTATACATCTTTACTTGTCTAGATCCTGTAAACTTAATATGTGATTCTATTATTCACCTTGACCTGTCTAGGTCCTGTAAACTGTATAAGTAATACTCTTATTCACCTTTACCTGTCTAGATCCTGTAAACTTAGTATGTAATACTCTTATTCACCTTTACCTGACTAGATCCTGTAAACTTAGTATGTAATACTCTTATTCACCTTTACCTGACTAGATCCTGTAAACTTAGTATGTAATACTCTTATTCACCTTTACCTGACTAGATCCTGTAAACTTAGTATGTAATACTCTTATTCACCTTTACCTGTCTAGATCCTGTAAACTTAGTATGTAATACTCTTATTCACCTTTACCTGTCTAGATCCTGTAAACTTAGTATGTAATACTCTTATTCACCTTTACCTGTCTAGATCCTGAAAACTTAGTATGTAATACTCTTATTCACCTTTACCTGACTAGATCCTGTAAACTTAGTATGTAATACTCTTATTCACCTTTACCTGTCTAGATCCTGAAAACTTAGTATGTAATACTCTTATTCACCTTTACCTGTCTAGATCCTGTAAACTTAGTATGTAATACTCTTATTCACCTTTACCTGTCTAGGTCCTGTAAACTGCAGTAGTATTCAAAATCAGCCTTCTCCTCATTGGTCACCAGGAGTTTTCTACCTTGATCTCGCGCTATTGTTATGATTTCCTCTATTTCTTTGGATGTCTGCATTTCATTCTTTCCCTGTAAAGGGTTTAATAAAGTTTTTTTTTTTCATTTGGAGGCAAACTGTGCTGTATATAAGGGCGAATCGATTACACGTGTAAACGGCGACGTTTCGATTATATGCTCTAAACGTTTACAGTTTGAGTAAACGTTTACACGAAGGTCATTATCAATGTCTATCAGAAATAAAGTTTAACACAAAAAAAATTGTTTTATTTCATAATTTACAAAAGAAACACCGTCTTTGGCCATTTGATAAGCAACAATCTAAACCTGGAAACATATTGAAGGGCTAACATTAATTCCGATTTCCGAGTTGCTAATACTAGCGATGTTTTACGACACTTGAAATATAAAACTTGATATATTTTGATTAAATAAATATAATACATTTTTCACAAGTCTTTGAAAAGTTTCAATACATTCAGCAGGTCCTGTTTTACTTTTTTCGAGATTAAGAGATCCATCTTTACAATTATTTTTTCTACGTCCGGTAACCAAATAAACCAAGCAGTTGGGTGACGAGGTCGTAAGTGAATGAATTTAATGCGCCTCAAATTCTTTTTGACCAACAATAAATTTGTAATAACAGCTCATACTTATATTAAAGTGAAAGAATTGATTATTCGAGTTTCATTGAGTAGCCATAAAAATCCAATGAAAGTGTACCGTTTCGTTTACTGCTTTTTTAAACGTTTCACCCTTAGCTGTATATAAATTCTATTTGAATGAAGTGACTTTTTTCATTGTTTTTTTAACCATGATGCAAAATCCTACTCTTTGCTCCATAATGTAAATTGCCAACAAAAATAAAAAAATCTTTTATCCTAAACATGATATAATGATTTTGGGAAAAATAAACACAAACATGTTCTTTTACCATGTATAGTAAAACAAAAAGAGAAAGAAAAACCTGTTTCACATTTGCCTTCACTAAGCATAAAATAATTTTATGGATATAAACAAAAATCATGTACTGGTACATGTATATTTCTGCTATGTTATCCTTTTTTCGCACATTGTTGTAATGACACCTGTTTTTGTACCTGAAACATACAGGCTATGATGACGGATATGACACAGCAGGCAGCCTGTGACAGGGGACTGGGGTGGGTGGACTTGGTGATCCTCAGTGTATTGTTCTGTACCTCAGTCAAATCAAAGAAATTAGGGACACCTGTCAGGTAAAAGGATCGAGGAAATTATTGGGTTTTCCCCCAAAGCTTATTATTGTAAAACTAAATACAAACTGATAGTATGTTTCAATACCCAGAATGGCCGTTCTGACAATGGCTCCGTTATCCACTCCAGGCTGATCACACCCCACATCAAATTCGGACTCGGAGCTGACGCTGTGTAGTAGACGCTTACAAGGACTACGAGGACTGCGGTCACTGCTCATACTGCTTATACTGCTGGAGATGCTGCTTATACTGGACCTCTCATCCTCACTCACCAGGTAGCCATTCTGTTCTGATGCTGGGGTGTCCAGTTCTTGGAGGTAAACTCTAGTAGCCACTGAATGAGGATTCTCTGTGAAGTCTCTCTCAACCAGTAACTAAAGGACATGTTTCATATTGTCATTGTTAACATCATACAAAGTTAAAGATTAACATCTATCAAATATATAAATTTCAATTTTCTTTTTAATTTCGAAATTATTTAATAAAAAAACATAACAGGAAAGAAATAAAGAGCAACAACCTATCTACGTCAGAATCATAAATTCACACTGATTACTGTAGATCACTAAATTTTCGCGACAACTTATTTTCGCGAGATAGTCATTGACTCTTAACGAGACAAAATTTTCGCGAATTGTGGTTATTGCTCTCTACATTCTTAGGGAATACTATTATACGCGAGAATTAAATTTTCGCAAGCACAGTGTCTTGCGTAATTATGCGAAAATAAAGTGATTTACAGTACTCAATTCTGTATATATTCCTCTGTTTTGTTGTACATATCTATGTATATGTAACTTCAAATCATAGTCAATTTCAAACTCTTTGAATGGAATTTTAAATAACCTTAAATTCCATGATCATAGACATTGTGATATATTACAAATGTACACTTACATATTTACACATTCTCTTTCCTTTATTTTAATTGCCCACACCTTTTCATTGGCAGAACCTAGTGAGATGATCCATTTAATGTCCTCTTTACCATTTAATGGAAGGACTCAGTACAATTCCCTCAGTGCACCCTCACCTTTTTGATGGTAGGACTTAGTATCCCCCCCTCAGTACCCCTTTATGTTTTTGATAGTAGGACTAAGTATGTCCCCTAATCTTTTTGATTGAAGGACTTAGTAATACCCTTTCAGTGCCTCCTCACCTTTTTGATGGTCAGACTTAGTACCCCCCCCCCCTCAGTGCCCCCTTATGTTTTTGACAGTAGGATTAAGTATGTCCCCTAATCTTTTTGATGGAAGGACTTAGTACTACCCTTTCTGTGCCTCCTCACCTTTTTGATGGTAGAACTTAGTACGATCCCCTCTGTGTCCCCCAGCTCAGGGTATCCTTTCTCACTCCATTCTTTTAACCGCTTGGCAAAGTCCAGTTCATCCACTACTCCAGCCCAAGCCAAGATAGAGTCAAGCACCAGTAACTGAAAAAATGAACTGAATTTTTCAAATTGGGGATGCACTGCTCTTTAATGGAAATTTACACGTAAGTTATAAAATCTCTTGAATGTCAGAGAGGAAGAAACGTGGATTACACACTATATCAATAAAAAACATGCACACTTGTATGTATGACATTTAAATGATGAACTTGAAATTTCCAGGCAAGCTAAAATACAATGCCTCATTTTGAGCATTTCTTCCCTGGATCCTTCTTTCATTCCACTGAAACTTTCAAGATGGCTAAAATTGTAGATCAATTTTGTATTTATCACAGTCTCTATGGTAGTTTATCATTACCATGGAATCAAAGTTTGATGTCCAGTCCCCAGGGCGCCATAGAACTCGCTGCCTGTCTTGTAGAATCTGTGTGTAATCTATGTCTTCAGTGTCATAGTAAAATGAGCACTCATCTCTACTCATTCCTCGAGTGGCAAGCCCCAGAGCATCACCAATAGCTGCACCATACAGCAAACCTAAAGAAGCAAATTACATGTATATTGAGAAGTATTCATGAGGAAGATTCTATAATTAGAATTATAGTACTAACAATAAAATAACTCTTTCAATAAATGTCAAATCTGTGTTGAGACATAAACATTTCATCAAACCAGAAAAATAATCTTTTTCTTCTAAACAGAATGGGCATTACTCTTCTTTATTTGGAAAAATTTCTTGCACCATTATGGGTCACAAAAATTTTAATCACTGGAGTCTCAATCAGTGCAGTCCAAATTTTTAAAGCATTAATGGTAATACCATTGTTATAATATAGCAGAAGCAACTTTATTCAGCAATCTCTGAGTCTGATATGCTACAAACCTACAACTCTATCTTTCAGAACATCCGATTCCAAAGAGCTGGCTCCTAGAGGTGGAAGGAGGGGGGTTTTGATCCGGCTGGGGGTGTTAGTTGTGTGTGTCTGAGATTGGATGTACTGCATGTTGGCAGAGTGAGGGTTAGGGACGGCACTGTGTAACTGATTCCCTCGGACTCGAGGAAACTCATTCAATGGGGTCAAAGGTCTTTTTTCATGAACTGGTTTACTGTTTTTGTAAAGCTTACGTAGAAAATTTAAGGTCACATCTGACCCTTCATCACAGATAGCTTGTGGTGGTTCATAAAGTCGATTTTGTTGAGCCATTAGTAAGACTAGGGTTGTGGAAGCACCAAGCGACAGAGGAAGCTGTCGAAGTTTATTACCACTCACGTTTAGTTTCTGAATAGCTTCCATATTTCCAATATCCTGGGGTAATTCCTTGAGCAAATTGTTAGATAAATCTATTTTTTCTAGTTTGACTAGATGTACAAATGATTCTGGTAGAGATTTCAGTCTATTGTTGCGTAGGATCAATGTTCGGAGATGAAATTGTAAACCAAAGCTCTCTGGTAATGTCTCTAATACATTGTGACTGAGATCAATGGTGTGTAGGTGGGGCAGCCTGAGGGGCATTTCTGGGGGGATCTCAGGGATGGCATTGAAGGCAACTGTCATCCGCTCATACAGAGAAATGGAGTCCCTGATGTTCCAAGGAATCTCAGTCAAGCAGCCCTCATGGAAAATACCCCTCACATGCTTTATTGGAAAAATAAATCTAGATCAATCTGTAGATAATGTGTTACATGAATTCATAGTATTTCATTAATAAAAATACATTTAGCAAACTATAAGTAGATAAATTTCTGTTTTTTAATATGAATCAAAATTAATTTGCAAAGTAAAAATTTGAATTGTGTCATTTTTATCCTCAAATAAAATTAAGTTGATACGGTTTTATGTGTCATTGAAAACCCTTGGACTTGCAAGTGAAGTCCTGTGTGGGGTAAAAAGAATTTCTACACTCCAATCTACATGTACTTCAAGGTTTTCCTCTACATGTTCTAAAATTCTTACCTTGCAATACTGTTTGTATGTAATTCTCCTACTCAAATTCAACTCTTTTCTTTCATCATCTCTAACTGGGGCCAAATCATGAGTCTCATAGTTGCCCATTCTTCAAACAACTTCAAATGAAAAAGGAAAAATAAATAAGAACAAAACAAAGACAATAGTTCCTACATTCATGTCCTTTTTAATGTTATTTGAATCAAATAAACACAGTTGTATGCATAAGGATCCCTATCCATTCTTTTTCCACAAACAGAATACTGTGGAATCATTTTTATTTGTGGGGGTCACTGTTCATGAATAGTCAATTTATTTTCTGGTTTGTGGGGATGTAATTTCGTTGGTAACAAATTCTATTCCACAATTAATATTTAACTTTTAATGGATAATAATGCAAATGTTTGTATATAAATATATCGTTCATGAGGATGTAAATTCATGGGTCAGGGTTACCCACAAAAGCCACGAACATTGGTCCCCTGATCATGCTGATAAACAATAATGATTCAATCCACAGTAGACACATATATAAATGTTGTGTTTTGCAATGATGCTTAGAATGCATTTCTAAATACCGGTAAATGTTAACGTTTACTAGTATAACTAGCTTTAATTCTAATGCCATGTGCTCTAGAGTCGCAAAGGAGTTGATCCATATGTCATATATGGTTTGAATCCCACAATGGGACTTGGAGATCATCCTTCGGATGAGACCGAATATTAAACGAGGTCCAATGTCGCAGTAGGTGCTGGAGGTACGAAAAAGATCCCTCACTGCTCAATGGCTATAGGTGTCATGGCAAGTATAGGACAAAATTTTCTGCTCTCCACCTGCATTAAGTCACTGGTGGCCTCTCCACATGTGTGAAAAATTCTTGAGAGGGACAATAAACAACTGATAACAGGATAATATCATTTCTACACCGTGTACGTACATATCTACATGTTAAAAGCAGTATCACCTTCTTGTAAATGTTCATTATTACAATAATACATTGTCTTACCTGAAACAACCTTTTCTCAGTCAACATTAAGTTAATTTTTTACAAAACACTTCATTCACATTTCTAAATTTTCTCAAACCCGAAGTCTGTTTATTTCGAAATATTCAAGAATATTAATTTTTATAAACAGCGCATTTGCTTGTTCCTTGCTTTGCTTTTCAAATTTTAGTTTGCATAAACAAACATACGTGTCATAATGTAGTCGAGGGTAATTTGTCAAAAATATTGTCGCAACAACCTCTTCATTTTCTAAGTCCACGAAGGCACTTGCGTAAAACGTCACAAAATTTGTGTACACAACCGGAAGTTAGTTTTACCTGTTGCTGTGATCGATATCATGCCAAAAATGTGCTATGTCTTGCTTGTTTCCTTGGTATGGTGATTTAAAAGATTTTGTCTTACACAGTAAGCACTTTTTATTTGTTTCCTTGTGTTTATTTATCGCTATATTTATTCAAAGCGTTAATTATTTGCTGATTTAGCAATTTGCATGCATGCATGGTTGCATGCATGGCGGAGATGTCAGATAATGGTGTCCTGATGGGACCATTTGCTAAAGCTCAATCAACAGTGCTTTTAGGAAAACACGCCGTCGCGCAAACACACAATGCCGTCACGCTAACACACAACTGAAATCGCCATCGCAACATTGAACAACACGCTGTCGCGCTAACACGAGTTCGCAAAACATGCTGTCACATCACTAACACAAGTTCTCACAACACGCTATTGGGCTTACAAGGGTTTGCAGAACACGCTGTCGTGATAACACACAACTCTCCAACGCAACATATTAAACTACACACGGTTCCATGTTCATTCGCCCGATTTCCTGTTCGCCCAATTTTCCGTTCGCCCAGAGTCCACTTGCCCTAAAACTTGTTCGCACAGGGTCCGTTCGCCCTCATTTAATGTAGAATAAAATCTAATGAATTTATTTTCTTTCCAAATTTTTGGTACATTCGAAATAAAACAGACCGACAGACGTTATGCGTTTTGTCACATGGGGGGTTGATCTCTGCCATGATTGATAGTAGAATGTTGAATTTTCATCTTCCATCTTCTTAATATAAATTATTTCTTGAGATCAAAGGGAGACTCTTAAAACGTAAAACCTTCAACATCTGCTGTTTAGTCTTATAATGGACCTATTAACGTCTCAGTCCTTTAAACTATTAAATGTTTTCAAAACATAGTGCAATTCATAAAAATAACACGGATGTACCCCCCTAATTAACATTGATATTAATCATCTAATTAACTATAGTGCAAACACTAAGTCATTCAAAAACATAAGAATTAAATCAAAAATTAATTAAGACTAAATATTCATTGTTCCTTGTATCAGAATTTGAGAAAAAATATCCAAAGTTCGTAAAGGAAATAGATAGAAAATATGATATTTGTTATTTTTTAATTCATATGAGTTTAATTATATATACAAGTAAATGTAAGTATTGGGTGAACCACATATAGGGCGAACAAGATATTGGGCGAAAAATATTTGGGGCGAATGGACTCTGCACGAACGGACTCCCGCGAACAGGTAGATCGGGCGAATGAACCCGTTGCCACTACACACTATCACACTCACAGGAGTTTGCACAACACACTGTCCTACTAACAATAACATATATATGAGTTCACATAAACGCTGTCGCACTTATAAGAGTTCGCACAACTCGCCGTCACGCGAACACAAAACTAGTGACTGCTTGTTGTGTGTTAATTAGCATGAAGGCGTGTGTTGCTTGAAATCCTGTTAGCAAGATAGCGTGTTGTGTGAAAGTGCAACACTGTGACAGCGTGTTGTGCAAACTCATCATGTTAGCGAGAGAGTGCATGTGCCTGTATGTTTTATATAGCCCCAAAACTTTTATAACTCCAACTCTCTCAAGAAGATGCAGTAATCGATTCATCATGTTAGAAAATGATGTTGTAAAAACTACAAATCAATAATTTTTATCTTTTTTAATCTTCAATAAAAGTCTGTTCTGCAGATGACACTGCACAGCCACTGAAACATTGCTGCATGATAATTTTTATCTTTCATGTGCAATGCTTCCATAACTATTTTATGTACAGATACCAATTATCATGTTCATATACATGTAGATATTGTTTTAATAATGTGGTTATTTAAATTACATACAAAGAAAATTAACCTGTAGATATTTGAACATTGGGTTTTTTTTGTTTTGTTGTTGTTGTTTTAAAAAGCAAAAATTAAAATTGGCAAATACTTTAAAGTGTTTGATGCTTTTATATATCCTAGCTACTATAAACAAATACACAAGTTCATTGCTTTAAGAACTGCATGTTCAAGATATTCTCTATGTTTGTGCACTGAGGCATATATATCTCAAATTTGATAATTTAATTCATGGTGTGCTGAATTTTTAATGATACTAATCAATCATTGTATAAACTTTGGACTTGCCTCTTATATTAACAATTTCATTCCTTTTAACATGTTGAAAGCAATAAAGTTTCAGTCTGGTCTTTGCATCCAGAATTTGACTTTTTTATTGTGTTGTTGTTGTTGTAACAGTAAACATGGTAAATACCATGTAGACATTGTGGAAAACTATTTGATTTTGGATAATTTCTTTGCATTATTTGCTTCAGTGGTTGTAGAAAAGTGATCTGTTGACTAACTTTTTTTTACATTCTGAATAAAATTCACAGCTATTTTATCATTATATGTTAAATAAAAACTTGATTTAAAGTACATATACATGTATATAGAGAAATCAGAGGATAATTGTGCCAGATGTGTAAAATATTTCAAAATTAGAGAACCATGGATTTTTTATATACAAATAGCTAGTATATATACATTAGAATTTTATAGCTGCCTGGGGAAAAAATCAAAATTCACTTTGTGAAAGCGATTATGCATGCATTAAAATATAAATTAAAATAAAAAAAAAAAATAATTTTATTCACTATAACAAGTATTTACATGCATATATATATAACAGTCTTAAATCTGAAACTCTAAATACATCAGGTTTGAGAACCATGCGATGGCCATCAGTAGAGTCCCTGGCGGGGGCGGTCATGCTTCTACACATTGTGGTCTGTCCGTTCACCAAAGTAGAGGAGAGCTTTAACATACAGGCAGTCCATGACATCCTATATCACGGCATCAACATCGATCAGGTAATCCCGGCCAGTGTTTTGTATGTATGATGGATATAGATGTCTATTTTCTTTGCATGTAGAAGTTTTATTGTATAGTCAAGGAAAAAAATATGTTGAAGACTTTAAGAAAGATCTGTAAAATCAAAACTAGATAAGATTAGTGATTTACAATACAAAATGTTCTACAACTTCATTGTTTATTTGTTAAATTGAAGACTAATCTATCTGGCTTACATTAACTTGTTACTTTGTATAACATGATTAACCTCTAACTTCTTTTATAGTATGACCATTTAGAATTCCCCGGTGTAGTCCCTAGAACCTTCCTTGGGCCCCTTGTTCTTGCTGTGACAACATATCCCGCGGTGTTCCTCTGTCAGTGTCTGAAGCTGTCAAAATTTATATCACAATATCTAGGTATGGGGATTTAGCAAAAGCATATACAGTGAAAACTGTCTAATCCGACACCTGAATAATCTGACATGCTGTAAATTCTGATGTTTAATTTCTTTCCCATTTCAGTATTTTCCTTGTTTTTAACACTGTCCAATCCGACACCCTGTTTATTCCAACAGAAGATTATGTTTCCCAATGCATGTTGGATTAGACAGGTTTCACTGTATACGGAGCTAAATTGATAAATAAAAGAGCGTTTTCATCCATTATAATGTGCATTTTTCATCTCATTCATAAAATTTCTAACCAGAATGAAGAAGTACTGTAAACCAACTTTTATTCGCTTGGGAGAAATTTTTGCAAAATTCACGAGAGCCTTGTCATCGGAAATATTTCTTGCTGCGAACCAGTCTTTAAAGTCTCTTTGTCTATTAACAACAGATAAAAAAAAGCGTGATTGCAAAAATTAATCGTTGCGAGCTAGTTTAATCCCTGTAAATCGCGAAATAAAGTCATCTCGAATAAAAGTTGGTTTTCGGTATGTTACATTTAATATGCACCACATCTTTGTATAAAGTCTCTGATATCTATATCAGCCTTGGGTGAAATATACCTTATATATGTCATTTATAATTACTCAGATAAATTTAAAAATATTTTTTTATATTTCAGTCAGAATTGCTTTAGGTCTTTATGTGCTTGCTGCGCTGTCGGCATTTGGTAATGCCATCAAGTACCGCTTTGGCCCGGGTGTCAAGAGATGGTTGTTCATTATAACAGCCACACAGTTCCATTTTATATTCTATATGTCAAGACCATTACCCAACACATTCGCTCTTGTTTTAGGTAAAGTAGACTTATTCTCATCATCAGTTGAAAAGTTAAATACAAAAGTTTTCAGATTGAAGAGACAGTCAATGTATAAAGACATTAAATATTCTATTCTGGTTACCTTTTTAAATACCATAATGTGATGCATACATTTTGAAAACTGTGTGAACATTTTCTTTGCACAACAGACATGTTCGAGTGAGATCCAAGATATATCAAGATCTACACTTCTTTCGTGGCACCTGTTTGAAGGTGTTACATGTGCTGCTGGAAAATTATATTCTCCTAGTATATAAATCAGATAGCTTTACTGAGCTTTGCTTTATTCATTACAGTGTTGTTTGCAATAGCGGCCTGGATAAATCAGAACCATGGACAATTTCTATGGATATCGGGTGCTGCCATCATTATTTTCCGATCGGAACTAGCTGTATTTCTGGGCCTGATTCTCGCTGCAGAACTCTTCTCCAAGAGGCTCAGTTTCACTGAATTTTTAAAGCATGTTATTCCAGCAGGAATCCTTTTACTAAGTTAGTACAGTACAAAATATGCACCGGTATTAATTTGATCCATACATGTATCTCTTAATTTGACCGAAACATTAATTTTCACATGGATAATTCATGCTGTATTTAAAAATTCTAATTTATATATTCATGGCAATATAAGTGCATCAGTCAAATTTTTTGACATGCACTGTTGCCAATGCAATTTTTCATTGTAAAAATTTTCATGAATTGATGATTTTCAAACCTGCATGATTATCATTTACTGTTTGTGGAGGTCTGCTGCCTCTAACTCTATTAACTTTTTCCATAACTATTTTGTTTATCAGGTCTGACAGTCCTGGTGGATAGTTTTTTCTGGAGACGCTGGCTGTGGCCTGAAGGAGAAGTTCTGTGGTTCAATACGGTCGAGAACAAAAGCTCTCAGTGGGGTGTATCCTTATTTAATCTGATACAGTTAGGAATGTAAAGCATGACAGAATAAAACATACATGTATCATGTCTTGTCACAGCTAAATCCCAGGATAACCAGATTTTAATGTCAAAATTAGACAACTATATATTCTTTTAGAAGCATCAACACAGTTACTTTTAATGATCTAGAAAAAAACTGCAATTTTTCATTTCAATGTGATCCTTAACTGCTAACAGACAGAGCCGTTTATGTGGTATTTCACATCTGCTCTTCCCAGGGCTCTGTCCATGAGTTTCTTTTTAGTTCCCATAGGAATAACCTTGAACCCTCACCTTCGACCTCTTCTAATTCCTGCCATTGGTTATATATTGCTATACTCTAACCTGCCTCATAAGGAGTTACGATTCATCATTTATGTGATACCAATCTTCAATGTTGTGGCTGCATCTGCTGTTTCAAAGATGTGAGTAAAACTGTTCATCGATACAATATTAAGAATTTAGATGTTTTGACCTATATTGTATTACTCAAGGTTATGACCTTTCGTAGGTTGGCTGACAGCTCCAAGTCCTGGTTTAAGAAACTGGTGGCTCTTGCCGCTGTGTGCCACATTTTGGGAAACATCACATGCACCACAGTATTTCTGTTTGTCTCTCACCAGAACTACCCCGGGGGACAGGCCATGCAGAAACTCCACCAGTTGGAGAAACCATATATAGGTACAGTCAAGAATATTGCTTAATAAAATTTCATAGTGTTCAAGTTTGCCTTTTCACTACTTTAGCCTGTCTTGAGCACTTGGATTCAAATTCCTTTGACAATCAGTGAGAATTAAAATCATAATTTTTTTTGGCATTTTATAATTTAATAGTGAAAAAATATAGTAATTATTATCTTTTTTAAAAAAAATTTCCTGTAATTTGTAGCCATCAATCTTCACATTGATGTAGCAGCTGCCCAGACTGGTGTCACTAGATTTACACAGATCAACCCAAAATGGAGGCAAGTTATAATTCAACTGTTCTTTTTGTGAAATGAAAATCTAAATAGATCTACATTTTCAAATTTTGAGCAAATCTTTTGTAAATTTGTTTACTAGATGTGTCCAAGTGTCAGTGTGGTAAAAAATAAAAATGCTTCAGAATCTTTTGATTGTCAGTTTCAAAATATTTTTTAAAAAATTGTGCTCAGGGGTTCATGACTTTAGAGGAAGTAGGTCAGTGACATTACAACCTTGACCTGTATAAAGATTCACATTGAAATATCCACTTCTAACAAAAAGAAAAATCAGGAAAACTAACAACAATGGAAAGATGATTAATATTGAATGTTGGATTAATCAATTTTAATAAGATAGAAATACGTACATTACACTACTTTCCATTTCGTTTTATTAATTCAGTAAAGGGCTCTCCATGTCCTCCATTTATTTGGGGTTAGGGGAGTTATATACACCAACATGCATTTAACTTCACTATATATTTGCATATTTGACATCTTTGATTTTTTGCCTGTAGTTAAACACAGCACTGTACATTGTAGATACAATAAGACAGAGGACCTTCTACCAGGCTCTCAGGAGATGCTGGATTTCTCTCACCTCTTTGTCAGCGATGACGACATTCTTCAGTTTTACCAGAGCACACATTCCGTTATAGCAAAGATTGACGGATTTGATACACTCCGAGTGGATGTTAGATCTGTACCCCCCATTGTTGTGACCACTAAGCCCAAAATTTGGATCTTAAAAAGAAATTTGTACCTGAAAGCTAGCTGACGGCTAGAACTTCTAGGGAATTTAATTAATACAGTGAACTCCCAGCTCTCTGATAGATACCCAAAACACACCAGAATTTGCTAGCCCTAGGATGTATTTGTTTATTTAAATGTGCAATATTGTTTACATATGGTATTAATAATAAGTGACCAAATATTATATGTATTCAGTGGTATTAAGAGTTTGATAGATCTTAATACAATTCACCATTCCAATTTACATACTCCAAAATGCCTGTAAAATATGAAACTTTCAATTTTTGAGCATTTTGTTTATTTTCAAATTTCCTTTTATTGTTAAAATGTACACAAACATTGTGAATAAATGAATTGCATTTTCTTTATTTTCAAATTTCCTTTTATTGTTAAAATGTACACAAACATTGTGAATAAATGAATTGTTATAGTACAGCACACTATACATGTATTATGTACATTTTCAAGTACACAGATAATTTAGATAAATCTTTCATTTAATCAATACAGTCTTGAATACATTCCAATAAGTTATATGTACATTTAGGTGCCTAATGTATTACAAAGATCCTGACAGATTTTTTTGCGCCATTTTATCTCTAGGGTATTACAAATTGTGATAGAGTTTTTATATATTTTTTGGTTTGTTTTCATAATTTTGACAACTTTTTAAAAGAGTGCATTGAATTAGAGTTTGATTGTATTAATTTTTTGGGGCATTGAGGAGGTTGTTAATATTTTTGTAGTTTTCAAAGTTTGATCTTAAGTGGTTAAAGTTTGTTCAGTGTTTGTTTGATCTACATCTCTTCAAAAATGTTCCATCTTTGTTGGGAAACCATCATTGAGAGATTTTTGTCAGTTTGATATCAGTTATGCATGGTTTGATGAAAAGGATGTCCAAATGAAATATTTGAAAATAAGACATTTTGCATGAAATAGAATTTTTAATTCATAAACCAAGGTGAGATAGAATTCTCAACCAAATGTTTAATTCTTGGAAATATTATTTAATTTTGAAATTCCTAGATTTTTATGCACTAAGATACATAATTCTGTGCATCGGTTTTTGACATTGGAATAAACAAATATTCATGAAATTTGGATGACTGTACACTGCAACAGCAATAAATGTTATAATTAATGCACTTCCCCATTTCTTTAAAACACGTATACTACATGAAAAAGAATATTTTAATTCATAAACATTGCAAAACTTAAAATTTTGGATCTAAAAACAGATTTCTTAATTTCGCAAATACATGTACCATGGTTATTTCAAGGTGAGATGGAATTCTCAACCAAATCTTTATATCTTGGGTATCGCTTGGTTCTTCTCTTAGAACTCTCAAGTTTGAGAAAAAATTTGGTTTGATTTAAAAATAGGAGAAATCTTTAATTTTGAAAGTCAAGAGGTTTGTCTTGTTTATATATATGACTGTGTATTTGATATTGTGAATTTTTTGTCTAGTCAAATGAATGATACATTTTGTGTAATTTTTTTGAATTTCCTTTTGATTGTGGTGAATGTTCAGATTAAGTGTGAATTAGGATTAATAGTGTTTTATACAAGTCCCCAGTGTGTTGTTTTTTATTAAATGATGACAAAAGATTTTTGTTACAGTGCCATATTGTGATATTTCATTGGTACAAATAAATGGATTTGTAATATTAATCTTGGGTCTTTGTCCTCAGTGGTGACCACTTCTTGTTTGTATCATTATTGGACAACATTGAATACAAAGTTCAGATTATGAGACTTTAAAATTAACACAATTTATTCCAGTGTCATAATTCTAAGTGAAATCAATTGAAACATGTATTTACTGGGTTAACTTTTTTTCCTGGCAGAATAATTATTTTCAAAAACTTTGACCAAAATTTTGCATTTTGTCAAACAGTTTCAGGCAAACAGTTGCAGATAAATAAAGCTGCTCAAATTATGGCCCCCTGGATTAGGGTGGGGCCTCAATAGGTATTACTACAGGGAAATCGTGTGAAAAACAGCATGGCCAGTTACACAGGTGAGTCTTGTGACCCATAGGACTCTTGTTTTAAATTCATCCAGAAAACTCCACCTGTTTATGTACAGAATCTCACAATCTATATAACTTTGATTTTCTTTGTCACAAACTTGACTCAATATATTTCATACAAAATTTCAACAGTGTTCTCTGCCCAATGAATTTTGTAATCTGAATTCAAGAGTTTAGAGGATTGAGAAAAATTCCCAATTTACAGGGAAAAAGAAAAATACAATGCATCCATAACAGATTTTATGTTTATTAAGATTTTGATGTTCTAGTCATAGATTTTCATGTTGATGGACAATATGGAAATTAAATCTTTTCTTTGTTTCTCCCAAGGTAGTGTCCTCAAATGGAAATGGAGGTGGCACTGACTTCCTGAAAATGAAATTTTATAAGAATTTGAAATAATGTCTCCAAAGAATAGTTTGGATTTCTTAATATATTTGTGTATTTAAAATCAGTCAAAATAATATGTGTACAATCAATGAATCATTTTGTGTGTGTGTGTGTGTGTGTGTGTGTGTGTGTTGTATATCCTTTATGTACTCTTTCATAATCAAGTTGCTTGAAAATTTTGGTCAAGGAATGTCTCATATAGTTGCATTAGTTACCGTTTTCTCTTTTTTATGCCATAACAAAAAATAATGCAGAAGGAAAATGTCGCCAGAACCAAAGCTGAGATTAGACACGAGATTAAAGCTGAAATGGCAAAAACAAAAAAGTTAATTCATCGTTTATTTTTGTCTTAATTGTGATTTGTGATTATACCAGTATTTAAAAGAAAAAAAAACCACATAATTAAAATTTTATATATCTAATTTATATTAGACATGCTATACATGTACATGAATAAAATTTGAAGTCTTTGGAGCTCAAATTTTGTTCACCCTCTCCAGGACCGTTACTATTGTATTTCAAAATGTAGACAACTTTTTTTTTTTAGATTATCCGAAATCATTTTCTTTTTAGAATCTGAAATCATTTATATGCATATTTCCTTACCATAATAGCAGCCTGAAGTAAAATTAAATATGGAACACTGAATCAGCTCACATCTGGATGACAAACAGTCTGTGCTTGAAGTATCTAAAATTAAGTGTGGAGACATCTGTAATTTTTTTTCCTAACAAACTGATAAAAAGTTAGAAATACATGACGTTTTCCAGGCTTTTTTGCTATTTTTTAAATATTTTCCTGGCACCTAAAATATCAAAATTATGCCGAAAAAAATCCTGGAAAACGTCAGGTATTTCGGGGTAACTGGTCGAATGTAATTAAATTCAAAATCTTTGAAAAGTGTGATTCTGATAAGAAACCTTTCTTGCTAATATGACCATACAAATGGAACATGTTTTCCCAGTGAAACCATTGTCACAGGAACAAGTAAAACCATTGACGTCATCGGTACAGTTACCATGGATACAAGGGGAACTAGCACATTCATTTGTGTCTGCAATACAAAAATAGACAATATACATAAAATTGTATTTCAACAAATCTCATGATAGGCGTATATCCAGCAGTTACCTCTTGTTAAGCTGATTGTGTAGTTGCTGTTTTACCTATTTCACAGTTGATTCCAGAGTACCCCATGTTACACCGACAGCTATACCCGTTCACGTAATCCGTGCATTTTCCATGAATGCATGGAGAGCTAGCGCATTCATCAATATCTGATAAAATATGAAATTAATATGTTATTTGACTGATTTACTGTTTACACACATTAATTTTATACCAATATCTTTAAACATAAATTTGTTTCATTTTACATTTATTACCTGTAGAACAGTGAGTCCCGGTGAAGCCTGCTTTGCAGATGCATGTGAATCCCCCAAGGTGAGGAGAGCATATCTTTGTATGGGGGCAGGGATTCCTGCGGCAATAGTCGATCTCTAAGAAATTAAATATCAACATTAATATCAAAGTGTATCTTGAAAACAAATCCAATCTTTTAAAGCGTATCAAACTATACTTGGTTTCATTATAACTTACGTAGTCGACAGTCTGACGCCGAGTCATAACCACTGATACACGTGCACGCATAGTTAGTCCCGTTCTCGGTGCACGTTCCCCCATTGAAGCATGGTGTTGCAAAACATGGCCTGTCTAAAATATAAAGTATTAATTGAAACTTACAATACCCCCTTATTAATTACAGTTGTTAGATGTCTTAATTTTCATCGTGTTGCTAGATCATCTACCTTGATAAGCCTCTGCACAGTCTTCATCTATCAAACCATCGCCATCGTCATCTGACAAACACAGAAATAAATGTAAATCTTCAATCAATGTTGAAAACATCACAGCAATACAGCAAAACATAATAGATGATTTGTCTGGAGGCCAATCTTTTGTAAGAATCAATGATACCTTGACCGTTATCTATTTCTTCGTCGATCTTTCGGTCACAGTCGTTGTCCAGTCCGTCTCCATGAGAGGAAGGGACAATTATACAGGGCTTAACAAGAATTGTAAATATTTCTATAAATGATCTGATAAGAGACAAAAAAATCTACATGTATATTTTTATTGGCTTCATTAAAAATTGTTTGGTACTTTACTGTATTAATGGAAGTCAGTCTCATTCCAGTTGGAAACCCATACGTCTCAAACCATCCTTTCCCATAGAGAACTCCTCCAAACACACAGATAGGTGAAATATGGCGGACGTCGTAGGTACCTTCAGCCAACGAAAGATATCCTCCCAAAAAATCCCCGCCCGGGAACTCATAAACTTCAGATGTGTTGAGAGGAAGACCATTAATTCTCAGGCCATCCAAATCTACTTTTTTGACCACAAACATAAAGTAACTGTCATAAGAGCCTGTAGCGCTTTTTGGTGTCGTGAACACATAGTTCGCAGAAAACAGTTCCATGGGTGGGATTATTATCATCGAGGGGTCAGCCATGTTACGATTCATTTGACTTAGAGAATATTGAACAACATAGATTGGTTTGTCTGACGTAATTAATGCATAGAAAGAAGAACTGAAATGTCTCTGAGCCCATTGTCCGGGTTCTTGAAGAACAAATGTGTCTGTGCTTGCTGTGGAATTGTCCAGTCCCTGAATTTGAACTATCGTGTCGTGCTCTGATGCCACAAATCTGAAAAAGTCTCCAACAATGCGACCCGGTATTGGAACAGTCGCAAACGTCTTTCCCCATTTATCAGTAGATATATGTTGTTCTGCAATGTGGTCCGCTGTGCCATTGCTTATTGCTGTTAATACGTTCCCACTGAAGACAGACACGGGTTTGTCTGCTATAACGTACGTCCCCGTGATATCATCTGTGCTCTGCAATTGCAGAGTGTCAAATGCGTCGATACTAATGTTTATCCATTGACTTTTACTGAAATTGCTACCCTGAAATGTTACTACTGACCCAAAGGTTGTGCTGAGTTTGATACCTAGAGATGTTGCATTTGAAACACCAACAATCAAGATTTCTGATTCGAAAAAGGATGGTAAGTATGTCGTAACAAAGTACTCGGTGCCAATGGCATCACATGGAATTGCAAGGAAAGCGTCATTTGAAAAAGGTTCTTTGTTGAAGCCATATACCACAATTTCATTGGATGCTTCAATTAGCAACCCTTTTGAACTGAGAGAGGTACCACTCATTCTAAGCGAACTAGAAATGTTAACTTGTTTGACAATACCTGAAGTGACATCAAATGAAATGTCAATTTTTGGATTGTGCCAACGCGGACTTGTTACATTGACGAACACAGATTGGGTCTTTGCTGTAGTGATGAAAATTTCGCTGAAATGCGCTGCCTGGAAATTCTCCATAAAACCAATCACAAATTTTGTTCCTCTGTTGTCCATGATGCCTGAAATAGTTTGAATTTATATCTTCACTAACAGCTTCTCTGTTACTTTATTTAAATAAGATTTCGTTTATCCAATATCTCTACCTTCATTATTACTGAGTAATTACTGGAGCAACCCAAGCGACGATTTGTTTTTCAAACAGTGCATGTACGATGTATACTTGAGCAAAAATGTGATTCTGTCATTACAAAGTTTAAATTTATGAAACAAATTGTTAATACATCGATCAGAGTGACTCAGAATGCCTTACCATGTGTGTAAAATGGAAGGAAGATAAGAAATAGAACCAATATCGTTGTTGCACCATCCATGACGGATATCAAATTCACAATTTGTCATCTCTCTTTCCTGGCTGTTCTAGATAACCGAGAGGTCGTTAGTGTTTTGAATTTTACTTTCTTTACTGAACATTGAGACATTCGCCTTTCGATGCTAATGTTAATTTTCAAATGTGCTTTAAATTCTTCAATAAATTTTTATTTGGCTTAAAGAACCTTACTACCTTAATCTCTTTTAATCGTTAATTTTGTTTTGACTCGGTCATTAAAGATTGAGGAACAACATTGAATTAATTTTAAATGTAAAATATTTCAACAGACATAAACATATGATTAAGGATCTGAATACAGGTGGGGTGGGAAAGGGGTGAATAATACATTCAAATGATAATCTGATGAAAAAATTCTCTAATTCTTCTTGGAATATTTTCCGCTAAAAATAATGCTAAAAACAGACTAGAATTTTTTGCACATTACGTAAAGCGTTTTCAAATATCAAATGATTCAATACGAAGCGCCATATATTTTGCAAAACAAAACTATCACATTAGAATCTTAATTAGTTCCAATTGACTTATACATGTTATACTGACTTAAATCATATTTAATTGACTTTACACTATACATTAATCTTTCATCTACTTTAACAATGTAAAAGTGCTATGTATAAATTGTCGTGGCACACGATATACTAGTAGTGTTTGCTTTGTTCCTCTGTCGGTATAACTATATCTCTTTGTCCACAAAATTGTCCATAACTTATGATCTGTATTTGGAACCACACATTTCACATGATTATTTCTTAGATTGTGAAAAAAAGATCTTTCGTTGGGTATTAAAATAAATATTACCCCTCGGTTTTGGAGTTCATTCCGCTTTTTAAAAAAAAAATTACCAATGTTTAACATGTTTGACAATTGGGGAAAAAGCAACAGGGAAATGAAAAGATCTCCGACATATACATAAATTTTATTATAAATGTACATGAATAATATTAAATATCCAGCTTATTCAAATAGATATTTTAAAAATGATTGTGTGGAAAATGGTACTATTTGACAAATACTGGTACATTGTGCTTGAAGCCTTATAGGGACATGGACAGTTTCAACTTATGTTCATGAACATCATTTATGTAAAATGCCTATAACATAGGGGCAATGGAAGTATCATAAGTTAATCGTTGGTTAACAAACGAGATCCAGAACTCAAAGTTCTTCAAAATGTAAAAAATGCTCGTGTCTTGTTTTTCTTTTCATATTGAAAATGTCATATTTATAACAAAACGCCCATTCTTCATGACGAAGATTTCTCTTCATATGATCTTACTATTACTTGAATCTTTGTCTACATTTTTAAAGTCTAAATATACAATTTTATTTCACAATGAAATAGAAATATAAGGAATCACTGTCTAGTTAGTATAGTATGTCAGGGACATTAACAGTAGTAGGAAACATGGGATGATTTATGCATAACGGGCTTCGCCCGTTATGCAAATTATATCCCATGTTTCCCACTATTGTTGATGCCCTGGCATACTATACATGTAGACTAACGTACTAGACAGTGATTTCTTAAGTATTGAGAGTGAAGGTCCGGCATACACCAACATATAAAATGGAGGGTCGAATCCGACTTTCAATGATCATTTTCTATAGTTAAAAGTTATGTCTGGAAAAAAGAACCAGTTGCCCCCCCCCCCCCCCCCCACCCCCTGTGATACGGCTACATGCGTTCCCACCCCCGCCACTATACACACCCAGTATATAGTCGGTAAACGTGTGTTTTGTTGAATGAATAAAGTCCGTCTATAAACACATGGCAATGGGGACCGGGGCACGGAGGTCCCGAGGGGCCCCCCCCCCCCCCCCCAATTATAATTTTGCCGATATAAATTACTTTAGAAAATACGGCTGCTATGTATTTCTTTTCTCTTTTTTTATTGCTTGACAATTGAGGAATATTATGGTAATATTAATCATGCAAATTAATAGTGCCCCCAACTGAAAATGTACATTACTGTGCCCCCCCCCCCCCACCATTAAAAGGAGATTGCTTTTTACGTGCCTGAAATTAGTTACTTACATATATAGTTATATAGACTAATATATAGTCAAAACGAGTCGATGCCAACCCACTCCATCCCCATTGTTTTGTACAAATAAAATCTGATGAATCCGCTCCTAAAGTCTAAAAATAGCTATGTCCTTCAATATTCACCTTGCTATTGAGGGGTGTGCTTTAAAGTGCGTTTTGATTGGTTGGCAAAATCGGACATGTTTACAAAATAGGGTTCTGCAGACAGAAACGCAATTCTTCATGTAACGAGGTCAAATTGAGAGGGAAAAGCCAACCTTTATAAGTCAGTGTAAGTTTATCGTTTTATATTTAAGCTTTTTTAAATAATTCTCTTTTTCTGGTGCTTTTTCTTTAAAATTTAACTCATGGCTACGGAAAAAATAGCACCATTCACCATTGACTTATTTTTCGGTCTTCCTCGTTCTCCCCCTTTCTCTCCGAAATTCTTTAGTTCATGAAAATTTTAATCGATAAAACAAAGATAGCAGTCTAACTGCAAGATATACTCTTCTAATGAAATTGTGATATTACTATGGAAAATCGATTCAACATGAAATTTGAGGCTCTCCACGGGGTGTATTATAAATGTTTCATTAGATCAGAACTTGCTCCTTGTAGAGTTATCCCACACTCTCTATCTGTATCTGTATCTGTATATATACGTCGAAGTGACCAATACTGGCTTTTCTACGACGGTGAGAGAGCGCGTGTCGGACTTATTGACACAAGCTGTCGAGGGCGGTCTTGAAGGCCTCGACAGACTTAGCGCAAACTATATTGTCCTCCAGTTAGTTCCATTTGATGACTGTGTCCACAAAGAATGATGAGCGGTATTGGTTAGTTTTCGTAGATGTTGTTTCGAGACACTTGTTGTTATTTTTGACTTGAGATGAAAGAATGTTTGTATTTTCACAATTATCGAATGTTTTTAATTTGATTTGGCGTCTAGGCTTAGCTTTTTGAATGAAATTGTGAGTTGGTAGCCCTGGCACCAACCCCTCAACCACCTTATAGAGCATAATGAGTCGCAAGCTGGTCCTTCTATGCTGGAGCGGTTGTAAGTCCAGTTCTTTGGCCTTGGTGGTGATGAAGCCCTCTTCCCTGTTGTGGTAGTCTCGTTTTATGAAACGGATGGCTTTGCGTTGGACACGTTCGAGCTTATCTATGTCCTGTTTTTGAAATGGGTCCCAGACTATTGATCCATATTCAAGTGTTGATCGCACCATGGAGACGTAGGCTGTTTTCCTGCAGTTCTCGGTACAGTGTGATAAATTTCGTCGGAGAAATCCTAATGTTGAATGAGCTTTTTTAGTGATCTTGTTGATGTGAGTTGACCACTTTAAGTCTGACGAAATTTGGAGTCCAAGATAAGGGTTATTTTCAACCTCTTCCAGCACGTGATTGTCCAGTGTATAGAATTTGCTGGTTTTTTGGCGTATGCTCATGATGTAGCATTTTTTGGCGTTGAAACGCATACCCCAGTCATTGGCCCACTTTTGCAAGTTGTGAAGGTCTTCCTGTAGTTTTTCCTGATCTCCATAGTTGTTGATTTGTCGGTATAATGTGCGTTATATAAACATTTATACACAAAGCATTTAGCGATGTACTTGAACAGCCGGACTTGTGATGTTACGGAGTCTGGGAGGTCGTTAATGTGGCATAAAAAGAGCAGCGGCCCGAGGACTGTGCCTTGCGGCACCCCGGACTCCATTGGCACCGCCTCTGATTTCTCGCCCTCTACTACTGTTCGCATTGTCCTTCTTGTAAGGAATGATGTTAGCCATGATAGTGTACTTCCTCTTATGCCGTACTGACTGAGTTTATGGAGTAGTTTCTGATGTGGAACAGTGTCAAAAGCTTTAGAGAAGTCCAAAATTGCCATATCTGTTTGTTTTCCTTTGTCATAATTTATCAGCAGGTCGTTCATTGTTGTTAGAAGTTGTGTCTCACAGGAGAACCCCGATCTGAAGCCGTGATTAAGCATTGTTAAAATTTTGTTTTTTTCTAGGTGTTTCAGTATGTGTCGACAGATGATATGTTCCAATAATTTGCTAGATACTGATGTTAATGACACAGGCCTGTAGTTCTCAGCTTGGTGTTTGTCGCCCTTTTTATATATACATGAGATGTTAGCATCCCGCCAGTCCGATGGGAGTTCTCCTGAGTCTAGTGATAGCTGGAAGATTGTTGCTAGACTTGGTGCCAGTTGTTCTGCACATTCCTTGAGAATCGTGTTTGGTATGTTGTCTGGCCCTGATGCTTTAGATGGATTTACCTTGCTGAGTAATTTCCTGACTCCCTCTATATTTATTTTGATTGCCTGGATTGGATTTTTGCAGGTTTTTGATGTTTTCGGCATTGGTCCATGCTCTTCTTGTAAAGACAGATTGAAACTGCTTGTTAAGGACCCCTGCTTTTTCTTTACTGTCTGTTATGAGTTTGTTTCCTGATTTTAATGGAGCTATTCCAAAAGAGTCTTGCTTTTTTGATTTCACATACTTCCAGAATGGTTTCGTGTTGTTGTTGTTTAGGCCTTCCAAGATGTTGTTGTTTACATAGTTCCATTCTGCTTTCCTGAGTTTAGATTTGCTTTCCTTCTGAAATTGTCTATAATTTGTCCAGTTCTTTGTCTTCTTTGCTTGTTTGTACAGTCTTTGTTTTTTCTTGAGGAGTTTCCTTTCTCTGTGTGTGATCCAGGGGGTGGAGTGTCTAGACTTAAGCTCCCTTGCTGGTATATGTTTGTCTAGAATTTTATGTATACTGGATTTGAAGAACTCCCAGATGTCTTGTATGTTTTTCCCTTCTGACTGCAGCTAGCTGATGTTATTTGCCAGATTTCTTAATGGCGCTTTCAAGTTTTCCCAATTTGCTTTTGAGTAGATATATATTTTTCTGCTTGCTGTTTTTTGGTAATGTGGCTTAGTTTCTAGATCTGTGATGACAATGTCATGGTCCGAGATTCCTGGTACACTTACTGAAGATTTGATGACGGAAGGATTTGCAGTGAAAACCAGGTCTAGTAAGTTGTCTCCCCTTGTTGGTTGGTCATGGATTTGTGAAAGGCCGGAGGAATTTGCAATATCTATTAGTTGTTGTTGAATGTCCCTGTCATTTCCATTTTTGATTACCATGTTGTTCCATTCGATGTCTGGACAATTAAAATCCCCAGCTAGGATGATTTTTTTCTTTGATGTTGAGACTGAGGCTTTTTCTAGTGATATGGATAGTTCGTCAAGATCCTTTTTGTTTCTTTGAGGCATGTAAAATGATGATATGAGCATGTCTTTATTTTTGTCGGTTTTTATTTATCTATTGATGCACCTTTTTTGGGAATGTGTTTTAAACCAGCGATAAATGCATATTCAATATTGTGTTCAGGATATCTTTTATACTTGTGGATGGGGAGGGGCTATAGGAATCAGATAGTGGTTTATCAAAGAAGTTATGGCGAATGATTGAAGTCCCTAGCTCACAAAAAATACAATAATTTTCAAATTTTACCCCCCCCCCCCCTGAAACCGGTCAGGAAGTAGAATATATGGATCAGCTTCATGATTATAAATATATGATTGAATTTATAATATACAGAAATATAGACTTTTTTTTTGGGGGGGGGGGGGGGGGTCAACTATAGTCGTGCTATTTAAATTAATTCTAATGTTATAAAGCATATATTAAACTCTACCCGTAGCACCTGCTACATAATTATTTTTGGTACTGAATCAATTGAATTCAATATTTATTGATATCACCACAGTGGTATACAGTCAAAATAGAAGTATTTTACTTTATTCAAATTAATAATGTTGGACTGTGGTGTATTATACTTTTTCAAGCAGTTACAGCTTGTCATTTGTACACAAAGAGTGCTTTTATAAAATGTCAATTAAGGAAAAGCAGGCTATAAACCTTTAATATATTACATGTATTAAATTATTTTTTATGTTAAAATATTTTCAAACATTTTGTTTTTGACATATCTGTTACTGTATATGTTTACTTAATCATGCTAAAAATAATTTGATTGGACATTTGTATTTTCAAAATAGTTGCATCTTCTGCATGGTATATATAGTGATGAATTATTTACATATTTTATTTGCTATCTGGTGATAAATGTAGCTTTACCTTGGTTAATGAATAATTTAAATTCTGTACAATGTACTTTTAATTTAATTAATCACACTTCGTTTTAGTCTCCCATAGATTTTTTTTTTACTGTTGAACAATGATCATCATTTTTGAATTTTAGGAAAAAAAATTTGCACAGAGAAAACCTTTTTAGGTGAAAATTTGAAATATGAGTTCCAGAGGATATTAATTTTACTCTTTTCTCTGACACAGTAACCGTTCAGTCGTTGACCTAGTTCTGCAAATTTGACTTGATCTTTCAAATTACCTTTAGAATAGTGGTATCATATTTAAATTCATAATTATGTATGTACATTGAATAAGATTTTGTCCAGTATGTGCATTACAAGTGTCACAATTTGTGCATGAATATTCTGAAACTTAAACTTTGTCTGCAGAAAGTACATAATATCTTAATTAGAGTGAGTTATACACATGCATTATTTATAAAGCTGCAAGGTGAGGGAACAAATGTGTATTCAGCATATTCTTTGTTATATATCTGATTACAGTTGTATTCATGTTTTAAAAACCGCATTGAATTGATTGTAAAACGTACAATGATAGGAATAAAAAATAGTGCTATTTTTAAGTAGAATTCAAATGAAATCATTCTTATCTTTATTTGACTTTACTGCACTTCATGTGTACTGATGCACTGTTTTGCACCTAGAGTAATTCTTTAACTATTGTCAATTATACAATGTATTTTAATTACAGTTATTTAATAAAGGTTGGAGGAGAAAAATAAGGAAGACAGATACAAGAACTGGCGATCATCTGAATTGCAGCCAGTGTACTAAATACACCAAAGATAAGAAGCAGTACCATTAAGTGACCTTGTAACCAGGGTAGTGACCTTGACCTTTAGTAAAATGTGGAGGAAGACAACACAGAGGGTCTGTTCTAGACTTTTATCCCCGCAATATGAGGTCGGCCAGCGGTTTATATCAGAGGGGCCAAAGGTCATGGCCATCCGACGTGAGACCATCAATGTGTGGGAGAGACGGGCCCCCCTCAATCCCAGACAGGTCAGGAAACTGGTCAAGAATGGGGTCAAGGTTATTGTCCAGCCCTCTAACAGGAGAGCATACAACATGCAGGTAAGCATGGGTTGTTTGCCATTTGTTCATGTTACATTATTATAGAAATCTTGTCATTTTACAATATTATTTATTTGTTTCATTGAATCTTTTGTACCTGATTACATGTTGAAATAGCTGTGTGCAACACTAAAAATATTAACAATTGCTTAGCATTTTCTTCTAATCATTAGAATTTTTTGGAAATATAAACATTCACAATATATTGTATGTGTAGTACAATTTTTGTATGAATCAGCTAGAATGCATGTGAATTATAAATTGAACCTCTATAATCATGCATGATTATTGGATAATATCCAGACCTGATTGTCTTGGTCAGACAAGCTAAAATGACCTTTTTTACAGATTGGACCCACACCTGGGACCGTTGACAACCAGAGTGCACCAAAGTCACTTGCACGAGTTTACATGTTTGTCTCATACATTATATTTTCATGTTTTAAAGAAAATTTGAAAATGCCTTTTAAATCATTTTGCTATCAAGTTTTACTCTTTTCCAAAACATGGAAGCTAAAAATATCCCATATGTAAACTTTAAAAAATCTGCATGCATTTTGTACTACAAAATAATTAGTCACTGTATATTTATGCTGAGATAGGAGTATAGCAAAAGAAAATATATTTGAGATGATAAATGCAATGTGAAATCGTGTATCTGGTACACATTTTCTTTCTTCAACAGGAATACTCAGCCGTAGGGGCAGAGATTAAAGAGGACCTAAGTGAGGCAGAATTGATTATAGGAGTCAAGTCTGTCCCCATTGACCTACTTTTACCGGACAAGACATATGCTTTTTTCTCTCACACCATCAAAGCTCAAAAGGATAATATGCCCCTATTGGATGCTATTTTGGAAAAGGTGAAAAAGCTATCAAATATTGTAATGAAGAGTTTTTTTTTAGTTGTATGCACATGTTAAGTTATAGCTCCTTTTTTAGGTCACCTGAGTAAACTCAGGTGACCTATTGCTATCCGTTTTCGTCCGTTCTCGTCCGTCGTGTGTCGTGTGTTAACATTTGAACATTTTCAGCTTCTTCTCTGCAACCACTGAACCAATTTCAACCAAATTTGGCACAAAAGCATCTATGGGTGAAGGGGAACAAAAATTGTGAATTTCATGATCCCTGCCCCCCTGGGGCATGAGGGGTGGGGCCAAAACCACTAAAATTAATGCAATCTTTAAAAATCTTCTTCTTTACTCCTGGACATCAAGCGGTCAAACTATTTGCATGATTGTAATCAGCATTGAGTCCTCTACCAAAATTGTGAAATTCATGGCCCTGGGGTCAGGGGTTCTAGTGCTAGGGCGGGGCTAAATAAGTATATAGTGAAAATGCATTATTTCTTTGAAAATCTCTGCTCCTGGGTATTAAATAAACCAACTAAGTACATAGTTATGATGAGCAAGAGTGCCTCTACAAAAATTGTGAATTTAATGGCCCCAGGGTCAGGGGTTCTGGTGTTAGGGTGGGGCTCTATTGATTATATAGTAAAAATACATGATTTCTTTGAAAATCTTCTTCTCTGCCCCTGGGTATTAAATAAACCAAGTAAGTAAATAGTTATGATGAGCAAGAGTGCCTCTACCAAAATTATGAATTTTATGGCCCCAGGGTCAAGGGTTCTGGTGTTGGGGGGGGGGGGCTCATTGATTATATAGTGAAATTACATGAATTCTTTGAAAATCTTCTTCTCTGCTCCTAGGTATTAAATAAACTAACTAAGTGCATAGTTATGATGAGCAAGAGTGCCTCTACAAAAATTGTGAATTTTATGGCCCCAGCATCAATGGTTCTGGTGGGGGGGGACTTTATTGTTTATAAAGTGAAAATACATGAATTCTTTGAAAATCTTCTTCTCTGCTCCTAGGTATTAAATAAACTAACTAAGTACATAGTTATGATAAGCAAGTGTTCCTCAACCAAGATTGTGAATTTTATGGCCCCAGGGTCAAGGGTTCTGGTGTGTGTGGGGGGGGGGGGGGGGCTCTATTGATTATATAATGAAAATATATGAATTCCTTGAAAATCTTCTTCTCTGCTCCTAGGTATTATATAAACTAACTAAGTGCATAGTTATGATGAGCAAGTGTGCCTCAACCAAAATTGTGAATTTAATGGCCCTATCATCAAGGGTTCTGGTGTTGGGGGTGGGGGGGCTCTATTGATTATATAGTGAAATTACATGAATTCTTTGAAAATCTTCTTCTCTGCTCCTAGGTATTAAATAAATTAACTAAGTGCATAATGATGATGAGCAAGAGTGCCTCAACCAAAATTGTGAATTTTATGGCCCCAGGGTCAAGGGTTCTGGTGTTTGGGGGGGGCTCTATTGATCATATGGTGAAAATACATGAATTCTTTGAAAATCTTCTTCTCTGCTCCTAGGTATTAAATAAACTAACTAAGTGCATAGTTATGATGAGCAAGGGTGCCTCTACAAAAATTGTGAATTTTATGGCCCCAGCGTAAATGGTTCTGGTGGTGTGGGGGGGGGGCTTTATTGATTATAAAGTGAAAATACATGAATTCTTTGAAAATCTTCTTCTCTGCTCCTAGGTATTAAATAAACTAAGTAAGTGCATAGTTATGATGAGCAAGAATGCCTCTTCTAACATTATGAATTTCATTGCCCCAGGGTCTGGGGTTCTGGTGTTAGGGTGGGGCTCTATTGATTATATAATGAAAATACATTAAATCTTTGAAAATTTTCTTCTCTGTCTCTGGGTATGAAGCAGATGAACTACCTATATAGTTATGATGAGCAAGGGCCCTAATCTTGCAGAATTGTGAATTTCAAGGCCCCAGGGTCAGGGGTGGGGGGGGGCTCTACTTATATACTCAAAATGAATTAATTGTTTGAAATCTAGTCCTTTGGGCCAAGCTTAAAAAATTCTTTGTTTGCAGTTGCCGACCTATAATTTTTAGATTAGGCCGGTAGGTAGGCATTCTTTTTTTTTTTTGGAAAAAAAATCAGATTTTTGTTAGATAACAATTAAAAGAGGTTTTTATACATCTACTAGACATGAATAAGCTCACCTTTTGTTATAAACTACTTAATGATAAAAAACGTGTCAAAATTTGTAAATGAAACTGTTTCAATATTCTGAAAAATTGAAAAAAAAAATCAAATTACCAAATGGCTAAAAAAAAGATTGGGTCGGTTGCATTTTCAGTGGGTCGGTAGGCAACTGCAAACAAACTTAATTTTATTTTAGGCCTTGTATTTATAAAAAATTTATTTACTTTTTGATAGGCAATTTTAAGGGTGCCTTTTAAAAATTTGTGCAACCTAGGTTCAGGGGTTTATGTCAGAGTGTTAGGGGCACTACTGATTATTGATGAATATTACTGATCAGTTGGAGTGCATTTTTGTTCCCCTACCCTGCGTATGGGTATTCAGTAACCAAGCTAAGCAACTGCTAAGTTTATTGTTATGATGATCAATGGTGCCCTTTCAAAATTGTGAATGCCATATAGCATCTGGCTTAAAACATGAATCAAATTCAATACACTGTAACTGGAAAGTTGTTGCATAATGCTCAGGTGACCTATAAGGCCCATGGGCCTCTTGTTTATATATAGTTTTGTGCAGTTGTTTTTTTTTTTTTTGAGTGAAATGTGAAAATTGCATGGTGTAAAACTCAGGATTATAATAAGAAATAGTTAGCAGCTTACAAAATTTTAACAAAATAAATGGAATTTTCAAATCAATGTAAAATCCTACCATGATCTTAATCCTTATTTCACCAAATATTTATTTCAAAAGGTAAACTGAAGACTCTTTAATATCAGTATTATTTTCATTTTCAAACAGAACATTCGTTTGATAGACTACGAGAGGATGGTGGATGAGAACGGGCAGCGTACGGTGGCGTTTGGTAAATACGCAGGGGTAGCTGGGATGATCAACATTCTCCACGGTCTCGGATTACGGCTACTGGCACTCGGACATCATACACCATTTATGGTCTGTTTTTACTTCAGAAAATTTAGTAACTACTGGTTCATTCCAGATTTCAATGTAAAAGCTTTCATGCATTTTTCATATTCTAATTCTGGGTACTACATGCAATGTATGGAATATAAACTTAAACACTAACAAGTTAGATTTGATAGAATGATTTAATTTTTTGTTTTATTTATTGTTATGCAATACATGGATTACAGGGTGTTCATGCAAGGAAAAAAGATGATGTTAACGAATTTAAACTAAGTAAACATAAATTTTTAAAATTTTTATGTGGCTTATCCATTTTTATTTAAAGTTGAAAACTCAGTAGCCAGTAAAAGAAAGGTTTGACCAGAATCAATTTTCAAAAAATTTCAGCATATCGGACCGAGTCACAATTATAGGAACACTGAGCAGGCGAGACAGGCCGTGCGAGATGCTGGCTACGAGATCGCATTGGATCGACTACCTAAGTCTATCGGTCCTCTTGTGTTTGTTTTCACAGGATCAGGAAACGTGTCACAGGTATGAAAATAGCACTTCTATAACAACAAAATCCAAGGCACATAATAATGAGGGGGGAAAACTCTATCTGAAGATGATGTTTTTTTAGCTCTTCTGAGCCAAAGGCTCAAAGAGCTAATGCTATGGCCATTTGTGCGGTGTGCTTCGTGCGGTGTGCGTTAACTTTTTAGCTCACCTGAGCCGAAGGCTCAAGTGAGCTTTTCTGATCAAAATTTGTCCGTTGTCTGTCGTCGTCGTCGTTGTTGTCGTCGTTGTCATAAACTTTTCACATTTTCATCTTCTTCTCAAGAACCACTGGGCCAATTTCAACCAAACTTGCTACAAAGTATCCTTGGGTAAAGGGGATTCAAGTTTGTTCAAATGAAGGGCCACACCCTTTTCCAAGGGGAGATAATTATGAATTAGAGAAAAATTAATGGCATTTAAAAAAAATCTTCTTCTCAAGAACCACTGGGCCAGGAAAGATGAAACTCATGTGGAATCATCCTCAGGTAGTGTAGATTCAAGTTTGTTCAAATCATGACCCCCGGGGCTAGGGTGGGGCCAAAATGGCCGACCCAAGTTTTACATAGGAATATATAGGAAAAATCTTTAAAAATCTTCTTCTCAAGATCCACTGGGCCAGGAAAGATGAAACTCATGTGAAATCATCCTCAGGTAGTGGTAGTGTAGATTCTAGTTTGTTCAAATCATGACCCCTGGGGCTAGGATGGGGCTAAAATGGCCGACCCAATTTTTACATAGGAATATATAGGAAAAATCTTTAAAAATCTTCTGATCAAGAACCACTAGCCCAGGAAAGATATAAATCATGTGGAATTATCCTCAGGTAGTGTAGATTCAAATTTGTACAAATCATGACCCACGGGGTTAGGGTGGGGCCAAAATGGCCGATCAAAGTTTTACATAAGAATATAAAGGAAAAATCTTTGAAAATCTTCTCCTCAACAACCACTGGGCCAGGAAAGATAAAACTCATGTGGTATCATCCTCAGGTAGTGTAGATTCAAGTTTGTTCAAATCATGACCCCCGGGGCTAGGGTGGGGCCAAAATGGCCGACCCAAGTTTTACATAGGAATATATGGGAAAATTTTTTAAAAATCTTCTTCTCAAAAACCACTGGACCAGTAAAAATGAAACTTCTGTGGAATTATCCTCAGGTAGTGTTGATTCAAGTTTGTTCAAATCATGACCCACAGGGCTAGGATGGGGCCAAAATGGCTGACCCAAGTTTTACATAGGAAATATATATAGGAAAAATCTTTAAAAATCTTCTTCTCAAGAACCACTGGACCAGTAAAAATGAAACTTCTGTGGAATCATCCTCAGGTAGTGTAGATTCAAGTTTGTTCAAATCATGACCCCCAGGACTAGGGTGGGGCCAAAATGACCTACCCAAGTTTTACATAGGGATATACATGTATAGGGAAACCTTTTAAAATCTTCTTTTCAAGTAGTTAAAAGCCATGATTAGTGATATTAATATGGAATCATCCTCAGGTAGTGTAGATTCTAGTTTGTTCAAATCATGAACACCTGGGTGGGGAGGGGGAATTCAAGCCCCCCCACCCCCACCTCAGTATAAACTTTCAGTTCTGATCTGATATGTGCTTTTTCCTAGCTTTGTACTCAGGTGAGCGCTGTGGCTCCTGGGCCTCTTGTTAGAATATTGGCCATAACTCAAGAACCCTTTGGCCAATTATTGTCAAATTTGTCACAGGGTATCCTTGGCCCAAGGGCAAGTTGCTAAAAAATCTTCTTCTCCAGAACCACTAGACAGATTTTCACCAAACTTACATACAAGGGTCGGGATATGTTGAAGATTAAAAATTGTTCAAGGCATGACCCTGGGGCAAAGGGCGTGGTCTCAAGGTCACTTCAAAATTGACCAAAATTTACACTTATTAAAAACGTTGATATTTTGCTTACTATAAAGACTAGGATCATCAAATCTTGTAAGTTGATGCATCTCAGGACTTGACATCATGTTAATGCAAAAGTAGGTCACGGTGACCTACTTTTTAAATTTTACGGGCTTTTGTATTTAAATTGATTTGGAGGCATATTTTGGACACTTTAAGGCCTATGATAATAAAACTTTGTCAGTTGGTGCATCTTGGGTCCACAAACAACATCAACTTAAAAGTAGATCATTGTGACCTACTTTTTGAATTTTATGGCTAATCTTTTCTAAAACATTTAATCCCATTATTTCAGACACCGAGAGGTTTAGAATCACCAAATCTTGTAAGTTGATGCATCTTGGGGCCTTAAAACATATTTATCAAAAACTAGGTCACTGTGACCTACTTTTTGAACTTTGCAGGCATTTGTTTTCATATCGTTTAAAAGGCATATTTTGAATACTATTAGACCTATGATCATCAAATTACACAGTTGAAGCATCTTTGGTCTTCAGAAAACATCGACCTAAAAGTGGGTCACGATGACCTACTTTCGACATTTTATGGCTAGATTTCAGTATCTTGGGTACTATTTGGCATAGAATCATCTTGGGTTTTCGGATATTAACGACCAAAAAGTAGGTCACATTGACCTACTTTTGACATTTTATGTCTATATTTAAGTATCTTAGGTACTTGTTGGCTTAGAATCATTAAACTTTGTTAGTAGATGCATCTTGGGTTTTCGGGGAATGTCGACCAAAAAGTAGGTCACGGTGACCTACTTTTGACATTTTATGGTTATTTTTATGTATCTCAGGTACTATTTGGTCTAGAAACATCAAACTTTGTCATTTGATGCATCTTAGGTTTTCCGAGCATGTTGACCAAAAAGTAGGTCACAGTGACCTACTTTTGACTATCTCAGGTAGTGATTGGCTTAGAATCATCAAACTTTGTCAGTAGATGCATCTTGGGTTTTCGGAGAATGTCGACCAAAAAGTAGGTCACGATGACCTACTTTTGACATTTTATGGCTATATTTAGGTTTTTCAGGTACTTATTTGGTTTAGACCCCTGCGAAATGATATTCATGATTTTAAGAACCTTTATGAGTCGTTCATAATTGTTCATGAATGGTTCTTAAAGGATTCTTAACAGGTTCATAAAAGTAGTTCATGAATAAAATTCATGAAAACATTCATAATTCATAGTTCATGAACAAATGATGAACAAATATGAATATTGGTAATTTTCAGTTTAAAGAAAAAAACTTAGTAGTTTAAGGTAATGAATGTTCATGAATTTTCATGAAGGCTAAAAATGTAAAAATAATTGTCACAAACGATCGGAAAACACTCATTACTCCCATAATACAACTTTTGCAGATGCAATTGTTGAACAAGCCCCTGATTTAATTAATAACATGCTTTTGTTTTGATTTTGAAAGTATGGGATCAGAGCCGAGTAGGGGAACATAGGTTAAATCACTATTTTCTAATCTATGTAATTGATAGCTTAGATTCTTCAGGATAATAAAACTCTGTTATGAACTGTCTAGAAGGGAGATTATAATTAAATCATGATCGTAATTTAAAGAACACTGCATCAATATTGATGACTAATGTTTCTTCATCATTTAAATTGGCCAGTTATATTAATATTGTGCTTTAAATTATCTCATTTTTCACGACACAACTTTTACCGAATTTTCTCTATTTGTCAAACTTTCAACAAGTTGTAAGAAAATGAAACAGACTTACAGTCTAGGAAAAATTTCATAATCTTCGTAAAAACGTATCATAAATTTATTGACAACTAAAAAATTATATCTCTTGTCCGTACTGTACCGTACCATTCTTGGGTCGTAAAGCTTTATATTTTGATGCTGTTATAAAGTCACATTTTTCTGTCCATCGTGTGTAAATGATACAGCACAGGCTGCATGGATGTGAAGAAGCTATGACATGAACCACATTCGTATTTTGTAGTCTAATCTCCTATACACTTTCATAGCTCAAGGTACTCAGTTTGAGGGAGAGTGGTTCCAACAGATATTTGTTGTCCTCTGATATGGAGGCGGCCATACTTGAATACGAAACTATGGCTCTACAGGTATAATGTAAAAAAAATCCAATTCAATAAATGATATAACTTATATTAATTTAAAAAAAAATAATTTCAGTGAAAAATCATTCAGATAGTGTTTGTTATTTTTTGTTTAACAAAAATCTTGGCAATTCGAAACTATTTCTTAATTAGCTCTGCATGACACTTTTAAAAGGCGCAAACTTTGAAATGCGCGAGACGTTGGAAAGTGAATCGGTAGAGTGGGAGGATTATTAGCGTAGACATTCTTTGTCAACCTTTGAAGAAAATAACAGAATACGAAGAAGGAATATCCAGAGGATCAATTTACTTCATAACTGCAGATATTAGTGGTGAGTTACAAAAAATGGAGACAATCACTGAATCTGTGAGATATTTGTCAAGATATTACTGTCTATTTGTAAGAGTTCAGTTATGTCCTTTTTAATGAAAATTTTGTCAAACTTTGTTTTGAGTAAGGATCCAACCAAATTACGTTACATTTAATAATTAAAGTTTGAAACATTCATCCTGTTCACCTATAACATCTTGAACATGGCGGGCAAGGGAAACAGGCTAAACTCCCGCTCGGAATGCTTTAAAATATGGCAGTGCCTATGATGCAGAATTAAATTAAACAAATATGCAAGTCTTAAGTTTTCACATTTATGAGCATTTTCAGAAATCAAAGAGAAGCAGTTCACAGATAATGTTGATGAGTTGAGATCAGAAGATTAAAAAACTCTGACTGCCAAAAAAAAAAAAGAATATAAAAAATCCAGGCTCTTGAAGAAAAACAAAAGAAAGGAATGAAAAAATGAATCGTAATCGATCAATGGATCCAAGTGATGAAATTCTAAAATTCCACAGGGAAAGCCAATAAGATTTTTTTATTTGACCACCTCTGCTCAAAATCCTTGAAAGCCCTTTACGCTGATGCCCTAATTGCTGAACACACTTTTCTGCCAGACAGTGAGACTTGGATTAAAAATCATTCCATTTTAGGCATACAATTTGAAATACGCTGAATAAGGAACCCACTCTCCTCTTGACCAAGTAAGGTTAAGGATTCTGCAAAGAGTCGCGTTTGAATTGAAATTTTTCATAATTTATTAGGAATGAACTACATAATTTATTTATTATCGTTATCACTTATCAGAGTTGTTTACTTGAACAAAGATTTTGTTACCATTGATTGGAAAACAAAAATTCTGTGAAATCTTTCAAGATGCTATTAAAATATTTTCTTTTACAGTTTTTCATTTTGCATAACTTATTACATTTTTGTTTACTAAAAGCAAGAACATACATGAATAGTTCATGAACATTCCTAAATAACTTTTACAAATTATTCATGAATAGTTCATGAAAATGCATTGAACCTTTTAATATCATTCATGAACTTTTCTTGAAAGTTCATGAATGTAATTCATGAACTTTTCTTGAAAGTTCAAGAATTATTCTTGATCATTTTGCAGGCATTTAAAAAATCCAAGTTTGTTAATGAACAACAAATAATTCTTGAATATTCTTGAACTTGGTTTTCATGAATAAAATCCATGAAATCATGAGTGTCCAATTTTAACTTCATGGGATCTTCATGAACAATTCGTGAGCTGATTCAAGAATATAATTCATGAACTTTTCTTAAAAGTTCAAGAATTATTCTTGATCATTTCGCAGGGGGAATCATCAAACTTTGTTATTTGATGCATCTTGGGTTCTCGGAGGATGATGATCAAAAAATAGGTCACGGTGACCTACTTGTGACATTTATGGCTATATTCAAGTATTCTAGGGTACTTATTGGCTTAGAATTGTCAAACTTTGTCAGTTGATGCATCTTGGGTTTTCGGAGAATGTTGACCAATAAGTAGGTCACTTAGACCCACTTTTGAATATCTCAAGTACTTATTGGCTTAGAATCATCAATCTTTGTCAATTAATGCATCTCGTGTCCTCAGAAATTTCAATCCAAAAGTAGGTCACCATGACCTACTTATAAAATTTTGTAGTTACATTGAAATATTTTCAGCCCTAACTGGCTAAGAATCATCAAACTTTGTCAGTTGTTGCATCTTAGGTCTGAGGATAGATTGTATGATTTATCAGAAGAGCGATTCAAGGCCCTTGGGCCTCTTGTTAAAGTGAAACGATTCAGTTTAAGTTCAACGGTTGTAAGAATATAATATAGAGTAGAAAGGAGATAATAAAATCCTTAATGTCAAGTTTTGATTGGTCTGTTTTACAGGGGGCCCAGGAGGTATTTCAGGAGTTCCCCCATGAATACATTGAACCTGAGAGCCTACCTAAGGTTGCCAAGCAGGGAGGTATGGAAGATAGTTCATTATTTCAAAGTTTTCTCCATTTCTTTGTCAAGCACCATGTTTATTGTCCGTTATTTACATGTAAATCCATTATCTAAATGTAAATCTTGATTATCTAGAGTTTTTGAAGCCCTGAGTAAATCATGCTCAATTTATACCTGAGCTGTACGCAGATCGAAAGGAAGTAATGTCGGATTGCTTCATACATGTATGTTGACTGTATACAGTAAAATTTTCGCCACATATTATTTTCCGTATCTGTTTATATTCAGCAACCAACAAGCTGTACGTCTGTGTTGCTAGGAGAGATGACCATTACATCAGGAAGGAAGGCGGCAAGTTTGATGCTGAGGAGTTTGAACAGCATCCTGATAGATATGCTTCTACTTTTAGTCATAGTGTATGCATGCATCTTTGTACAAAACAGATTATTGATAAAGAGTTTCATTTTGTTTAGCTCACCTGAACAAAATGCTAAGCAGAATTTTGAAAAGTCTCTTTGTCTTTCATTGTTTCTCTTATTCTTAATGTTTTACATGGACCATGACTTGATTTGATGAGAAAGCTCACACTGAAAATTTATAATGAATCTCAACCATGAGTCTGATGAGACTCCTTTTGTTTGCTAAACGTGGACATTTTTTATAATTCAGATTGCACCATATGCTTCTGTCATCATCAATGGTATTTACTGGGCCCCGAATGCCCCCCGCCTGATCACCATCCCTGACGCCAAGACTCTACTGAAGCCGACACCAGCTCCATGGTTACCCTCCAGCCCGGGCTGTCCACAACTCCCGCACCGCCTGCTGGCTATCTGTGACATCTCCGCAGATCCTGGTGGCTCCATCGAGTTTGTCAAGGAATGCACCACCATCGATAAGCCTTTCTGTCTGTATGATGCGGAACAGAACATGGAGACAGAGAGGTGAGTGAAAGACAAACACTTATATATATATACAGGATTGTATGTATTTTTCAGAGCAAAGATACCATCAAATATTGTTAACTCAAACTTAGGGGACAAAGATAAACTAAGCAAGTTGCATGTAATAACAATAAGAAGAAACAGAATTATAAGCTAGGAACTGGCTTAATTATCCCCACAGGATGCAATTGGAGGGAATTAGTAATAGGCTTAATGAGTATATGAGTGTGGGTGAGTGAATGTGTGCAAAATTTAAAGTAATTTATTTCGGGCTTTATATGGCCTTTTGCAAGGGGATGAGCTCTGCAGTGTGGTGCCCTTTGCTAGAAATCTTACTTTGCTAATTCTTTGGTTTATGTTTATTTTCACAGTTTCCAGGGAAATGGTGCTTTGATCTGCTCTATAGACAATATGCCAGCACAGATTCCAAAGGAGGCCACTGATTTCTTTGGGAACCTCCTTCTTCCTTACATTCCAGACATGGTGATCTTTAAAAAATATTTTTTTATGAAATGTGTATTCTTTGAAAACTGTTCAGTTTTAGACCAGATGAGATTGTGCATGCTTTTAAGGAGTAATTTGATATGAAAATTAAAGTAATATGTACAAAGGCTAATATAATGAAGAGCCAGAGAGGATGATTTTGATTTGTTAGAAATGTAATTCATTATATTTGCCAAGTTAATATTGTATTATAAAGCCATGGGGTATTAGCATACATGTTAACCTATTGTGATGAAAAAGAGGGAGATTTAGACCTCAAAAGCGGTAGCATTGCGCGCGTGTTGTTTAACGCTTGGATTATCGATATTTTTCATGATATATACATGTATATTATAAGCCTTAAATGAAATCAGGTACCTACACTTATTAATCTTAAATAGCAACAGCAAAGAAGAAGACAGAAACACCTTAAGTTTGACATAAATTTTACAAATTCAAATATTTTTTTATGCTCATCATTTTGCTTAGACTGGCTGCTTTACTTAGCCTTTTGAAGAGTGATCTTTGCTGATATAGCCTAAAAGCAATTTTTCTCAATGTTCATTCAGTTTTTAAACAAAACAATTGATGACATGGTTTAATATAGATCTAAAACAAGTTCATATCTTTCGTTATATAAATCAGTTTTCCCGCGATGATCGAAATCGAAAGTAGAGATATGCCACATGGCTTGGTCAATTGAGTGATTTCTATTGACTTTATTGATAAAGTTGTGAGCTTCTGTGCTTTTAAAGACGATGTCAAATGTTTTCATCTAATTTTTAAAAGCTGTATCTCCTTTTTCATGGCAGGGATGTTCATTAATTTATCGTAACCAATGTAATCACTAGAAGTCTTGTGTTGTTGTCGTTGTCAAATCCGTGCTTGAAATCTATGTACAAAAAAGCGTTTGTATGATTCCGAATCAAATCACGCGATATCTAGTGAGATTTTATGAGAGTGGCTTCTAAAATGGATACCCAAGCGAACCAAAAATACTTTAGACGCAGTTTTTGTAGATAAGCGGTAGAATTAAATCGGTAGGCGGGAGATGGAATGAAAAAGCGGTAGACTCCCGCCGAAATCGGGAGAGTTAACATGTATGGGTATTAGTAATCAGAGTATTTTGAGTTTTGGAGGTGTACTTGTGATTTTAAAAATTGAAAAGCCTTTACGTATAGTGTAAAATGGCATCTTACGTTATCCTCATTGGAATATTTCTGTAGCTGAAGTTCCCTGCTACTTTACCTTGGGATGAATACGATGTGCCAGCTGTCATTAAACATGTAAGTCTCAACTTCAAAGTTAAAGTATCCCATTATAATAATTATATCAGTGGCAATAGGATTAAAATCTGATTGATGTTTGTGTCTTGTTCTATAGGCAGTGATTGCATCCAACAAAAAATTGACTCCAAATCATGAATATATTGATGAACTTAGAAGACAAAACTTAAGGTAACCTGTACAAATTATATCATGTACAATGTTTTATATCCTGGTTTATTGATTAATATACTGTTAACCAATTATTCATGTCAACTTTTATTCGCAATTCGTCAGTTTGAAATCAATTCATGATGATTTATTTTCACCAATAAAGAAACATTTTGTTAAATTAAAAAAACAAAGCAAAATAAATGGTTCATGGTGATTAATATTGGGGACTTAAAGTAGGTCATGAAACTCTTGAATATTTCCTGCACGCGAATAAAAGTTTGCTCACAGTTACTACTTTTAATTACTGTAAATCACTTTTTATTCGCGAGAACTTTATTTTCGCGTAATTACGCGAGACGGTATGCTCACGAAAAATTCATTCTTGCGTATAATAGAATTCCTTAAGATTATATAGAGCGATGACCACAGTTCGTGAAAATTTGGTCTCGCTTATAAAGAGTCAAAGACTATCTCGCAAAAAAAAAAAAATTATGTGATCTACAGTATCAGTTTTGTAGTTTTGATTCTTGGCTTGGGTTTCTAAATCATTGGTCCCTATTTTATAGTTCCTCCCAGAAGGCTCAACGTCACCCAGAAAATAAGAGTGTGCTGATTCTGGGGGCAGGGTACGTGTCCCCTCCAGTGGTAGAATACCTGGCCAAGAGCAAGAACACTGATGTCACCGTGGGTAGGTCAAGGTCATCAGATACAGTATTAGATTCTACTAAAATGTATATATGTGTTGCATTTTTGTTTGGTTTTTGTGTTTAATCCATGTGTAGAAATTCACGCGGATTTCTTAGTCTCACACTATATTCCTAACAAGAAAATAAGGTTCAATGGGACAAATTTCAGCAGAAAATTTGTGACCGCATACATAGCTTAAATTAATACTGTGTGGAAAAAAGTACTTCAGCTACAGTATTACATTTTCTCAAAAATCAAATTTTAGGTGAATAGTTTATTTTCAATTTTTCTTTCTCATTTTAAGTGGAGCAGGACCCAGAAAAAAGGTGCTCATCAACTATAAGTTTGAGATATCTTGACTGAAGCATTTTCAAAATGCCAATTTATCAAGTTTTGTGAAATGATAAAATGATTTCTTTTATATTTTATGAAAACATTTTTCTGATTGATATCTCTTTGATGATTTCCTAGATGCTTAATAAATATTTCTTTTATAATTATCATGTTTGCAACACATATATTTGAATAGTGTAAATATAACCAATCATGTAGAAATTTTAACATATGACACTTGGCTAACATGTATTTATAACTCTACTTCAAAATTGTGCAAAGCTTCTATGCAACTGTTACATTATTTTATATCTTTATTTGTTGTTGACCAATAGCAATGAAAAATTTAACATTATTTATTCATTGATTTAGCCCATATACTCAATCATAATTACCCTGCATTTTACTGAAGTAACTATTATAATACTTTTATGAGATACAACTGGCCAAAAAAAATACATGTACATGACTTGAGATTGTATAACGAACAGTTTAGTTGAAGATGCATGTATATGCTGTCCTTGAACACTTTTTATCGACAGAATGGATTTATGTACATGTATTGTTGTAACGAGAACTTTGAATGCAAGTCAGAGTTCAACTGAAATTAAATATTAATAATAGATAGTTACATGTGTAACATGATTATGGAATATGTAAAAACAAATTTTGAAATCTTGTAATACCATAAAACTTTTTATGATCTGAAAAGTATGTGATTAGTTACAAGTGATTTTTTTTTTATATTTCTGGAATCAGCATCTCACCTACAGGGAGAATTGGACAACATAGAGAGCTGTAATGTTAATAAGACGCTGATAGATGTACAGAGGAACTTTGATGACCTGGAGAGACTGATACCACAGCATGACATTGTGGTCAGGTACAGAAATATACTGCATTCTATTGACTAATGTGGCCTGCTTCTTAAGTAATGCTATTGATTTGGAAGTAAACTTTTTTTGCATCAGTTGCAGACTGAGTCTTTTTTATATATTGATGATTGAAATTTACAGCATATCTTTCATATTTAGATAAACATATAGGCCTATATCATGTATTTGTTTGCTTTTCTTTGTAATGCTCGAGATCCAAGAAATTTCAAGCTTATAGTAACATATTCATTTGTTTTGTTTTTAGTCTCCTGCCCTATGTTCTACACCTAGACATAGCCAAGCTGTGTATCAAACATTCCATCATTTGTTTTGTTTTTCAGTCTCCTGCCTTATGTTCTACACCCAGACATAGCTAAGCTCTGTATCAAATACAAGAAGAGTATGGTCACTGCCAGCTATATCTCCCCCCCATGAGAGCGCTGGACGCCGCGGCCAAGGAGGCTGGGATTACCATAATGAATGAGGTGGGAGTGGATCCAGGAATTGATCACATGCTGGCGGTGGAGTGCTTTGATGATGTCAAGCATGCTGGAGGAAAGGTACTTTATGCTAGAATATTTAGCACTGTATACAGGGTTATTTTCGCCCCTTTTGCACTTGCGAACAATTTGGCCCCGTTTTAAATTTTTCCTGTATACATTATCTATGTCTTCAGATCAAGTATTCCAGATCAAAAGAAAAATACAATGTAAATTTCATTTTTGAAATCACACTTCATTTTCTTGATTAAAATCTAGATTATATTATAAGAGATGCCTTTTAGAGAATAAAAAAAGTTTTTAATGATTTATTTGACTTTAGATCTCCTCGTTTGTGTCTTGGTGTGGGGGATTGCCTGCCCCTGAACATTCCAATTCACCAATCAGATACAAATTCAGGTATACAGATTTGTAGAAGCAAATGTAAAGTTTGTAATACATTGAAAAAGGGCTATAATCTAACATTTAAAGAATGAATGAATTAAAGAAAACTTTTTAAAACTATCTAAAAATTATGATTTTCTATGATCCCTTCTGTTGAATTGCATGTTGACATTTTGTGGATCCTCCTAAACTTGACAACCATATAACTTAGTTTAGATAAAAAAATAAACATTTTTCCTGATTTTGTTGACAGCTAGCAGTAAACTAAATATTAGAAATATACAATTTTTGGTCTATTGTATTTGTAGCTGGTTCCCAAGGGGTGTTCTTATGAATTGTTTGAGTGGTGCTAAATATCTTAAAGACAACTGCGTAAGTAGCCAATACTTCTGAATCATCCTTTAAATTTAAATTAAGCCTTTTGAGAAGCATGAAGTCATTAGGAGTCTAATCACTTCATAACTGTACCAAAATTTAAAGTACTATAGATTCCTAATTAAACAGAATGGAATTCCGGAATTAAATGGAATTAATTATTGCATAATTTTGTGAGAAGTATCGCTTGGGAAATAAAATTTCTCGCTTTTATTTTTATGGTGCTGAATTCTGTGTCAATTCTGTTTATCAACCGTTCATTCGCTAATTATTATTCTCACGATTTGACGTGAAAGATCCATTTCGCGATAATAAGTTCTTGCAAAATATAAGGAATCTGCATTAATGTCTTGATTGGGAATATTTTATTGAAGCCAGTTTAGAGAAAAGTAAAATAATAATTATACCCCCCGCTTGAAAAGCGGGAGGGTATATAGTAATCGTTAATTCCGTCCGTCCGTCCGTCCGTCCGTCTGTACGTCCGTCCGTCCGTCCGTCTGTCTGTCCGTCCGTCTGTTACGCTTTGGGGTACCCATCTCTTATCCGTAACTCCTCTCATACCACTGAATGAAATTTGATGAAACTTTCAAAGAATCTTTATTACATATTGCCATTGTGCACCTCCTATTTTACTTTTTGATCCGACACATATTTTAGGTTTCGCGGCCACAGGAAAACATGGACGTTTTCACCACTTATAACCATAGGGGAGGCGGGGGGTATCATTTAGTGAGCTCATCGCTCACAGTACCTCTAGTTTGATTATAATTTTTGTTTTCATAGAGGATAAATTAACCCATGGATACTTAGTATTTAATGTATCTAATTTTACACAATTATAGATTTAATAGAAGTTTTGATGTCTGTGTTTACGCTGTAGATAATAAAAGTTTTGATGTCAATTTTTACACTGTAGATGATAAAAGTGATGATGTCTATTTTTACACTGTAGATAATAGAAGTGTTGATGTCTATTTTTACACTGTAGATAATAAAAGTGTTGATGTCTATTTTTACACTGTAGGTGATAGAAGTGTTGATGTCTATTTTTACACTGTAGGTGATAGACAGTGTTTCTGCTAATTTTCAAAACCAAGGGTCATTATGACCCTTTGATATGAACTTTTGGGGGTCAAAAAGATTTTTTGAGGGTCAAAATATATTCTGGTTTTGCTTTCAGTTCTGATATTAGCTCTGCCTTCTAAGATCATATATTTGATGTTTAAAATAAAAAAAAAATGAAAGTAAAATAATAATTGACACATGTATACTTGCTTTATTTTACCGGTACACAGTTACATTTTACCAATTACACCATAAGTGTTTCGTGAATGCCTCAATCAAAAGATAAGAACTGAAAGTGGTTGATTGCTTTACAAGACTGTTTATTAAAGATTTGAACTTTCCTCACCTTTTTATTACCATTTAGCCTTTCTGACAAAGCCA